TGGAAGTTCATTTAGTCGGTTATACTTGTACCAGGCAATCATACATTATGGGTAAACAAAAACTTAATATCTAGTGTGACTTTATTAACAGATTTTGATTTCCTGTATGGTACCAGTGTCAACGTTACTTTAACACTCATAACTCAACTAGAATGTCATGATGATCAACCTTTTCCCTAAAAATAGAGCTAGACATGCATACCTCTAGGAAATTTCAGGTAAAAAGGATTGGTATCGATACCATCTCTCGAGAATGAAATAAAATATCTTTCCAAAGCTTGTTTGAACAAAATAGTATATACAACATTTTCTTAGACTTCCCAATATTATAGTTGTACAAAGGAAATTTTGGTTGATTTGACAAAAAGTATTCAAAAAATTAAAACAAAAACCCCAGAAATAGATAAAAACTAAGATAAATCTTTAATTTCATTAATAAGATACTTTTTTTAAATCAACTGATTAGTTTTTCTGCATTTTTGGTAAATTTCAAGGTGACCATTTTTGCTTTTCCATCCTAAAATCTTCTCTGTATATCTTGTCTACATTTGTGCTATAGCTATATAGGAAATCATATATTATTGGAGCTACTTGGATTCTTATCAGTGCATTATGTTATCATATAGTCCATATGACTATCAATCTCAACAGAAGCCCATAAAGAAAAGTTAAGAAACACTCGACACCTTTTTTACTGAACGCTTCAAAGGCAACTTATCAGGCAAGTCCTTTCATAGCGATATATGCTAAAGTGTTTGAATTCATTGGTTGCCATTGAAATTATTAGAACATACGTGAGGTTATCATAAAGTTCTCATAATATCTCTCTAATTTCTTCATTTTTCAATATATTCTAAATTAATGAAATTTTCACAGAATGTGTAGCTTTATATTAGAACTTATATAAAATTCAAAAATACTTTCACCAAAGAATTATATTTAAACATTCAAAATAAAAAGTATAGACATGCATTAACTAGGCTCAGGATGAGTTCACATAAATTACAGATAGAAGTTGGGCGGTACTCAAAACCAAAGCCAAAACCCACAAGTGAAAGGTTGTGTAGTGAATGTGGGGTAATTGAGGATGAGCTTCACTTTATCACAAGCTGTACAAAGAACTTAAAACACAGAGAGCTTTTGTTTGAAACTTTAGAATCTGATCTGAAACAGTGCAAAGATCCAGATAAACTGTTTGAAACTATTATGTCTAGTAAAAGCTCTCATGTTAACTTACATTTAGCCAAATTTGTATATCACTCTTTTAAAAATTTGGAAAATGATTAATATTATGTAAACATTTTTTTTTTTTTTTTTTAAAACACATGTATTATGGATACACCACACTGATATCATACCCTGACATGTGAAACTGATGTAAAGTAGTTTTGTAGTATGTAGTTGTAGTTTGTAGTTTTTTGTACACTGTAGTGACTGATATGTCATTTACATGACATGGTTATTGAGTCAATAAAAGATATATATATAAGAATGGACTAAACAAGAAATTTCAAAGCTATGGGTAATTGATGAAGTTACAATTAAACATTGGTTTTGATTGTAATGTCACCACCAAACAGTGGTGACATATTGATATTGTCTCCGTTTTTTTGTAACAGCGGTTGGCGATCAGCGGTTGGTTGTTGATGTCTGTAACAAATTCTTAAAACTTCCAATAACTTGACAAACACTGTTAAGACTGACTTCAGTTGTTTTCAAAATCATCTACAAGTTTTCAGGAGTTCAAATCTGACTTTGTTTTTAATATTTGACCTTCAATGACCTTTTCAAGGTCAAAAAAGATCAAAAAGGTATTTTTTCAACTTGCTTCAAAATTGACCAAATTTTTTTCCAGAATCATCATTGCTTTCTGGTGGCCATTTTGAAGGTTTTCAATAAATCTTGTCATCGCCATCGCAGGAAAACCGCTCATCAGATTTGTTTCTTTGGACATGATGATTGTTTTTTTGTTTTACAACAACCACATTTTTACACATTTTATTGTCAGGCTATTACAATGCAATTCAATTCTCCACCTTACCAATATGACTCTCCAACAATCTTGCGTCAAAGCAATCACCCATAAACAATTTATATGCATGTCCATGCTTTGTATTGTAAAATCATGAAATACTGAGGGCTAATATGAACATATGAAGTTTAAGAGCTATAGATTATATAGAAATGTCTTAGAGATCACTTCATTTTTGTTTCCAAGCGAATTGAACTAAGTGTAATCTAGAGAGTTGGATTTTTTAAATCAGGTTTCATTTCATATTTTTGGCATGTAGGTTTGATAGACATATGTTTTGGAAAATTGAGATAGTTCTGGCAATCAATCCAGTCTTAATTATCTTACAAATTGAGTTTTGGTAAGATATAGCGAGGCACTCCATCCATCTATTCATCATTTCATCTGTCCAGGCAATAACTCACAAAGATTACAATTATGATATTGCTTTGATAGTTAAGACTTCATGGTCTGGAAAGCTTGAAAAAAACAAAGTGGCCACCCAAAATATTCCAAATAAGGAAATTATGGCTTGACTCCTTTTTATCAAAATGTTGATTTTAAGTATGTGAGTATCTTATATTTGTAAATATTTTATTCTCTTAGATCTGAGTAAAAATGTTCACATGACTCAGAATGACTTGTTTTGCTTTTTATACTGATCTCTTATTAAAGTATCAAGTGTTCACTATACAGTAAAACCTGTCTTAGTGAACACCTGTCTCTAGTAGACACTCTTCCTCCGCACATACTCTACTGACTTCTGTAAAAATGACCCTCTCTGTAGTGAACACCTACCAACACTGAACCTTTTTCTCGGCAAAAATGTTCAATAGTACACAGGTCAGTTTACTAGAGGTACACTAATGTACTGTCCTCTGGAGCTACATTTTTTAGTAAAAAAAATATTTCAAAGCAGATATGTGATATAACATGTATTCTGCAGAAAGCAATATGTATAGCAGTATGAACTTCAAAAGTTAAGGTTATAGACATGATTGATGAGCATGAGTCTACTGTTGGAATAAGTTTTTGGAAATAATAGAAATAACAGGTAATGGGCAAGTGTGAATCTGGTCATTGCAGGTCAACAAAATTACCAATTTGTTGAAATGCCAATAGGGAATCTATCATGACTTCAAGGCAAAGGATTAAAATAAAAACAGACTGAAAGCTCATTAGGTCACTAATGATGAGTGATACACTGAATTGATTTGAATCTGATTTAACAAAGTGCTCTTTTTAAAGTATATTTTTACGGGATTGTATTTCAGATTATTTGTACCATTAGGTCTAGAGAAAATACTCTGAGAACAATTAAGTTATCACATGATAGCCACTGTACCAAAGCATCTTCTTAGCTAACCTTGTATTCGCGAATGCAGCTAATGCATATGCAGCCAACTCATATGAATGGAATAGTGGCAGGTACTATTTATACTATTTATATTTAAATGAGTTACCCATAAAATAGTAGGTTAATCCAGTAGCCGACATCATCAGTCCCCATCCTTGTTCATTTGTTCATTACACAAATGCACATGTACATTTATTCCAATTGTAATGCAGTATAGTAGTTACATAAATTACATTACAGGCTACCATTTTAGATTGCACCCCATCTTGTCAATCAACCAAAAATTAAGTCAACCCTTATCAATTTTTTATATGGTTAGAAAAATGTATAATACTGTGATGTAAGTGAATGTAGTTGAGTGGTCTTTGCTTATTTCTACTTTAAGACTTTCCCCTGGCACTTTACATTCATCTAATGTTTAAAATGCTAAAAATATTAGCTACAGTTATATAGATGTAAGACTGTATCATATACTAGTATTGATGGTAAGACCAAAGATAATCACTAAAAGAGCAATGACTGAAAGGAATATACTCTTGAGAGTCCGAAAGATAAGGAGTTCACATGATATGGAAATCTAGTAGGAGTAAAAAACTAGCAGCATATCGTGTATATGCCACGTTTCTCAGATCAAAGCGATCATTGTATCTAAATCTACTTCTACGATTGCTATCAGGTATTGGAGAGAGCGTAATAGTTTACGCAGTTTGTATTATATCTCGGATAAAATGACTAGCTTTGATAGCATAACAGTCTGCCAGAGGTGTAAAAACACATTTAATTTCATCAAATAATACCTGTTTTGATAAAAAAATCTCTCGCGAAGTGATTCATGTTATAATGAAAATAGAATCTGCCTTCGGATGTATTTATTCTTAATCTTTATTTTTTTACTAGAGATAAAATGTGTTTTAAGTTATTTGACTCATGGGCATATATACACTTTACATATTTCATTTCTTTATTAATAGCAAAAAGATTGAAAAAATACTGATTTAGGGTCGTATTAGTATGTCATAAATAAGGATTGGGCTTAATCTTCAGGGTCCCAAGAAGTGATTTAGCAAACATTTAATCACATCTTCTCTTTATTACTTAAAAGGTATACTCTTTAAATCCCTCACCCCATTAGTATCTGAGATTAATTATAGTAAAACCTGTCTAATCTGATTGCCTTTGGGACCAGCCAAAAGTGTTCAGATTAGAAGGTGTTCACATTTGAATGACAAAAAGTGTTCACATTAGTAGTTGTTCAGATTAAAGAGGTGTTCAGATATGCAGTTTTCACATGTATTTAACCCTGCTCAATAATTAGGTCATTGTCACCTAGGGTGGATCCAAAATTCAGCACTTTAGGCATATCATTCCTTGTGTTTCTATATTTGTATTTGTATATCAGACAAGGTCAGTTTTATAGGGCATACCACAATAAAATGTTAGTATTGGACACATATCAAACTGAAAAAAAACAACAAAATATGTTATATTTGTGGCTATTAGGGTTATTTAATGTTGTCCTGATTATAATTTAACTAGATACCTTCTTATAAATATTATTCAACATTAATTGTTAATAGCCATTGATGTATTGTAATTTATTCCCAATAAAATTATTTGATGTTTTGTGTTTCTAGGCTGTTGGCAAGTTGTACACTACTGCAGTGGCCTCTATAGCAGAACATGGAACTATATCTGATACAACCACTAAGGTGAGTGTGAGTTTATAATCCCTATAGCATACCATGGGGCTATATCTGATACAACCACTAAGGTGAGTGTGAAGTTATAATCTCTATAGTATACCATGGGGCTTTATCTGATACAACCACTAAGGTGAGTGTGAAGTTATAATCTCTATAGTATACCATGGGGCTATATCTGATACAACCACTAAGGTGAGTGTGAAGTTATAATCTCTATAGTATACCATGGGGCTTTATCTGATACAACCACTAAGGTGAGTGTGAAGTTATAATCTCTATAGTATACCATGGGGCTATATCTGATACAACCACTAAGGTGAGTGTGAAGTTTTAACTTCTGTAGTATACCATGGGGCTATATCTGATACAACCACTAAGGTGAGTGTGAAGTTTTAACTTCTATAGTATACCATGGGGCTTTATCTGATACAACAACTAATGGGAGTGTAAGGTTTAAATCCCTGTAACAGACCATGACACTATATCTGATACAACCACTAGGGTGAGTGTGACGTTATAACCTCTATAGTATACCATGGGGCTATATCTGATACAACCACTTAAGTGAGTGTAAGGTTTAAATCCCTGTAACAGACCATGACACTATATCTGATACAACCACTAGGGTGAGTGTGACGTTATAACCTCTATAGTATACCATGGGGCTATATCTGATACAACCACTTAAGTGAGTGTAAGGTTTAAATCCCTGTAACAGACCATGACACTATATCTAATACAACCACTAGGGTGAGTGTGACGTTATAACCTCTATAGCAGACCATGGGGATATACCTGATACAACCACTAAGTTAACCTCTATAGCAGACCATGGGGCGACACCTGGTACAACCACTAGTTGAGTGAGAGGTATATGACTTTATACACTTAATCATACCTTGAATGTTTTGACCGGTTTTGACAATTCTTCTATGTTATGTATTTTTACATTTCATTAGTTGACGCTTAATAACTACTGTATAAGTGATTACTTCACAAGTAATTGGGTCGATTTATTTCTATATACAATTGAGATTTTCACTTGGGACTGACTTCAGTTTATTGATGGTATGTCTGATTGGTATGTCCGATAGACTAACAGCTAAATGTCAAAAATATTCCCTAGTGACCTAAGTGAATAATTGACTAAATTCCCCATTTAGGAATTAGAGGAATCGTCCAAAATAAAATGCTTTATGATAAGTAAGTTAGTTGGACCATTTGATATATTCCTTCAATATCATTCAGTGGAAGGAAGAACAGTTAAAAAATAATGCAGGGGCCCCAGGTTCTCCAGTTTTTTGTTTTAGTGTATGGTATGTGATTTAGTTTTGACTGGTCCAGAACTTGGATAAAAAGCTGTTCAAGTGTTGTATGTGCTTATATGCCTGTGTGTCACAGCACATAGAAGATACTTAGGTGGTTCAAAAAGTTTTGCAGTTGATGCCATTCAAGCAAGAAAACTATTTGGAAAAACGTAATTTCGGGTTGAACATGGTACCGACCACTCTGGTTACCATAGCAACCATATCTCAAGAACCAATGAGAATTGAGGTCCCAAATTTTACCATATAATGTATAAATATATAACACATATGTGTACCAAGTTTCATTGCAAAAGTCTTATTTTCCTTGAAGTTATAGCATCAACTGCAACACTTTTTGAACCACCTAAGTAGAAGGGGTTTCTTGGTCTGTCTCTTGTAAAATATTTGAAATGGTCGTAAGTAGTACCTACATAGATGAAGGGTGGATCTAACCCATTGTATTTTATATTTTAATTAACTGGTGAACATCTACAGTAAAACCTGTATAGTACAATACCTCTGTAAGTGGAACACCTCTGCAAGTGGAACAATTTTTGGAAGTAACAAAAGTGTCCACTTACACAGGTATTCATGTATCACAGTATATCTTTTAAATTTCATGAAACATTCTTGAGAATTTAAAAAATTATCAGGTAAAAGAGCAGGATGACTTGTCCTGTCCCAGCTACTTATATATCATACATAACCATGGTACCTGGTACAATGGCTGCATGTCAGTATGTACCCTCAGTCATTATTGGAAACTGCTATTTTGGTTAATAATGGAGTCATTTTTAATATAACTACAAATATTGAGACTCAGAATATTTCTATAAAAAGATTTGATCATTTGTGATCAAATGGTCTACCCCTCGAAAAGCTGCTTGTTAAAAGTGAAATAATTTTGATCAAATAGCACTCAATCTGTGCACCTCCTGACAAGATTTCAAGTTATCTTTCTTTGATAATGTCATTTTCTGAAAATCCTTTGATGTAAATAACGCATAGTGGTTTGTTATCTCATGTTTCTTCTGATCTCTCTTTCCTGGAATGTTTATATTTTATTAGCTTACAGTCAAACAGGCATATAATTTTACCATTGTGACTTTGACATGGAACTTCTATAAAATGTTACCTTTTGCAAGATCTAAACTTCAGACTCTCAAATAATGAATACCAAGTTCTAGAAAGGGGTTGGAACAAGAGCTTTTTTATTAGTATGACATATTGTTATATAGCCTCCAACTTTTATGTGGATGGTGTTTTGAAGTTGTTTTTGGCATTTGGTTGTTGGTGATTGGCACCTGCAACAAATGATAGGTAGTGACATTTTGCATATTAATGCCTTTGTTAATTTTTGCCACTTTCCTTTTGTACTTTCCATATAATATTGCTTCGTGGTACTGCCATTGGTTATTTTTAATGATTGATAGACTTACATTAACTACCTTGCACTACATTTGTAGGAAAACCATTATTAAGTTACAAATTTGTAAAACGGTGTGCCTCATATAAGTTTTCACAAGTTCTTCGAAGTCTGTTTACAATCAGAGTGTAATTTTCACACTCAAATAAACCTCTGATTGACACCATTATCATATCACTGGTTTTGAGCTCATCATTTACCATAAGTGTTATCAAGGTTCCTTTCAGCTGTTCAATTTACTTGTTAAAAGTGTTGACGTTAACATCTATTACGTGACATCCAGCAGATAATAAAGTTCATTTTGCCTTGCACTGGTATTCTACCATTATGATTGTGTCTGGTCATACTGGTCCTTATAAGGTCTTTAACATCCTATAATTGCCCAAATTTGTAATTGCTATTGACATTTTGTGTAAGCTGGAAGGAATTAATGTTTCCAAAGTCAAGATTTATTCTAGTTATAGATTAAAGAGAAAATGCATTGTTTTTGAAGAAATTAATTAATTAGGGGATTGTGGCATAAGCGAGTCAAAAAAAAGATTTGTTTTGAATTTTACAAAAAATAATGCAACTTCCTACAAAATTGAGCTAGAAGATATTTAATGATCCCGCACCTTGCATCCCTGCATCCTGAACCCCTCCCTCGAGTAAGCCTATGATGTTACTTTAAATAACTTTTGTATGCTATTCTGAGATAACCTAAGTTTGTTGAATGGAAAAACATATGAAAAACAATAAATGAAGATAACTTCAGAATCCCCAACAATTTCTAATTAGAACATTTTCTGTTGTGTCATCACCAAAGATAGAAGTAATTACTTTTGAAATGCCTAGAGCCAATAATTGTTATATCATATATGTCAAAGATTTCTTCTGATTTCCAAATCACTTAAGATTAAGTCTCTACACGCATCAGTCAGCATTAACGAATTGAAGTTGGAATATTCTGAAAACCTTCTTGTGAGAAGGGAAGCCAAAATATAGAGGAAAATTGAATGCACTTTATGTAGTATTATATTTTAATCACTTCCAAGCTTATTGATGATTTGCTCATAAATTGCAATTGTATTTAATGCATTTTCTTAGGTGAATAAGGGGAAAATTTTAGACTTGAGTACGATAATCAAGTCAGTTGGCATAATATCAATTGTAAAAAACAGGAAACACAAATCACTACTGTTTCAAGCCAGAGAACATAGTTTGGGATGTTGGTTTCATCATGGCTAGTTTTACTTTTAAATTTCCTTTGTTGTTTTGTTTTAATTTTTTGATATATTTGGTGTTTTCCCTTTTTGCACTTATAACTGGATAAAAGCTGTTAGAATTGTAATTGAAACAAGTTGACATATTGCTTACAATTGTCTTACATCTTGATAGTGTAATAAATCTGGATTAGATTAGGGATGTACTGTTATTACGCCTGATAGGTTTCGTATGAATTGAGTACAAAGGACATAGATTTTCTATTAATTGTAGAAATTTAAATGTCATTTAAAGTAAGCTGACTTTATCATTAATCTCAAGAGGAACTGCAGTAGTGAAATGCTCATTGATGAGAACACTTGTACTCCTTTAATTAATCCCATTTCTCAAAACCAAAATAGGAATATACAGCAAAACCTGTAAGGTAGATCACTTTTCAAGTCCTGTTTCGTATGAACTTAATATGAAATGAACCTTTATATGAAGAACACCTCCCAAGTGGAACCGTATTTTGAGGTACAAAAAAATGTTCCAATTACACAGGTTTCACTGTACATTTATTGTCACTGTCTCTCTCATCTTCTCATGTTTCATTAGTGTATTTTAAATATTCAGGATTTGTTCTGGTGCAAGGTCTTCTCACTCCTTTACTGCAGGAGGATTTCTATTGCTTCTCAAAAAACTCTCAAACTTTCTTGTCATCGCGATTCCAGGAAAACCACTTACCGTATTCTCTGTAATTACCGCCCACTCTCTAATAAGCGCCCACCCCGCTTCACAAAGTTCAAGAAACATCGAGGAATCAACAAGAATTGAAGAATATATCAGGAAAAAAATATTTCTCAAAATCCAGGAGCGGGCGATAATAGAGTACTTACCCTAAAACTGCTGTAAACACGACGCGTTTTGTAATTCTATGCATCCTCTCGATACATATCTATCGATGGGTGCTTCCCACACCATACCATGCTAATATTGTCTCCAAATAGTCCATAATGAATGAAGGAATTGTTCTTTATCGGCATTCAGAAATTTCAAAAGCTACTGCGCAGATGTTCTGCGCATGTCAAGGTCGTGAACTTTCTGGTTTCTTTTTAATGTTTCTCGACTTTTACACGACTTTTGCACGAATAATGATGATCTCTCATCAAATTAGAAATAATGTATAACTTTAGATCGATATCCAGCAGTTTCTAGTGGAAATATTGAAGGTAATCGGCGATAATGACAAAGTGGGCGTGCCGGAAATAAATTAGACATAGACGGGTCTTCAACCACTGTCAATATTGTCTAAGCGATCTTTACCATATTCTCTCCAATAACAGCACTTGTCATATTATTATAAAAATATGTTGAAGAAAATGCATTCTTGTCAAGAAAAATTGCCATACATGAAATTCCTCGGGATTTCTGATTTCTTTCATACATGGGCGCTTATTAGAATGGTCTAAATAATGTATTTTCAATTTTCTAAACGCCCTGGGCGCTAATTACAGAGAATACGGTAACAGATTTACTTCAAATTTTAACACATGTTACATGGTAAGAAGTCCTGGAGTTGATTAACTTTTTGGTGGCCATCTTGGAAGTTTTTAGATAAATCTTGTCATCGCGATTCCAGGAAAACCACTCAAGGGTTTTGCTTCAAATAGTTTCACATGTTACATACAGTATGAAGAAGTTTTAGAGCTGATTAACTTTTTGGCAGCCATCTTGCATTCTGTTGGCCATTTTGGAAATTTTATTAGATAAATCTTATCATCGCGATTCCACACTGCTATTGTTTTAGGTACGATATTGTTCACCCTGTGCCTTGTTATTAATGTATTCATTTATTGTACAAAGAATACTTCAAAACATGTGTAAGTGGCTGTGCTTTGAGCATTATTAGCCATCTTCTACAATTACAATACACAATGTAACCAATCAATAATATTGATTAAAATAAATGAGATACAAGAAGATAAAAGTTGTTTTGTGGAGGATTTCAGACATTTACAAATCGCTGAAAGAAGATGGCACTGCGCGTAAAAATACTTCGGCTCTCAGCTCTACTTAATCTTTTGTCACCATTGTAGATAAGGCTCTTCACTGGGTCTTCACCTGGAGAACTTATATCTTCTTCTCTGGTCTTTGACTTTCGTTCAATTGAACTTAATGTCAGTCACATTAACCTCTTAATATATCAGTCAAGGAATTTTTCACAAGGATATAGTTCTAACTTTCATAATAGTTGTTCAATTTACACAAATTATATGTGAAAATGGATAATCAATCTATTGTTCACTTTCAGATCAACAAAATGAATATCAAATATTTAAGATATAATAGCAAAAGAATTAAAATGCTCTATATAGTATTTAAGAGGTTAAATGTTCTTCTTTTCCAAAAATATATCAGCGAAGTAAAACAGACAAGATACTTCTTATAACATTAAATCACCACGTACCAATCTCAATTGAAGATCTGACCTTTAATGACCTTCTCAAGATCAAAAAGTCTTGTTTCAACTTGCTTCAAATTGACCAATTTATTTTTTTCAAAATCATCTACAAGTTATCAGAAGTTCAAATCTGACTTAAGATCTGACATCAAATGACATTCTCTAAGTCAAAAAAGGTAAAAATTTATTTTTTCAACTTGTTGAAATTGACCAATTTTTTTTCAAAATCATCTACAAGTTCTCAGAAATTCAAATCGGATTGAACTCATGATATTGCAAGCAACTAGGTGGTGATATTTTGTCGTGTTAATGCCTTGTAAAAGTTTAAGGTGTCCTCTTTTTATTTCTTTTAATAATTAGTCTATCATCAATGTTTGATATTATTTTTGATAATAAAAGTTGAGCCATTTGAAACGCTGTCGATTTTGTAGATTTAATTTTATTCTTATGAGAATTTGGGCATACCATCAATTATTTAAACGCATCATCTATCACCATGTAAAGTCCCTGTTAAAATAGGATGTAAATGTGCTCTGTTGATCAGTGCAGGTGATTAGAATAGACCATCGCTGTCTTGATATCACGTCTAATGAAGACTACCTACAAACGAGCTATGATGCTGTCTTCTCAAGACAGGAATTAGAAAGATGCATTTTATAAGTATTTGTTCTTGGTCATTTGATATTGCGTGATTCCTATTGTAGTTTAATAGGAATGAAGTCAGTTGGCCAAGTGTCAAATATGAAGCTATATACTGTATCCATGGCTGGAGCCAGTGGATCACTACAGGTTTCTATGCACCCCCATTGAGTATGCCTCTGCTTTCAGAAAAATTGTTTGGCATCCGGTATCTGTAACAAATGGCAGATGATATTTATTTTTATTGGTGGAATTGTTTGCTGGCAAAATCTGGACTCAAGTCAGGACGTTGCCAAGAATTAAAACTCAAATTCAGGTTGCATAATACATGATTTGTTATTTTATTAATTGAAAGAAAACTAACAAACCAAGAGTCAAGATATGTTGCTAGATATTGTTATCTTTATTGGTGAAGTTAATTGCTGGCAACATTTAGACTATGCATTGCCAAGAATAAAGATTTGAATAAAGGTTGCATAGCAGGGGTTTCATTAGCAGCAGACAACAGGCGATATTCACCAGTTGTTTTCTCAAAATCGCTTGTTGTTTTTTAGGGACTTTTCAACTTTTCCATGTTAAATTTATGATTTCCATTAATTTTGCCTGTTGATTTCATTTATTTAGCCTGTAGTGAGAAATTCTAGTGAAACCTCTGAAGGTCCATGATTTGTCATTTCATGAATTGAATAGGTAGACCAATTAAGCAAGATGCAAGATCTGTAACGATATACATGTATATTTATTTTTTATTTGTGTGATGTAGTTCTGCCAATATCTTGGCTTCAGTCAGATGCATTGTCAAGAATGCAGATTTGATTCAAGGTTACAAATGTATATATTACATAATTTGCTATTTTATGAATTGTAAAGATACTGTAACAATGTAAAGAGACATTGAAAATTGTTCTATTTTCTGTATCTAAAATCACCTCAATACTTCTATTTTTTAACTGTAACTTTATAATCTTTATAATAACAACATCAAGGTACACAGTAACAATGGAAGATATACAGTTACAATGGGTTATATACAGTTACAATGGAAGAATACACAATGATAATAGGGAGTTACTCAGTAACAATAGACAGATCTACAGTAATGTTGGGAAGATAAACAGTCATAATGGGAAGATACATTGTAACAATGTCAAGATACACAGTGAAAATGGGAAGATACACAGTACCAATGGGAAGATATACAGTTACAAAGGGAGAATACACAGAACCAATGGGAAGATATACAGTTACAATGGGAGAATACACAGTTACAAAGGGAGAATACACAGAACCAATGGGAAGATATACAGTTACAAAGGGAGAATACACAGAACCAATGGGAAGATATACAGTTACAATGGGAGAATACACAGTTACAAAGGGAGAATACACAGAACCAATGGGAAGATATACAGTTACAATGGGAGAATACACAGTTACAAAGGGAGAATACACAGAATCAATGGGAAGATATACAGTTACAATGGGAGAATTACAATACATTGTATACTTCTTTTCATTATTTCTTTTTCAGAATATTGATTAAAAGGCCTTGCGATAAGTACGCCCCCTTTGTCTTTATCCTTCCAAACGTCAGATAAGAGGGGCTCTGCATCGTGGTAAGCCACACCCTCTCCATCTCTATCCTTCTGGATGCAACAGAGAGAGATGCTATGAGTATCAGAATGGGGGCTCTGGTATACCAGAATGATGAAAAGGGTTAAATTGTGCCATTTTTTTTCAGGCACTATTAATGTTAATATAATTTTTTATTGTTTATTCTAGGTGCCAGAAGTGGCCTTACTCTTGGAGAAATGTGATGACGCAGACTCTTGTGTAGCGACGTCATGCTGCTCAGCTCTCGTGCAGCTTGTTTATGAGGGGCATGCTGACTTCAACTTTGTATTGAACAGTTTATTGAACAGAGTGCCTTCAGCTACGTGAGTATTCCATGAACTCCTATAGTACATTGTCATCTTTTTATCTTATTGCATCTCCGTTATTACCTTGAGGGAAATATTAATGCAGATTCGATGCTGAAAAGAATTAAATGACCCAAAGAGAGTTTCAAGATGAAATGAATGCCAGGTACAAATGAAAGCATGAAATAGAGTGAATACTGTTTTGATTGGCTAGCTGGATTTGTCAAAGCTGTCAAATGAGAAATGTTCGCCCATTTTATAAGAAAATCCATAAAAACTATATTCATGGTATATTTGACTTGAAGCAGTTATTCTAACGCCCCTCGTATTTCCAATACAGGCCTTTGATAGGCTAAAATGTGCCTTGCTATTTGATTTATGACTTGCATTATTGGATATCTTACCAGGTAATAAAGAATAGATGCATCAGGCCCGTAGCCAGGATTTGCCAAGGGGGGGTTCAGTTTTCAAAAATTTCCAGGGAGGGTGTTCACATTTGACAATTTTGGCCCAAATATGGCTAAAATCACTTGAGAATTGCTCAAAATGGTGAAAAACTGCATGATTTTGAAAGAATTTTTGGCCAGGGGGGGGGGTTTGCCCGAACCCTGCGAACCCTTCCCCCCCTCTGGCTACGGGCCTGTGCATACTGTCCTAATGAAAGGGACATATTAACAAATATGGTGTTTTAATAGTCTGATTGTGTGCAAGGCCTAATCAGTTACTGCAACTGAACACATCTTTTGTAATTAAACTTGTATATTTTTGAAATTTCTACTAGTGAGGCAAGTTCTTAATAAAGGTAGGACATTTCTTGTAGTTTTTTGTCACCACCAAAATATTATTATGGGCTTGATTTTAGTGATGGCCATTGGTGGGTGGCGGTTGGTGATTGATGTCCGCCATCTGTAACAAATTCTAAAAACTTCCAATAACTTTACAAATACTGTTTTGACTGACTTCAAATCTTTTCAAAATCATCTACATTCTCAGAAGTTCAAATCTGATTTGAGATTTGACCTTCAATGACCTTCTCAAGGTCAAAAAAAGGTGTTTTTCAAATTGACCAATTTTTTCAAAATCATCTACAAGTTCGCAGAATTTCAAGTCTGACTTTAGATTTGAGATATGACCTTCAGTGACATTCTAAAATTCAAAAAAGGTCGAAAAGGTATTTTCCAACCTGCTTTAAATTGACCAAATTTTTTTAAAATCATCTACACGTTTCAGAAAATTCAAATCTGATTATAAAATTTGAGACTTTCACCATCAAGGTAAAAAGGGCAAAAAGCTCTTTTTTCAAATTGACCAATTTTTTCTAAAATCATCTACAAGTTCTCAAAAAGTTCAAATCTGACTAAGATTGGACTCATAATATTGTGAGCAACTAGATGGTGACTTTTTTAATGTTTATGCCTTGTTTATTATCAGCAGTTGTTGTAGTCTATGTCAAATACAGAAAATTGTATATATTTTGTTGTGCTATGCTTGTTATACTAATTATCTCATGAATTTTCAAAAGTTGACTTTCTATATCTTTTAATAATAGCTTTGTTTGTTAACACTAGAAGTGTTTGAGTCCTAAACTTTTTTTGTAGCCTGTGTTTGGCACTTGTTGTTTGGAAGATGGCACTTGACAATCAGTGTCAGTAACAAATGGCAGGTAGTCATAAATATTGCCTTGTATTCCAGGAATTGTGGAGGAATTGTCCAAGCTCTGACAGACTTGCTCATTCTCCAAATGAGAACATCTGTCAATGATGGAAGCTATGACAAACGGTAAGTTAATATCAAAATAATGGTTGTAAGATGTAAATGTAATGTTGAGTTATTACAGGAAGAATTGTATCACATGTACAGTAAAACCTGAATATATGCATTTAATAAGTTGTGAACATCTCTCAAAAGTTGAAATGGGTCATCTCAAAATGTGATTTCCCAATAATTATTTAGATGTTCTGATTCCTTGTGAAATCATCAGGTTAAAACCAGGTCAAAGAAGACCTTAAGTAGTTGACAGTTTTAATTTCTGATGACAGTTTTAAACTTAAGAATAAATAAGGAGGTGTTTGGGAATTGGCAGTTGGCACTTTGTGGTTGGCAGTTGGCATCTCTAACAAATGGTAGTTGATGACATTTTGCATGTTAAAGCCTCATTTTTCCTATGCAGGGGATCGCGTTGTTTCGTGATGCCCTGTTTTTCCAATATTGCATTAGTCCAGGTTATTCTCTGCTTCCAGTGGACCACCACATCCTTACATTACCGCAGTGGAAAACAAACCTGACATATGGCATTCTCTGCTCAACCACATACGCCATCTATTCACTCATAGTGAAACCAGGTACAGGATTGATCTATAATCTCACCACTAACCTAGTAAAAGTTGGGATATAGAGAACCAGTCCAGCAATCCATTAGTTTATTTGGTTGATAATGTTTAAAGAAAACATAGTTCAATAAGAAAATTTAAATTAGATTTATGTTTTGCAAATCACTTTGAAGCTCCCACTTGATATGTCTTGAGCAATCAAGTATGTTACTATACACGATAATATAATCTTGTTCAAACTATCTTGTTTGTTGTATTTCAGGATCCGACAAAATGCATTAAAGATTGTTTCTCCATTTGTGAAGTATGCACTCCTTGACCCGAGTTTTGCAGATGACAAAACACATCTGCGCTATGCATTATGGGATGTTCTACTCGACAACTGTTGCCAGAGCACCAGTGCTGTCACCTATGTAGCTGGAATACTGAATGTGCTAGCAGTTCAAGTATGGCATTTATTGTAACTATTATCATTTTAGTTATATTTGTGTTACACCTTTTTCAAGTAAGCAAAAAAGATAACCGTAAAAATTGTATAAGGTGTTTTTAGACAGGAGAATTGTGAGATGCACTACACATCTTATCAGGTGAATATAAGTACAGAGTATATTATATAGATTTCATGAAGATTCTGATAACTTAATTAAGATAATCTTTCCAGTGCTCTACAGAAAAGCATATAGCTGAATATGGGCATCATTTGAAGCGTGTGATATCCACGTTGGTTGGTAACTATGGCAACAAGAAGGATCAATGGAAACTACTGAAAGAACTTCTGTATTTGTCACTGTCGACATGCATAAAGATGGACCAACTTGGGATGAATATCTATGGAATGGTTTCCTGTTTAAACGATTTGGTGACACAACTTACGGATGAGGTAAAATAAATGAGGGATTCTTCTAGAGTTAAGTTAGAGAGAAAGGAATGAGTAACATGTCCATTGAAAATGCCCAGTTAACTAGTATTATGTCACTACCAGAAGTGGTGACATATTGTTATATTCTCCAACTTTTTTGTGGACAGTGTTCGGCATTTGGTGGTTGGTGGTTGGCATCTTTAACAAATGGCAAGTGATGAGATTTTGCATATTAATGCCTTGTTAAAGTAATTCTCATTATAATAATCAGTTCACAATGTATTTTGTGCAAAGTGACTACTCTTTCTTGAAAAATACTGTCAAAGGTTTGCAATTTATTGTTACAATAATAAACAAATGCTTTATCCACATGTTTTATGTTTTATCCACATGTTTTATGCTTTATCCACATGTTTTAGGGGGCTGTAGAAGGAGAGATGTTGCTAGGATTGGCTTCATTAATGCAAAGATCAATTCCATCTCTGCAAATAGAGATTCTACACATATGTGAGTTAACAATGCCAGCTGTTAAGACATTCATTCATATTCAAATATTGGTGGATCAACCATACCAAGCATTAAACTACATGTGTTCTTTCTCATGTAATGTATATATTCTGTATAATGAAAGAAATTATATGTTCACATTCTTTGAACATGAATTTGGTTGCTATGGAAATATTATCTTAGCTTAGCTACATCCGCCATTGGATAATTATTTTTAGACCCAATTTGTAGCTGCAATAAAGTTAAGAAGATGATGGTAGAGCATTCCCTTTGTCTGTCTTTGCATTTTTTTATTGTTTGTAATTTAAAGCTGCATCTTGAAATAAATTCAATGATTAATAATGACTGAATTAATTTTTAGTGCACATGTTAATGGAAAAGTCCACACACCTGAATCCAATACTTCAAGGGTTCTTAGCTGGGCCTATGATTCAGATTGTTGCTATGCCAACACCAGTTACTCCAGCAACCACAACTAAGAAATTACATCATATAGCAACCAAGATTCTGTCATTGATTGAGTCCAGACTGGAATCTAGCCACACGATGCAGGATTCTTCCCAACAAAAGGTTTGTGTGTCTGTAGTTTATGTGCCTACAAATGTGTCTTATATCGACGGCATATAACTATAGATGTATAGTTATAAAGATTACAGAAGGACCATTATTCTACAATTTATGAAATCTGTTACGATGTGACATCCCAAATACTGTTTCTCAAAAATGTTGTGAATTATGAAGTCAAATTCAACCATCTCGGTTACAATATTAAAAATGAGCCAATGACTAAAAACTGAGAAAATGTTAGATACCTTTTAGAAATAACCTCCAGTTAAAGACATTGGAATGAAACTGGGGAACAACTCCAGTTGATCCCACCATTTATTTACTCATTGCCCTATCTTGTGTATGAGACTGTAAATATGTTTGTTCTCAGGAAGGAGGCTCAAAATACAGAGGGGACTATAGTGTTTTTGGGGTGTACACCCAGCTCACCGAACGACTGTCAGCAGCCAACAACAAGGCCTCTGATTGGCTCAAACATCTAGCTATCACAATCCCTAGCTGTAAGAAAATCCCAGATGAGGTTACGTATATTGTGACATCACTTGCGTTGAAGACTGAATGTTTGGACCTTGCAGTTCCAGTTTTACTAGCAATTGCAAAAGTGGAGCCTACAAAGGTAGTTGTTTATACTACATGTATTATATGTCTTCCCTAAGTAGACATGCACTCCATGTTAATTTAACCTCTTGAATTCCAAAAATGTGTTTCAGAGCATTTTTTGCCAGTATTTGACATTTACTAGCTGCATACAGTGTCATACATGTACATATATGTGGTGTTCAGTTTAGTGAATGCATTGACTTTCTTCACATATTTATACATAGGACTTCGTTGCATATATTGGATTAAGTTTGTCAAAGTTTTAGCTCAAAATTCTTTAACAGATTGTCTCATCACTCTAAATCCGTGTCAAATCTTTTCTGACAAGAATATCTCCTCTTTCTTGGAAATCAAGAGGTCAAGGTTAATGGAATGCCATCTGAGGCTCAACTAAAGAAAGTTTTGGATAAAATATTGAGTTTATTTTATCTTCCAGGCAGTTGACTTACTCTCTGTGTTCCTGTACCTACTTCACAGACAGAAGACTGCAGCTACCAAGTATGTCATCCTCTCTGCACTTCCTAGCCTGGCTGTACACAAGGTGAGAAGTCATATTTTGGTTTTTGCATAGTCATAGCCTGGCTGTACAAAAGGTGAGAAGTCCCATTTTGCTTTTATGCATAGTCATAGCCTGGCTGTACACAAGGTGAGAAGTCATATTTTGCTTTTTTGCATAGTCATAGCCTGGCTGTACATAAGGTGAGAATTCACGTTTTGCTTTTTTGCATAGTCATAGCCTGGCTGCACATAAGGTGCAAAGTCATGTTTTGCTTTTTTGCATAGTCATAGCCTGGCTGTACATAAGGTGAGAAGTCACATTTTACATGTATGCATAGTCATAGCCTGGCTGTACACAAGGTGAGAAGTCACACTTTGCTTTTTTGCATAGTCATAGCCTGGCTGTACATAAGGTGAGAAGTCACATTTTGCTTTTTTGCATAGTCATAGCCTGGCTGTACACATTAGGTGAGAAGTCACACTTTGCTTTTTTGCATAGTCATAGCCTGGCTGTACATAAGGTGAGAAGTCACATTTTGCTTTTTTGCATAGTCATAAAATTACTCTTTGTACCTAATCCAACTTCCTTGTGGATGGTGTTTGGCATCTGGCAGTTGGTGTTCAGTGTCTGTAACAAATGGCAGATGGTGACATTTTGCATATTAATGCCTTCAAAGCTTGTAAGAGAGTGAATTTGTCATATGACAAGAAGTGATCCTACCCAGTGCATTCCTCACATAATCCATGTGTATTGGAGAAATAGATCATTGCTTTTGAAAATACCTGTTCATCATTCACTTTTAAACTATACTTCATGTAACTATGCTGGGATATGCCTCATGATTAGTACATGCACATGTACACCTTTTGGATTTCAGAAATTATTTCTGTAGTCAATTCTCTCGGACTCCGCTGACTTCCTGATATAGTAGCTAGAAGCTGTGGAACACATAATGCTTGTAACATGTATCTGCCTGTAGTAGAACCATTCAAAGTGATGAGCCACATTTTGAGTTAAAAACTGAAGCTCTTTCTGTACAAACTTCCCATACGCTGTATTTAGTCATTGTTACTGTAAATATGAACATTCTTTGGCATTGTCTTTGTATTTTTTATTGCAGTTGGCAATGCGGCCAGCTATGAAAACATTACTGCTTTTGTGCAATGTACCTGACCTGAAACCAACTGGTTTGAGACTATTAACATCACTATGGCAACAGCAGGATCGTTGTTTCCCATACCTTCAGCGCCTCTTATTAGACAATGATAATGGTCAAAGGTCAAAGGTGACAGGTGTCAATGAGCTCTTATTGTCAAAGGCTGCTTGTATAAGAGACATATGTGTATCTAGGTAAGATTTAATGATGTAGGATTGAAATGTAGTCAACAAGTACTCTATCATTTTAAAGAATATGTGTTAAGTATTCTTGCCCTCCGAAGTACTCTCTTATAATTATCATATGAAATGTGTTTGAAAATGGATTCAGCTCATTGTTTGGACAAATATGTACCTACAGTATTTATTTCATTTGCCATATTTAATTTGACAATATTTTAATCGAACGGTAATAGCATGTTTGAATGATTTTCTTAATGTAGGCCACATCAACATGGTGCAGATATGTTGGGTCCACTCTCTAAGATGCTGAACGACTACACTGACACCTGCTATGCCCCTGTTGCTTCACTAGCATTACAAGGAATACATGCTCTATGTAAATCTGAGGTAATCCAGGTCTTTTCTTTAAAGTCCCCGTCTAAAGTTTGAAAATATTTTTTTATCATTCAGTTACTATTTGTCAGGACTTAAAAAGTGATTTTAGAGCTTTTTGAACAAAAAAAAATTTTTGAAAGAAAAGTTATGAGCATTTCATTTCTCAAATATTCAAATTTCCCGCCATTTTTCAAAAAAAGTTTAGATTTCTTAATCATCAAATATTTCTTAATGCATTTCAAAAAAGATTATCTTTTTAACACCAACGCAAAGATTGAATAAAGGATACACTATTTCAATAATAAAATGCCATATTTAATGGGCCACTTCAATGTTTTAGCATATCAAAAATATTTTGAAACATTAGTGATGTCACTAAGGTACCAAAAACTTTTTTGAAAAAAATTGAAATTTTTTTTCGATGTCAATCTTTTCTAAATATGTTAGACTTTCATAAAAAACCAATGTTGATTGTCTAACCAGGTTAAAAGGAAGAATAGATTATGTTTTAGATATCATTGTACCATTGGTTTCTATGAGAACTAAAATTTTGAAATGCATTTTTCTCAGAACCATTTTCATGCACTGATAAGTTCATTTCTCGCTTATTTATGAATCGATTTTCTTAATTTTTTCGGCAAAAAACATGGGGGGATGAATGCTATTCATTGGTATGAATTGTGGCTAATTAGAAGATATGAGATACCTCTAAAAGTTGGTTTTAAATAAATTCACAAATTTTGGAAAAAAAGTCTATCAAAAACCACTTTTTGAAATTAAAAAAAAAGTTTCACATATCACACTTTGATAACATTGGGTAAGACTACAATATAAGCCAAAGTGCTGTGTTCTCCCTGACTGAAAAATGCGTGGCGCTTGCGCCACGCACATTGTGGCTGCGCCACGCTGATTTATTGCGCGCCACACATATATTAACAGCGCCACGCATTAGACTTTGACAGAAAAAATTATAGAAATTGAAAAAAATCAAAGTTTTAATCACATCAAAATCTCAGCCCGTTTTGCTTGAAAACGATACAAAATGCTCTATGTAGATAAAGAAATGTCTGTACTTACCTTTCTTGCACTAAAGAATCTTCTATTTACCTTCTATTTTGATAAAAACAGTTTGATTTGCACAGAAATGAAACATGTTTTTCTAGGTCAGGACTCACAGCCTCCGATTTTGAAGAGTACTCGATAATTATAGTTGAATTATATTGAAGAAATATGTGGCCACATACTGAAAATTATTTTGTATATTGAACTTTATATTATATTATGGAAATAAATATTAAATTGAACATTGAATTAAAACAAACCTCTTGAGCATTTATATTGCAACATGGCCTATTGTCATTAAAGTAGATGACTATACAGTGCTAAATTTCATTTGTTTTGATGTTATGTAATTACATAACATTAAAATAAATGTTTAGCATATTTATAACAATTGGCTGTTGATGCAAATCATTGAGATTAAGTAACGCCGCGAAGCGGCGCCGATTTTTTTTAAGCACGTTTTTGTAAACTTATCACCACCCTAATAATTTTGCCACCACCCATCAATTTTTATTCAAACTTTTTCACCACTCACTTTTGAAAAATTAGGGAGAACACTGCAAAGTGGTTTAAACTTTATATGGGACCTTTAAAGGTTTGGTATCGATATGGCGAACTGAATTCAACATTGTTTTTCTCTTAAACCAACTATTGAAAACATTATTGTAAAAAACATGGTCCTTTATGTAATGGTCACTGATAATTATTTAAATATATTTATATAACTGTTTTTGTTAACATTTTTTGTTTTTTAATGCGATTGATTTTTTTGATTTTCTACCAATTCGTGACAATGAAATAAAATATCTTTCCAAACTTTGTGGAACAAAATAGCGTATACAACATTTTCTTAGACCTCTCAATATTATTATTATTATTATAAAGGAAAATTTGGTTGATTTAACAAAAAGTTTTCAAAAAATTCAAACAAGAACCCCAAAAATAAATAACTTTCCTTTGTACAGTAACAATATTGAGAGACCTAAATATGTTGTGTATATGTCTACGTTTTGTTCCAATGAGGTTTGGATAGATGTTTCATTTCATTCCGAACATATGATATCAAGAACTAATGAAGTATCCGATGTTTGCCATATCGATACCAATCCTTTAGAAATTCATGAGATTTAGTCCAAAAATGAATGAAATAAAATGAAATTATTTTCTAATTGAAAAAAAAAGATTTTGGGCAATTTTTGTGTCAAAATAAATTTATTAACATGTTAGGTTTAATATTTGGTGTACATTATTCTTTTCAAATTTTGATTGTGACAAGCTGACAGTATTATCACCCACAAATGCTACAAATTCAAACTTTTTTTAGCCCAAACAAGATAACCTGTAAGGTTTTCACTGTTTGACCATTGTCTGTTCATGTTGGCTTCTTCACTTTTGAGGAAAATCAAATTAATTTAACACAACATACTACAGTAAAACCTGTCTAATCTGAATATCACTGGGATGGGCCAAAAATGCCCAGATTGGCAAGTGTTCACCTATGCAGGTTTTTAACATGGCAGATTTAAAACGGGACTGAAAAAAGGTGTCCACATTGAGAGCTGTTCGGATGAGAAAAGTGTTCAGATATACAGGTTTTACTGTACTTGAAATGCATGTTCAATACCTGTACCTTGTATCTCCCAGGTAATAGACATCAGGACAACATGGGCTGTACTTGCCCCAAAGCTGACAAAGGATGACAGGCCGTTGGTACAGGTGGACATCTGTAGATTGTTCTCACTTGTTCCGAGCCTCGCTGTGGAGACACAGGAATTTCAGGTAAACAAATCATCCAAGACTATAAAGAATGGAAAATTACATGTAATTGAGAATTAGATTAATTAGGTACATGTAAGTTCATAGCAGGGTAAAAGCTAACAATTTAATACACTGTTGAGGATTTTGGATTTTCACTTGAATCATTGAATTATTGAAAATATTAAACTTTGAAAAACACATGTACATTTTCATTGTAGTTGTATGTATCAAACATGAGCCCTCAATACATGGATCACAATCCGAATAAAATGTTTCCTTGTGATTGTACAAAACAAAATTAAATATTATACAACAATAATATATTATACTGTACTGTAACACTGTAATTCAGGACTTTTACTGGGTAGTAGTTGAGTCTCTATGGAAGTTCACCCTCTCTACAAATGACAAGGTTGTGTCTGCTGCCTATGATGCCCTGGCCCAGTTCCCTGCATCACACTTCAAGCTGAGTCACCTCCCTGATCAGGTTAGTCCCCACCATTCACCATTCCAAGAAGCCCACAACATGTTTTTGAGAAATTCCTAATACCTCTTTTTAGATTCTGAATCCAAAGTCTACAGGCAATAGGAACATAACATGTAATTAAGATAAGATATATTTTTAATTTTCTGTAAATAATAAAACATATTGAAATGGATGGGCAGAAATATACATGTATCTTGTTTACTTTTGCAATGTTTAAATATTGTACAACCTTCCACAAGTGCCACACAAAGCTAATTGTTTGGACCTGTTGTGTTCAGGTGAAAGCTGAGTACAGCACAGAAGCTGAGGATGATGAAGAAGACAGTGAGAAAATACCTGGGGATTGTTTCATGAAGCTACTCTCAGCCCTTCCTGCTCAAGCAAGACCAGGTGGGAGATTAATATATTGGTGGAAATTGAAAGGTCATGTGTTCAAATCCCACAGTCTGTGACTTTTTTCAGCCATTCGCCTGGGATGTAAATCTGTTGAAATAAGTAATATCATAGTGAATTTATCATTTGTATGAATTCTTCTCATGCAAGAATGTATTTTGACATTGGTCATTTACTGACATGAGAAATCACTGTCTTGCATTTCTGACACATGACATCAATGTTTACACATTTTCTGACATCATATTTCAGCATTTGTGCATTTTCTGACATCACTTGTCCAACATGAGGTAGACAACATGCCACGTGGTGTCCACCATAAACACATCCAGAGACAACAGGTTCTCTCCAGCAAAGACAAGACATTGTCCCGGGTAGCAGAGTTCATACTGCAACAACATGAAGGTGGTCCATCTCCAAGTCTACAACCAGCCATAGCAGGTATTACATGTACTTGTATATAAAATAGGAAAATTGCTATTTCTGGAATAAACAAAAGCATGTTCAAAATTCAAATATTTTGATTGAGGTATACTTTTGAGTATAATTAAGTAAGTTCAAGGAAGGTTGAATGCATTTCTCTATCTTCTCTCAATGTGTATATTTACATTTACTAATGCAATGTTTCTCAGTATGTTTACATTAATCAATAAAGCAGAACATTTTGAATGTCCCTTGCATATATTTTCTCCAGCCAGTATGCTATTCTGCTATGACCCTCAAGTAGAGATGGGCAAAGATGGTAGGGTACGAAAGCACTATATCATTTCACATGGTCGCAACTATGAGAAGATGCTCCCTGTTTTACTAAATGGTGTCCCCATAGAGTTGGAGAACTGGCATATGATGATGTTGCTGCCACAGGCCTGGGCTGGCTTCATTGAGAGGTGCTTCTATGCCATGTTTGAGGTGAGTCCAATGGCTTAGGACTCCTACAATGAGTGCCAATAAAAACCAATATGCATTTATATTACATTTCGGATTGATTAATACACTGAACAATAAGATAAACATGTACATGTATGATCAATTCTGAGTCTTAATGTAACCCTACTATCACACCAAACTAGTTCTCACTACGTTCTCGAAAACGGGCTTCAACTGTGTACGAACGGACTGGACGTATTAAGAACCGTTTGGGGTCTATTTACAAACTTCATCGAACGTACTCGAACGGGTAGGTCCTCTAGAACTTAGACAATGCTCAAAATGTTCTCGTGGTCGTCACGTTCTACAATTAGAACGAGTGACAACGTACTAACGACGAGCTGGACGTACTACGAACGGAACCGTCGTACTTCAATCCTACTAGGGACGTTTTAACAATGAGTGGAACTGTCCGAGGACGTGTTGAGAACGAGGTAGAACTCATTGCAAACGGGTTTAAACTGATTAAGAACGTATTTAACACTGCTTATGAACGAGTTAGCAAAAATATAGCTATCACACCAAACAAGTTGCCACTGCGTTCTTCAAAACTGGTTCTAAACTGTGTGCGAACGGAATGAACGTAGCTGCAACTTTCTAAGGTCTATTTACGAACTTTATGAACATTCTCAGACGGGAATGTGATTTTGGAATTTTGAATCGATTCAAAATTCGATTGCGACCATACCGTTCTGGTATCAGGTCATGATGACCTTCTAGACTAAGGGACGCGTTCTACGGCGTTGCACACCGACGTGGTGCGACCTGAACGAACTGCGAACGAGATGGACGTATTGAAGACTGTTTAAGAACGAAGAAGCTAATTATTTCAGACATATTCCCGACCACAGCCAGATTGAGCCCGTTTTACGACGTTTTCGTAGGACTGGCAAGAACGGGTAAGAACGAGTTTGGTGTGATAGGGGGGTTAGAGAGCCTCTGATGATGAGTTCAGAAATACAACATAAGAAAATTTGTGGATACAAGGAATGCACATCAGCTATTCCAAGCTTTGACTATTTGAATAAAAGTGTATTGTATGTTTAATTTTTTAGTGTCGTCAAACTGAACTACAGCAGCAAAGCAAGAGAGAGGACAGCGAAGACTGGGAACAACTGGACAATGATTCTGAAAATGCGTGGATTTGGTAACTCCCTTAGAAATTGTTCTCTATTAGAACAGAGAGATTAAATATCAACATTATGGAATTATCCAATGCTGATTTATATTAACCTTCACCCAACTTAAAGAATTGTGATATGTTTTTTAAGAAATATTCACATATTATTGAATAAGATTTTGAACAGTTTGATGCTGCCATCTATTTACAGTTACAGCCTTCATTCATACTAATTTCTTAAACTGTATTTTCAGGGTTAGAGATAAGATATGTGAGATACTTAAGAGAGCATCAAGGTAATTTGTCTTTAGAATGGCCTCGGTGATATCTTTTTAACTGTGAAAACAGGAGATTCCCATATCTTATATATGTAGTGTATTATGCATTATAGATAAAAGGATAAATACTCATTATTATCATTTTCAATTAAAGTAAGTATTAAAATATTGAAAAAAGAGACATCACATACATGTGCCTTGAAGTCCTTGAACGTCATTCTTAAATCGTTTTAGATTGAAAAAATGTGTTGGGTAATTTAAAATGCATTTAGGCCTTTTTACCAAGAAAAAAACTGATGTTGTCCTTTTGATTTTAAAGCACAATTTTGTCCACTATTTGTCTTGTTTGTTTTCAGAGGAGCACCTAACTCCCAGGGCAACAGCATCTTGGCATTAGCTGGGCTTTTAACCATTGTGACATCACACACAAGTACGCTTGATGAGAAAGCATTAAAACTTGCAGATGAGGACAGTGCACATCTTAGCAACAACCATTGGAAACAGATTGTCTGTGATACCATCATGGCCATAGCGGAGCCAGCATATCGGGAGCGATTTAAACAAAGGAAGGGCAGTATATTGGTGAGTAAATCTTTAATACTGTACAACACCAATTACTCGGATGCGAGTAGGTAGTTACCAGTTTCGCCACCAGGTGGCTGATTCGGGGGAAATAACATGGCAGGGTATTACAAAGTTCCCTTAAACTTGAATATTCATCAGTTTTAGTGGTTCACTTTTTATATTAACCTTATGTATCTGATAGTTAAACAAATTAAAATATGTCCAGAAAAGGAAAATGTTATCTGCCCAACACAAGAAAAGATATTTCACTTTTTGTGATTTTACAACATGGGGTCTACGGGGAATTTCCCCGACCTAGAAGTCACATTTTCAAAGAAAATTGAATTTTCAAAGTTGATAAACTCTTTTCAAACCCACATTTCTAGATGTAATTTTACATGTAGATTCCAAATAGAACATCAGTTTGACTGAATTTTGAATTTTTAATGACATAAATCAAGATTATTTCTACTCGCACCTAGTCTATTGATTTTAACCCTTACCAGGAAATTGCTCTTTTTGGGACTTTTATAACTTGTCAGTTACATTTATTAAGACTCGAAAAACAATATATGAAATTAAATAATTGATGGATGGTACACATTTTATGCTGAGGCCTATTATCCAATGACAATGTAAACTTATTTTGTTTAACCTAGAATATATTGCTCTTTATGCTCTAATGGGTTCATTTACTCTTATTGAACATTTCACACTTTGATGTAGAGATCTGTAATTGTATTGTCAATATGTGTTTCATTTTAAAAATCCCAATACATGTATATATTTCATCTTCTTATTTTTAAAATGTTTGCTGTCAATGAAATTCTAAACCATGACCTTTCAATGACATTTTCCTTTGAGGTAAATGGCTCATAGATGACTCCTAGTAATTGATGCTACGGAAATTGTGGCAAAGTAATGTTTGAGATATAGGGATATCTGATTAATGAAACATTGATTTTCACTCATAAATATTTACTTATCTCTGTATGTGATGCTAGAATTGCAATTAGTATACCATGCTTATCCATACTCCTACCCTACGCGTAGATTCTAGTTATAAACTACCCTCTGCCTAGTATCATGGGCTTTCAACTAATTTCAACTAATTTCTAATTGAAAACCCATGCTAGTATAGACTATTTTACAGTTTAGCAGTCCTGCCCCTAAGATTGGTGTCTGTGACAGCCCGGGTAATAAATCATTTCAAATCTACCAAGTGGAAAGAACACATGCTAAATATGTGCTCATTCACTATGCGGTGATGTCATTGAAATGACCATACAGTGAATAGAAAGTCATCCGTATTTCGACGATGAACTCTGATTGGCTCGGTGAGATCAGATATTTTTTGTAAACTGAAAGAGTGAAGATAAAGCTCTCTTTTAAGAAGTGAAGTTGAACGAATGCAAAGGGTACCATACTCGAGGTTGTCTTGTAATGCTTTCAAATGATTCAACTTCCATCTACATGCAGATGTAATATAATATATATTTATTATTAACTGAGAAATTCATGTCTGAGCCATACAGTACTTCACCCTCCTTTCAGCACAAATGCTCTCCCCTAGTGAACCCAGTATTAATTCAGTTCACAAATGTCCCATTATGATGTCAGCTCACATTATTATTCCATTTCAGTTCAGCTTTATAGATTTGATTGCTTCATGTGATGGTAGTTATTAAGTTAGACACAAAATAACTATAATAATTATATTATCATTATGATGCACACAAATTGTTTATGATAAAGCCATTTAAGTTATTAAAGTGATTTTAAATTGTTTATTACAAAGCCAATATTGGTTTATAAGTGCTGCTCTGCTGCGGGTGCATTAGCAGAATGAACAGCTAAATTCCTTCTTTTCCACGGGCAGCACCATCTGGTGGCGACATCTTTTAACACAATTTTAAACCTCCGATCCATCGTGCAGTAAATAATAAAGTTGGTAGATGTAGCCACTAATTCTAGAATGTTTGCCACAAGGCGGTAATTCCGATACAAATCGGTATTAAGATTGCCAAATATTGGTGTTGCGACTCCACGAAAGGCAAACGCTATTGGAATGTTACCGAGAAGGGACACAAAAATGATACAAATTAGTACCATTGTGAGCTGGTGATTGGTCATTATATGGTGATGTTCTTTGCAGTAGCGATGCTCTGAGTCATGATGCGGAATTTTCCAGGTGCAAACAGAGTGGATCAGAATACACGTAAGAACTGTAAGAATAAGTGACGGTAAAAAATTACGAAACAACGCCCTTATCCAAGATAATGCTATATAGAGCGAACTGTGTCCAAATTCAGACAAATCGTAAGTGTTACAATCTGTAATCTTACTAGCTATGAAATATGATATGTTTAGTGTTATTGCTCCTAATGCAATTATTGCTATGATGAGACGTGTATTAGGAATAGTGCAATACTTCATACTCAACAAGGGACGTTTAACATAGAGATACCGCTCTATAGCCAGGGCCATGGTGATCCATATACTCATCGTAGCGGAGATATTATTGAATGGCAACATGATGTAAACCTCATAGAATCTGCGTCCATAGCCTGCGGAATCCTGGGTATTGCAACTCATACAACGAACGAATCCGATCGGAAACACCAGCATCAACGTCACCAAATCAGAACTCTCCAATGCCAGAAGATACGTATAAGGTGTCCCTTCTAAGCAACGCTGAGACAGTACTACAATATTAATGATGGTATATATGATGCCCAAGCCACATATGATTGGTATTATATAGACATATCCAATCTCTTCAGCATGTGTCATTGAATGTTCACATTTTGCGTTCTCAGTATGGTTGTCATTGGTAATGATTGGCCAATCAAAGATCAGTGTTACATCATCCATTCTAATATGAGTATTATATGCCGCTGCTCAATTTGTCTTTGTTTTCTGCACTCCACTGCAAAATAAAAAAATGATTTAAACATATTTATACATGAACATTGTGTTAATTATTTGGAACTATAATTTGAACAAGGCATTCATTTAAACAATTTAAAAAAAGTACAAAGTACAGTCTGACCATGCCGAAACATGTTTCAGAAACACTCTATCACTTTGTTCCCAGCTACATCATATATAAATGTTCTAAATGAAACACAGAACAAAACCTGAGAGACAAAAGTGTAACAGTATATGCCTAATGAACAATTTGATTAAATGAAGAATTGGAAATGTCAAAGCTAATACCCTTCCAGCTTTTCATTTACATATCAACAATTTGTTCACCTTAGCTTCTTACTAATGCTTTAATTCATAGTTTCTCAGTGAGAGGTTATTTGTAGGATCAGTGAACGCTACTCTTTATAGTATCAGCAAATGTTGTGAAATTAATTTGTTAGAATTCCAAATCGGATAACCTATACATCTATGGCATTTACTCTTTATTGCACTCTAGGGTATTCAGCAAATCATTCCATAGATTAATTTCAAATTTTTAAGGATGTTTCTCGAAATGAAAGTGTGGCGAAGTTCAGTCTCTCTATCTTATCCCAAAAACACGAAAATAAGTTTGAATCAAAATTTCATTTATTTTGGAAAATTATATGTGCTGAAATTAAGTCATTGTCATTGTAAGTTTTTGTATGAATCCAGAAGATGCAACAAAATTCTGAGCTTTCAATTCCAATTGAGGTGGGCAGAGTTGAAATAAGAAGTCTTTTCAAATAAAATATTAATAAAACCCATTTACTATAGTTGGCATAAAATTAGTGTGAATTTTTATAAAAAGTAAACAAGATTGATTTTCTGCCCACCCACAAAGCTTGAATGTTTACCGAAAGTTTGAGAATTTGGAAGATTTGGTGTGAAAGGAATGTCTAGATAAAACCCCTGAGCCTTGTCTCTTTAATTCATTACCTAATTAAAGTCAACAATGCATACTTTGAGTTGATTTCAAGTTAAAATGTATACAGTTATTAATAAAATTTTATGTAGATTATATAGGTAAACCATTTGTAAAGTATATATGTACAGAAATTATTTATGTTTTGATAAGTTGGATTAATGGATTATTGCTTTATTTACCAGGAATGTACAGTTGTCCATATAGTACCAAATATTATTAAGACTTATAAACATGATAACTAAACATCACTCATCTGCACTTTCCCGGACTCCTTACATCATTCTCTTTCAATATATCCAAAGAATAATTTCTTAAATTTGGTTGAATGATTTATCATATTTGGCTAATTCATTTCTGCCCTCCATTTTTGTAATATTATAAAGCTTAGATAGGGAGAATTAGATTGTTGGTATCATGAAATATATTACAAAGTTCAAAGATGATAAATAATTTTATAACAAAAATGTAAACATTGGTAGGATTTCATAACAAAATAAAAAATAAAGGACAGTAATTTATAAACAACAATTAGTTGAAAAATCAAAGTGACATTTACTTAAGGAATAGAGACCGAGATTGTATGATTTATTGCATGATATATGATCGAAAATTGTATTCTGTTCATTTTTAAAGACAGAAATCGCATAGCAATTGAGGTCTTTGGCAATGGAGAAAATAAAATTTGAGGTCATATATTCGACATAAATCATAAAATCAAGGCCTTTGTTACGATTCTAATATGATAAACAGACAAGAAACACAACTACATGTATTTGCATTTAATAATTTTAGCAATCATACATACTCCAATATAGACCAGTAAATCAATTGTTCTAGATATTATGACGTCATGTATCATATTAGAATAAGGGATATATGTGAAGTGAAACAAAGGTACTTCACCAATAAGGTCAACTATGACTTTGTCACAAAAGTCTAAACTGATTTGCTTTTGGGCATGCTGGATGGTTTCCATCCTAACAACTTGTTTGCATCATGCAGAACATTGCATTGTTGATAATTTCTAGAGAGATCTAGAAGTATGCAATACACAGGGATTACTGAACTACAAGGTTGCTCTCCAATTAGAAGGCTCCTCTTTCCCTTCTAAGCCACTTGTAATCCATGGCTTATCGTCATATTCAGAGTCTAATGTGTAAGAATAGTTCCAATTATCGTCAGCTATTTTTGTATTTTATTGTAATTAATGGGCATTTGACACAACAATCACAACAAGCTCTATTTTCAATTAATTAAGAGTGACACCATGGACTGATGCTTTCACATTTACTGTTCACATGTGCAACTTAAGTCCTTCTGTTGTCTGCAAAACATCAATTTCCTGGTTATGATTAATATATTGTTTTTACAATAAGACTATGAGAAGTTTCATATGTCATCAGCTGATTTCTTTAGTGATTTTAAAATCTAAATATATTTTCCCCAAACCTTTGCTGTCACCTTACTATGATGGGTTGCCACTGAAGAAGTTGATTAATGGCATATTACCATTTATATATAGTACATACAGTATTTGTAAGTTATCATTACAAACTATATATAAATCATAATTCAAATTCTCTCCTAATGAACTCAATTAATTTTTGGTTTCCCAAAGCTTTTGTTAAGAACAGTAAATTATTCAGCATGAAAGATTATTTTGACTCAACCCCCTTTATATGTAATAGTGGTATGCCATTGATCAGCCTCGTTAACTTTTATAGAGGCAGATAGACTTTGTATCTGACACCTCTAATGCTGAGCTCCATCAATGAGTATTGGTCCATACTTACTAGGCTTATTTAGCTGACTATGTATTTGTCATCATCAGTTCAGATTATACTGAAATGGCACGCTGTCCTTTTTGAGCTAGTCTCAGACGTATTTCAATAACTTATGAAGACAAAAAGTGTTTTTGCTAGAACAGCAATGACAGTGAATGATGGAATCCCCCAAGGGTTCTATATTTCTTTTATTAACTCATACGCTGTTGTCATGTTGATCTAACTGACGACTGGTTGTTCAAAGAATATTTTTGTTGTATTTGGAAAGCAATATGTTGTTATTGTCTTTTGCTGATGGGCACACAGCCAGTTGGCACATCTATTCTTGTCATCCCAAGAAAATACGCAAAAAGCGAAAAGCAAACTGCTGTGCCAAGATCTGCATTATTAGGTTTTGAGCATGCTTGGTATTCTACATACAGTGTACTTGGCCAATTACATCTCCAAGTGCAATAACACATCAAAGTGTGTCTCGTCATCATCACTGTTGTTGATATTGATAAACTTGTTGGAGATGATGCATTGAGCACATGTTGACACCTTACAATGAAGTCCAAAAATATTCTGCTCAGAAATCGGTGATTTGCATATATGTGTCATTCTGATACTCATAGCATCTTTCTGTTTCACCTGAAACATGCTCTGATATTATGAGGCATATTCTGTGATCTGAGCACATCAGATGGGAAGAGTTATAACTGTCAATAAGTGTGATAGTTATCATGTAATCATTTACCTTAATGTCAATACATTACATAATAGGCATTGTATTTAACAGCAGATATTAGCACAGGCATGTGTACAAAAGTTTAATGACCCCAATTAGATGAAATATGAGCTGGGATGAAAGATCTCAAAAATCCTCAATTTTGGGCTCTCCTGGATCACCAAATCAAGCTCATTATATCATGGCATCTCAGAGCTGATAGGAGTGAGATGTCATGGTTATCATGATGTATATGTGTAAGCTAATTGTGTGTGAATGTGTGGATGTAAATAGTACCTCTGGTATGTTTTAGCGTTAAACCTCTTCCCTCTAGTCAGATTAGCTGATGAAACAACCCCTTTTTGGTTGTCCAGTTGGCGGAGCAGTCTAGAGTACTGAACATGCTAAGTTAAGCGCAGTCGTGAGTTTGAGATGCATGAGCTCCTTGCATTTGTTTATTCATTGATTGAGTGATCACAATTGATGACAAACACAACATATGTAAAATCTGGTTTGAGTTGTTTTGAGAGAGGAATGTCACTCAAGCCTGTTGTATTGTTCAATATTTCATTTATTGATTTGTCTGAATTGTCAAATGTTTTGGTATGTCAACAGCGTAAGGGGCACTGTGAACAGGATACACAACTATTTTGAAAGATCTTACACAACTTTTCTTAATTTGGTCATTAATCTTAAGTTTTTCAGTTCATGTTTTATGGATGGAATCATTAAGCATTTGAAAGTGAACAGTAAAAGGTCACTGTAACCATATTGTATTGTTCAGTAATCATCAGTAATCCCTTGAAACTTTTTTCTATTTAAGTGCTTTAATTATTTGTGCACTTAAATCATGACGTAGTTTGAAAAAGTGTTGGTTCGAACATTCTGTATTTTATTAGAAACTGTTAATTCATGGTTTGATCAATGATTTTCATTTCACTGTGTGAATGCTTCTTATCTTTAGCGTGTCTGTATTATTCCGGTTTGGAACCACATTGACTGGAATACAGGCAATAATACTGACAGGCTTCCCACAGCCTGTTGTACTCAATTCTATTTGTACATTAATCATTGTCTTTTGTCTCTTTATCTGATCCTACACAGCTCTGTATTTCAAACCATGTTCTATGATTTGTTACTTTTTACTTGGGCATTAACTGTTACACGTTCAACCCCCTTTCCCCTGTCAAAAAACAATGTACCAATTTCTTTTCTGTGTGTATTTTATGATTGCATGTATGTCTTATATTTGACACTTTTTATTGCCTTATTTTAAGATTTTATGCTATACTTTTGGGCTTTAAACATGATAGGGTGATTTTGTATTGAGGGGAAGATATCAGATCTTTCTAATAATCTGTCAGGAGCAAATAGAATTTAATTAAAATGAATGACTTAGTATTCCCACTTGCTAGGTGAAATATGAAATAGAGTCCAGAGTTGCACTAACTTTGGATTGTAATCATGTTAGCTACCAGGATATAGATTTTGTGCCACGGGGATCTCTATAGTGAAAGCTTGTTACAATTACTCCAACCGAATTTATTTCGAGAAGAGGCTGACCAGAATAATACTAAATATAAATAGGTCTGGAGGTTTGGTAAAGGATATTGAGAATTACCAGATTATGGGCTTTGAATAGCCCATGCCAGAAATTGAAACAGGACATTAACATGCAAAATGTCACTACCTGTCATTTGTTACAGACGCTGAATGCCAAACCCTGATCACTCGTTTTGGTGACATAATAATTTTAAAAAATGTGTGTGTCACACAATAGTAATTTAGTTGCTGGAAATACCCTTCTTTTCAATTGCTGCATTTACTTTCTCCCTGGAATTAAACATGTCATTATTGTTTTTGTTTTTATAAACTTCTTATAAAATTTTAGTCAGAACAATTAGTTGCCATAGTTTCCCTGGACTTTTTCTGTAGTTACTTTCTTTACTGCTGTGGCCTTTATCTTTAAGATTTCTCTTATATATACCAAAGTCTCTGTTATCTATCATAAAACTGTGCCTTCTTTCACTTTTTGACTATAATACTGAAAAGGAATATTCCTTTCACTTGATTTTCAAAATGATCTCTTATTTTATCTACTTCCTGAGACATATTATAATACCTAACACTAATTACTTTAGCAGCTTATTTTGCTGTGAGATGAGACACAATATTTGTTAAGCCTGTGAATCATGTTCATACTAAGTAAGGTGAGCATATATTAAACAAATAAAGGCATTTATCGAGCTCAGCGTAATTGCACAATGTGAAATTAAGTGGAAGTCAAGTGACTTTAGTGTGAGGTTGAGAAATTTATAAAACCTAAAAAATAAGCTATTGAAGGATTACAGTCCAATATTATATGGAAAAAATACATTCATATATTTAAGATATTTTGTGTATTTCAGATGAATTAGTTTTACATCTTTTTTTATAAAGATGTAATTTACGAACAACCTGTTTGTCGACTAACAGTGATCGCGTGATGTTTTATGCCCTTGTCACATAATTGAACATACTTAAAATGTGTTTTGAGTATATACGCATGCGCCAGATGTACTACTGCTATTCACAATTCCGAACACCTCGATTGTTGGTGTTAGTTGCTGCTTAAACAGCCAGATTAGATCGTTAATTAGGTCAGCTATTGCTTTTGAGGCGAGAGCTGGTAACTAACGGAATGCACTGCGGGTACTATTCATATTTAAATGAGTTTGCCGTCTAATTGCAATCGACACGGTAGCCGATAGCCGCTATTTGCATTTGCGAATACAAGCTAAATATCTGATACTTGTGTTTGACATAGGATATTTCAAAACTTGGCACAAAGGCTTTTTCACCCATGCATGAAAAAACAATGATTTTTCAGTGGTCCATTATCAGATATGAACAAATGACATATCATTGGAAAGAAGAGACACATGGCTTCATGGTAAATTCAATGAAATAAATGTAATCATCACTGATTTTGTGGTTTTACAATGTTTTTGCTTGTTGCATTTTTAGGACACACCTATAATATAACTAGACTTTGAAAAAAAAAATTCTGAAATTTCAAAGGTTATCAAAGGTTAATGAATTAAAGGTCGGATCAGAACAACTTGGAACCTGTAGATGATTTTTGTAAAAATAAGGTCAATGACTAAGGTGTCAGTAGTTAGTTACAAGTTTCACCACCAGGTGGCTAATTTGAGTGAAATAACATGGCAGATCAGGGCATGGACTTTCAATTAGAAAGCCCATGATCAGGGGTTTCACTAGAATTTCTCATAACAGGCTAAATAAATGAAAACAACAGGCAAAATTAATGGAAATACTAAATTTAACATGGGAAAGTTGAAAAGTCCCGAAAAACAACAAGCGGCAATTCTGTAAACATAGCGCAATTAGCTTTACAAACACTTTTACATGTTATTAATAAGTATATGACCACATGGAAATTATCAATAGTGAAATACATATTCCAAACAATTTTGATATCAATCGTACCAACATCTGTATATACCAACCGACTTACTACATAAAGTAAAAATCGATATACATTGTAATAAATAAACCATCATATTTTCAGAATTTCAGTGAATTTAACATTTATTGTTTTCAACCCTTTCTCAACTTGTTCCATTTAGATTTATTTTCTTACTTGAAATTTCATTTCGACTAATGGTATATTTAATGAGAACAATATAATTTCTTAAAAAGAGATTAGTAGATAAAGAAAACAATTCTGAGCATGTTCTGACTATAAAGACAGTTGTCTTTTTTATCCATTCATTATCTCAAAGAAAAGTACGACAGTAAGTTTAATTTAGTTTAGTCATGGGCTTTCAAGAAAGCCAATGTTTTTGTTTAGTTAATCAATTTATTTATAGTGGTCAGTTCAACAAAATATGAAAACAACAGCTTATTAACCACAATTAACAATAATAAATACAAAATTAATAGATGAAAATTATTTGAGATAAAGGGCAACTGAATTCATCTCAGATATATGTCCCCAATAACCTGGATATCTGTTGGTTTCATCTTATAATATTTTGGTCATTTAATTTCTATAATTTTAAAGTCCCTGGTTGAATTACTCAGATGCGAGTAGGTACTTACCAGTTTCGCCACCAGTTGTCTGATTCGGGGGAATTAACATGGCAGGGTATTACAAAATTCCCTTAAACTTGAATATGCATCAGTTTTAGTGGTTCACTTTTCATATTACCCATATGTATCTGATAGTTATACAAATTATATTATATATTATGTCCAGTAAAAGAAAATATTATCTGCCCAACACAAGAAAATGTATTTCACTTTTTGTGGTTTTACAACATGGGGTTTATGGGGAATCTCCCCGACCTAGAAGTCACATTTTCAAAGAAAATTAAATTTTCAAAGTTGATAAACTCTTTTCAAAACCACATTTCTAAATGTAATTTTACATGTAGATTCCAAATATGACATCAGTTTGACTGAATTGTGAATTTTTAATGACATAAATCAAGATTATTTCTACTCGCATCTGGGATATTCACGTTTCGTAATTAATAAATGTATTTGAATGTCATTAAACAAAAAAGTTACATTTTTGGTAATACTGTCAACATTCTTTAGGAAGTCAATTGATAGCAATTGCATTTCCAGAGTCCAATTGACCAATTATCTTTGCATATTTTTGGACATACCCGTCTTCAAGGTCTGAAAATATTCCGAATCCAAGATGAAACTGTGTGAAATCATTTGCCTTATCCTACAATACTCTTTGTGGAAAACTTTAAACTAATAGCTGAGACATAACATTACAGTATTTGCATTAAAATACAGATTATTATATGTTTAGCTTACCTTATATTTTGTGCAATTTTACATGATTGGCAATGCTTCAAATTTTTATTTTCTAATTGAGGGTCCGAGAATAATTCTGCACTGATGTGAGTTCATAATAATCTCTACAAGAGGATTTAATGAGTTTCTTGTTGTGCAATCTCCATCGTTAGTCTCCATAGCTTATCTCAATAAGTCCTCGACCGTCTCTTTCCTCCGAGTCAACCTGTCCAAATAATGTCAGGCCGATCTGAAATGTGTCTGTACGTCATAAATTCTTTTTTTAATACCGATACCCACACATCCAAGTTGTAATCTAACAGAGATAAATTAAATTGATTTTCTGTGTACATATATTATACTACATTATAGAAGGTTTGCTTACTTAAGAGAGATCAACAAGCTTGAGCTGCAATAACTCTTCTATAATACTTAGGCCAAGTAAATAAATAATGTTTAGTGTACCATGCCCTCATGCACATGCATTGTATTTTAAAGAACAATACAGTCTGCCCTGAGGATTTGCCATAACCACTCCAGTGCTTGAATGAATTTCAGGTCTCGTGTCATGTTTATTAGATATGCTAAGTTTAAGAAATTATATAGAATGTAATATCTGTTCTTACAAGAAAAGATATTTCATTTGTGAATCTACACAATGTAGTAATCACATTTTTAAGTTGATAAACAATTTTAAAACCATAGTTGTAAATTTGTGGGTAGATTTCAGAGCTGACGTCACTTTAACAACGTTATGAATATTCAATGATGAAAATGATCTTCAAAATGGTCTATTCTTTGCTAATATTCTAAAAATGACATATCAGTATCACATGAAATTAACATACTTCGTTCGTTTCTTTTTCATTAAAAACTAAAAGCTATCCTTCTATGAAAACAAACAATTGAACTGACGTTCTCTTCACAAAGCAGTGGCTTCTCTGGTAGGTTCTATCAATATCTTTTGTGTTCCTGTGAGACCTGGCTATAAATTAAGACATGCTTGTTTTTCAATTTCACCTTCTAGCTTTTTCTATTTTTTAAAGTGTTCCATCTCTTCCTGTACTCAGAACAACCTTAGTGAGTATTAGTTAGTAGCCTGAGACATGAGACACTTTTAGCTCAATATTAGTTATACAGTAAAGATGTACATTGGAGAACCTCTGTCTGTGTAACACTTTTCAACCATACCATTAAAGAACCTTTGAAGTGGAACACCTCCAAAGTGGAACACTACTTTGAGATGCCACAGGTGTTCCACCTACACAGGTTTTACAGTTTACACTGTATGTACTAAATGATACATATAAAGTCACTTGTAGATACTATCAAAATACAGTTCATGAGTTTTGCTCAACATTTATGTTTTAAGATGTGAATTGTAATTTTAAGTGTTGAAATCTCTCTTTTATATCTGAGAATCCTTATAGGTTAAAGTTGCTATACCAGAGCTTGCAAAATCTTTGTAAATTCCAACAGGCAGCAAGACAGAATTATCAGATCAAAGGCATAATATAATCATTAGTGTATCGCACGTTATACTTTATAATTGTTACAGAGTGGAATGTCACGTAGAAAAATGGATTGTTAATCATATTTATTAATATTTAGTGTTGCATTGCAGTTAATACCACCAAGTTAATATCATTAACTCAGTAGATCTATGTGTAACAGCCACTTAAAGCATTCTCAGCAACCATTAAAGTACAGTGCAGGTTCACACACTTACAGTCATCTCAGGGAAATAAATGAGTTTCAAGCAGGGATCTAATTTTGACTATTAGGTACTGTAGTAAGGACTTGTAGAATTAAGGGGGCCATTTTGGATTTTCCATCTTATGGCCTAGTCACATAGCCCGGCCGATAAGGTTACGATGAGCCAGCGATGCAATTTTCACCAAACTCGGCCGAACACCGGCCGGACATCCGTGGCGTTTGTTGCTTAAAACCGCATCGGTGGTAGCTCGGTGAAATTTTAACTTCGGAGTTAAATTTCACCGGGCTCTCACCGAGCTCCCTCATCATGTCATCGCAGCCCCATCGTAACCACATCGGAAAACACGTCGGCCGGTGCACGGCCGAGTATCGGCCGGTGTCCCGTGCATCTGAGACAACCAGAGGACGAGGTTTTTTAACGGACAGCGGCCGAGCTCCGACCGAGCTCCGGCCGATGTGGGACAGAGCATCGGCCGGTCACTGTTCAAAGCCCGTTAACAACCCGGCCGGCGATCGCACGGTGTCCTGTTACCTGCTGGGGTACCGGCCGTATTCCTTCCGATGTCCGGCCGACCTCCGGCCGGTAGTTGCTGCCACATCGGCAGAAAAAAACTACCATTTTGAGACAGACTCCGTACGGTCACCGGCCGTTGTTCGGTCGGTCGCCTGAAGATGTCCGGACGGAGTCCGTTCACGTCACCGAGCTCTGCTTCCGATGAGGAGAGCTCGGTGGCACCAAAAAAATCCACCGAGCTCTACCGATGCCGGACATCGGCCGGGCTATGTGACTAGGCCATTAAAATCTACTTTGTAAAGTCTTGTCTCCATGTTTCCTGGCAAACCAGTTGATATCAAATCAAATCAAACATTTTTTATGAAAATATCAATCTTATTAGTTTTTGGGCAGTCCGGGTAAAGTTTAAGGCGGCCACATTGGATTTTTTGTTTTAAAATCTAGTCTTCAACTGATTAATGTTCGACATTCAGGATGGAAAATTTGCAGTATATAGGATCACCCATTGGTGGGGACATGTTGTACATGTTTGTGTTCTTGTATTATTTCATGAAACTGTCTGTCAGGACATTAACTCAAAGAATGGTTGGAGATTAAATTTAAATCTTATTGGCCCATTTGGGCATGATACATCTACTGAAGAAGGGACTTTCAATATGGTTGCTCAATTCAAAATGGCCTCCATTTTCCTAGAGAATGTAATCTTTGATATCTTGTAAAATACTGGTGGACTGATTTATAGGCTGATGTGGGGGGTATAATTTAATGTTAAACAAACCCTTATTTCTCTCTGCTTCTAGTTTGCTGGTGGTGAAATTAGAGGAGAAGGGGAGAAACTTATTGAGAGCTTTTAAATGAATTATTATTAATGTACATGTATCGGATATTTGAACATTGAATTCACATTAATAAATCCTTATGAATATTAGTGAGGCGCAGTTTATTGTGTTGTATCAGCTGTTTTATTGGCTTAATAATGTGGCATGTTTATATCCCAAGACAATTATTTTTCTGAATTCATTTTAACAGTGTAACCATTCATAACATAGATCTATTTGTTTCTTAATCATGCAAGAAAACTGCCCCCTCCCTTCTTTGAAGGAAACAGGTTTGAGGTCGGTGCACAGGGACATTTGATTCCTGATAAGGTTAATGAGGTCATATGCAGTATGTCATAAATACAATAATTAACATGATGTTATATGATTTTATAGCATATATGTGTATATTGTTATTGTTCTTTTCAATTTATACCTTCACATTTCTACTTCTGGGGGAAGTCAACAAAAGATTATGGATTAGGTCTTCATTTAACTAGTCTTCATTTAACTTATCTCTTTGATTTCTCCATGGGCTTTCAACTTTCAACTCTAATTGAAAGCCCATGATTTCTCAGACTTTCCGTAATCCTTTGATAGGTGCCAAAATAAAGAATAAATTGTGTGAAAAAATGTATTTAACAAGGCATTATCATGCAAAATGTTATCCCCTGCCAACTGTTACAGACACCAACTGCCAAACACTAAATACTGAATGCCAAACACCAACCACCAAACACCATCCACAAAAAAGTTGGAGACTATAACAATATGTTGATAATTAGTTCTTTAGTTACCCAAATTATATATTTTCAGAACATTCGACCTCATGAAACATCCTGTAGTCTTCTAGCCAAAGCCTCTGCCTGTCTCTCCCTTCCACAGCTCCTCCCCTTTCTTATCACCACAGATACAGAGGCGGTGCTTCAATTGATTGACAGCTTGACAGGCAGGTTACCAGGACAACCAGGGGCAGATGACTCCAGTATATTGAAGTTCCACCATGGGCTTGCTTTAGGAATGTTAATATCTAAGTTGTTTGAGGAACATTTCTCAAATGTCACAGGATCAAAGGTATGATATTATAATACATGTAAAGCCCCTTTTATTACCATCATACATAGTTTGGGAGGGATATAGACAAGCCCTCTGTGAGTTTGTCCGTCTGTTTGTCGGTGCATCTTTCCATATGTGTGTTTAGGTGATAACTCCTTATTGACGTATTTGATTCAAATTTTATAGGCTGATACTACCTTATGGGCAATGATATGACTGCTAAAATTAAAATGGGTGCCATTTTCATGAAAAGTATAGTTGCTGGTTGTTAAATTTAGTTCAAATTTTATTAGCTGATGCCAAAGGAATACTTGATGAAACATCAGTCAGTACTCTGATACATGATATTTCTTTAATTACTGTACTTTAATACTTCCTGTGCTTTCAGTAGCCTAATAGCAAATGCTTCTATTCATGGATTTGTATTTTTCTGGATACTCTTAAAACCAAATTTCCCAATATAGCTGTATTACAAGTCACCATTTTGAGAAAAGGATCATTAATATGTTTACATTCAGATTTAGACCATATCAAGCTAAAGCACAGGGAAAAAAGAATGTAGATGCGTTTCAGCTCTTGTTTTTATCATTTTTAAGTGTTTGCAAAACATTTCCCTTTGTGTTTTTAGGGAATGTTGGCAGTATGGAAGGCTCTTGATGTTCTCGAAGACAGTTGTTGCTTCGATACAACAATAGAGGGCAGGTCAGGTGCTATTTTAGGCCTTGGGGTTGCCTTGACAACAGTTTGCAATGATGGCAAGCCAGACTCAAGGGCTCATATACATGCGGTTTACAGCAAATTACTCCTCCTTATGGAAAACACTGGTCATTCTGACAAAACATTTGAAGTATGTATCTCTTTATCATCTCATTAGTAAAAGCGTTTGTTCTATAATAATGCTAATGATAATCTTACAATGACAAGTGATGTATTGCTTTGTATAGAGATTACCATTCACGATAGCTCGACTTTGTCTTCATATTAAATCATTGATAGTTCTTTGATGTAGGCTATATCTAATCAGACTGCAATCAGAAGTTTTGCATCAATCCTCTGGTCCTCCCCCTCACTATTTATTGAAGTGTGTGTGTGTAGTAGCGGGGTTTTAGGGGCTTAATGCAAAATTTTACAATCAAAAAACTTCATTTTCTGTCTATACATGTACATTGTAAGTACCTAACTTTATTTCATCATTGATTAATCATGGCTTTTTCTTATGAAGACAGTTAATCATGGCTTTAATTGAAAGCCCATGCTTTTACTTAATAGTCAGTTAATCAGCTCTTTTTACGATAATGATATATCTTTTACTATGACCCTTTATGTTGGCCTGACATGGCATTTCAGTCTGTAAAAGGACAGTCTAATAATACTATATACAGTATAATACTCTATTGAAGGGTATTCTAGTAAAATGGTACAATTCAAAATGCACGACTAGATTTGAGTCAAAAAAATAAAAGATTTACAGCATTTTTTTAAAAGTATCATTTTTGTTCCACCTTGTATATCTGTAAGAAATATGGTAAAATGCATGTTTTACATTGAGGCAGTAAATATTTACTAATCAGTGTGAAACAATAATAACAGCTAGTGTAGGCGTCCATGTTTACCCAAAAACTGTATAAAAGAGTTATGAATTTACACAATCATCATTTGGTATGCCCAGTGTTTATATAAATTGCATTGACACTTTATGTAAGCTTGAGTTGTTATTGTGTTTTTTTCTGAGAGTAATTTAGCAAAGAATTTGACCTGTCAGCCTCTTCAATTTAGCTTATGGACATAAGAATTACAATAAAGTTACATCAGCCATTTAAATTTCATTGCATTTTTTTATCTTTGAATAATACTTGTATATTTATATTTGAATTTAAGAAAGATTACCAGATTCACTATCCTGACTCTTAATCTTTTACAGAGTGTCACATTTTGTGTGTCCATAGTGACAGCAGTTGCTTACAATGTGAATATTCTAACACAGGACATCATCAACTCAGTAGTGGACACCTTGTACCAGAACCTCATCAGGAATCCACAGGTAATTACAGTAGAACCTTTGTAAGTGGAATGCCCTTGGGACAACAACAAAGTGTTCCACTTGCGAGGTGTTCCACTTACAGAGGTTCATTAACGTGGAGTAAATGGGACATAGGACTATTTTAAACCGTTTCCACTTGTGAGGTGTTCCACTTAAAGAGGTTCATGAACATGGAGTAAATGGCCCACAGGACTATTTAAAACCGTTTCCACTTGTGAGGTGTTCCACTTTCAGAGTTGATCCACTTAGTAGTTTCTACTATATACTGTATCATAGAAATGGGGGAGTATAGTAACCTTCTGTTGTTCTTCGATCCCATTTCGAATTAACAGTAAAATAATGAATGTTTTATACATACCTGTATATAAAAGTAAACGAAGTATATGAAGTTTGTATGTTATACATACATACATACATAAATTATTCCTACAAAGCGTAGCCAATGTACTGACCTAATAGCACATAGTGGTTGCATGAAATGTTCTTTCCTTGTAGATGAGCAGTCTGAGTCTGTCACTTGGGCTACTGTGTTATAGTGTGGGCCAGACAGGGCACAATGCTATAGAACTATTCAACAAAACTCTGACAGATTCATGGGCAAAGACCATAAAGGACAAGGTAACATTAAACAGCAATAAAAGCACAGTGAAACATGTATGTTTGAACACCACTCTAATACAAATACCTGTCAATGTGAACACCCTTTTCTGTAAAAACTGCTTATCTGTAGTTATTATCCACCATTTTGAAGTAGCAAACTTGCCACTCATCGAAACAAAACATTTCAAAGACGATTTGACTATATTTGACATTGACAATACAGAAAATACATGTAGGTCAAGTCATTTAGAATGCAACCCAAGCATGGAAAGGCTAAATTACTACTCATAACATGTACTGACTTGGACTTGATCGCTATGTGAGAAACACATTTAATACTGATTATTAATTTTATTAGGGAAATCTTATTGAAGTAAATACACTTACCAATATTTTCCAGGGTCCAGTTGCAGAAAGGGTCAGTTGTCTTACAGGTCTGCTAGCACTCACTGGATCAGAGAGAAACTTCCTCAAGGTATGTTGAATAATGTATGCACACAACAATGAGCATTTTCAATGTTGACTTTATTTTGAATTCTTTACAAAGGGAACTTGTTTTAAGCTTACAGCATAAGATTTAGGATTACCCACAAATTGTGGCACTTGGTGCAGAAGAACTTGGTGCATATGATAAAATATTACAGAGATCAAAGATATCAGCCATACAACAAAATTACATTGAAAAAGTTTAATATTTTGTTGTACATGTAGCTCTCTTATATTTTTAACATAATGTTTTCCAGGGATGTGATATCCAAAATTAGATATTGAACAAATATTTCACTCTATTGAGGTGAATACCTGTACATATTTGTTTTATTATATCACTGTCTAGCTAAACATCCCTAATATTATTAAGTCATAGGTTAACATTGAAATATATATATTTTTACGAATCTACTCGGTTCGTCTGCCATTTTGACTTACACTGAACTAAATTATTTACACTGAACGAAAACAAATTCTTTGAAAATTCCCGGGAGCGTGGGATATCGCTAGATATCTCACGGTTGTCTTATCTGATTACCATTGCCATTGAATATCGCCAGATATCCCACGACATGTGACCCGGTTTTGACCAATCATACTGTCGCTAGCTAGATAGTGATAATGATCAATATTGTTCAATGTTTAATTGTTCAGGTTTATGACTTCTTCATGGATGTGTTGTCCAGAGATGAGATGTTGAGGGATGAGTAATGTCCAGGGCTGCATTATCCAGGAATGAATCGTGAAGGCTTCATTGTCCTAGGATGAACATTTTATAAAACCAATATTTTTGCTTTCCAGGGTTTGAATGCAGCACAAGAGAAATCAGCAATATGTATGAACCCCAGTGATGTTATTTCTCTTGCTATTCAACAAACCACAAACATGAAGGATGTTGGTAGTGTGAGCCATCTATGCTACATGTTAGGACACTTCTATTCATCTATGAAAGGAGAAAACCAATCATCATCAACAGGTATTGATTAAATATACCGGTAATTAAGCTGGAAGAAGGTGCATGGATCACCCGACACCCAATAGACCCCCCCCCCCTAAGACACCTGATAAATTATGACAAAGACTACAGTGCTAGATTTCCAATAACTTCTTGTATAAAAGAAAACCATCGTGAAGTTCTTCCTCTGCTCTATTTTACACAGTCATTTATCTATCCAATGACGCCATCTATAAATACACCAGATAAATGAAAAGCAATAGAAATTAAGTTATATCGGTATTTCAGTTCCTGGCAACTATAGCTACCTCCCTGACACAAGTGTCCTTCGTGCAGTGTTTGACAAACTGTCTGAGATAGTTCAAGGAGGGAGAGATGAGGGGCATGAGGACCATGCTAAGATGTGCTTAACATCATTGGATGGTGTTCATAATGGACGATTTCCACCTGTACAGTGGGCTGGTATCCTCTCCAGTATGATGAGGTTACCTTATGGTGAGATTTTCACATTTTAGAGATGTTCATTTAATTGTCTCCAATTTTATGTCATCACCAGAAGTGATGACATATTGTTATGATCTCCAACATTGTTGTGAATGGTGTTTGGCAGTGAGTGATCAGCGTTCCGTGACTGTAACAAATGGCAGGTGGTTACATTTTGCATGTTAATGCCTTGTTGATTCTTTATGAACAAATGCAGAAAAAAATATATAGCTGTTAAAAATAAAGACACTATGGATATCTGTACACATGTAGTTTATTTTGTATACTTTGATCCACAATTAAATCACCTGTACATGTATAACTACTATTAGTTTTGAACTCTAATTTTTCCAAGTGATTTAGGTTCAGTTTCAAGGCTGGACTTTAAATCTGATGCTTCATTTCAGATGTGACGGTGAAAGAATCGTGTCTAAAAGTAGCTATAGCTCAAAGTTCTACATCGTCAAGCGCTGTTCTTTTCCTGACATCCTGGCTTTTGCCCCCTCTATTTTATAGTTTACCAGTAAGTGAATCTGTATTCCTATGAATTCATATGTATATGAATTAAAAAGTATTTCTACAGTATGAATAGGAGGAATGGCACAATCTTTTAGTATTGAATATGGAAATCGGAAAAAAATAAATATTATGTACATGTATCGATTGGTTTTAGGTAAGTTGTCAGAGACTAGCCCTGGGGAAACTTCCAATACTGGTGAAGTCACTCCCTGTAACAGCATTAAAAACATTCTGCTATGAGAACATACTGCAAACTGTGACATCAGAAGACAATGCAGCGACATCAAAGGAGAATGTTGTGACCTCAGAAGTGAATGACTCGAGGTAGGTCAAGTTAACTAACGTATCAGGGCATGACATCCAGTAAGTGCAGTCTGGTTCGCTTGTTAAAACCCTTGTGTTGTTGTCAGTGGAAAATTATTGCTTGTTTTCTCGCTGAATGAATTTTGTTTGTATTCCTGCCCCAATGAAATAACCTACACATAAAAAATATCCATGTTCATGTATTTCCGATCCATCACGTAAAAAAGACCCATGTTCATGTATTTCTGATCCAGCACATAAAAAATACCCATGCTCATATATTTCTGATCCAGCACATAAAAAGACCCATGTTCATGTATTTCCGATCCAGCACATAAAAAAAGACCCATGTTCATGTATTTCTGATCCAGCACATACATGTAAAAAAGACCTACATGTATGTTCATGTATTTCTGATCCTGCACATAAAAAAGACCCATGTTCATGTATTTCTGATCCAGCACATAAAAAAGAGCCATGTTCATGTTTTTCTGATCCAAACTGTGTTTCTTATATTTCAGTTCTGGGGCTGATATGTCTTTATGCCAGTGTAGCTTAGAGGGATTGTATGAAGCTCTGAGAGTGCCTGACCCCCCACAGTCAGTCACATACATCATGTACCAAACTGTTGAGAAGCTATACCCACAACTCCCCTCACTTACAAAGGTAAAGTATGTCCCACACTAGCATTTAAGAATTCACAATGAACCCGAGAAAGGCAAGTCTGTAGACTCACTTTACCACAAAGAAAACATATGAAAGATAAATCCATGAGCTGTTTTCATATGCAGTACAGAACAGTATTCAGGTAGTCCAAATAGAGTGTGTTCGAGCTGTATTATTTAAAATTCATAAAAACCATGCTACTGAATAATATATTTTTAACAATACTTAAATATATCATACATTAATAATGTATTATTGCTTTAGGTTAAAAGTACATTGCAAAACATTACATTCTCTTTCAAAATTGCAATTTTAGGATGAAGAGATTATTACCCTCGCTAAATGTATGTTTGAGATACCCGATGTCATAGTTGATCGCCTAGTCTTGGCTGACTTTACAAGCAGTGCCACCTATAGGAAGGGAATGATAGTAAGGTGTTATTTGGTCAGCAGTGGGCACCAAGATATCCAATTTCTCAATGATGCCATTGAAACTTTGGCATCTCCTGATTGGTAAGAATAAATATTGGTTATAGTTATATTTTAACGGGCCAGGCCAAATCTTGATTTTACACAGTTGGTCAAACAAAGATATGAAGCAATGTTAATTATGTTTTCAATGAATGAAGAATGGGGAAACTCTTTACCTCTGCAACTTGATTCCCCGAACTTTTTATTCCAGTCAAAACCCGGAAGAGCTTGAAATGTACCTTGTGCAGTGTCTTCACAAAATGGCAGGCAAGAAGCTAGAAAGCGGGGCATCTACCAAGCTAGTACAATGGCTTGTCTCTCTGATGGGACTTATCGCATCCATTGAAAATAAAGTATGTATCTAGAACCAGAAGTAATCTAATTTACACGTAGAGGAGCACAGTACACATACTGTACATGTACAGTGAAATCTGTCTTTAACTGGATGCTTCTTGAATGAGCAAAATAATGTGCTTTTGGTGTTTAAGGTGTTTTTGTATGAATAAATACATGTACATGTAAAGTGACGTGAAATATGCCTGAGTTCTCCCTTGGGAGGCTCTATACTATATTTGGGCAAAAACGAAGGCATATTTCACGTCATAGTGACATAACTGATCGGATGTATCACAAACCTTTAGTCCCATGGCTTCTTTGTATCAATGACATCACAAATCTGTGAACGAGTAGAATTTCATCAAAATGAAACATAACATCATGCTAATGTCATTATCTAATATCAAAACATGGTAAGGGGGCTATATAGGGGAAATTGGGCAATATCGGTGGGTATAGCCCGCCCCGCTAACTTTCCTATTGACTGCCATGCAAATGCTTTGCTAGGTATGTTATACAGTACAGTGTATATGTTATTTTAGGTTCCATATTTCACAGTTCTTTGTGCCTTTCTAACAACAAGAATACCCCCACTATGCCTGAGGCTGGTCCATAATGTAGATATGCTCACATCAAGCATCGATGACACAGTCTTGAATGATATCAGGAATCTCATGTCATATACATTACCTAAGTTGGCCCTGCAGCACCCTTGGAACCAAGCATTAACCAAGGTACAGTAGTATACATTGTATGTTATTATTTTAAGAAAGGATTTTATTTGTTTATATGTATCAATGAAATGACAATATCTCCAGTTCTATTCAGTATTTACACCAAATTTTGACAAGTTGTTCTTATGTTATAATCCTTACTGAAAATTGTATTTCAGTGATAAAAACCAGGTGATAGGTCCCAGGTGTAGGTAATTTGCAGTTTTCCCCTATAAAACGCTCTTACTTATCCGTCACCAGGGACAACATTTTCCTCTTATATTGACATCGGGAAAGGGTTAATGGTGTCAGATGTTGCACTGTTTTAACTAACTGTAGGCTTCAGAGTTGTGGATGAATGAAAAACATAGAAACAGTGTATTCTTCTCTTCTAAAAGGCCCACTTTGGGCAAAATAAAGACTCACAGTTGAATTTCATAGTTTGTCCAATGTAAGAACCTTATCTTTCATTTGACACCATTAACAGCTAGCTTAAACTGACCACATCAAAGCTTACAATAAATTATCAAAAAATATTTTTGATCTGTCGAGCTTTCTATATCAAGTTTTTATCAATGCCATTGAAAGATGGCAGAGTTGTTTGTATCACATAATACATTCATTTTTATAGAAGTGTCGCCGTCTTTTAAATCAACAGTAATTTAAAACATGCACTTTGTTTAACATGTGCATACTAGTGGTGCAACTTGCAAGAAAAATGCTACTCGAGTAGAAAGTGTGAAAATGCCACTGTAATCGAGTACCACTCGCAAAAATGAAGGAAAAATTTTAAAAAAATAAAAAACTCACCTAGTCGACTGTTTGAAGACCAAATAGATACAATTTCTTCGTTTCTTCTATATGTTATTGATGTTATATATAGTTTGTATCAATTTAGTGAGAATAAATGTAGTTATTCATGCCATAATTGTGTTTGTTTGTTTGTTTTTAAATATTTTCATTTTGTTTCCGGAATCGATACTTTGTTTCGTTCAGTGCATCCAAAAATGATCATTCCCGGGGTATGAGATCGTTGTTTGGGAATTCAATGCCTACTCGAGTTTGAAAAAACGTACTCGAGTAACTATCTTGGACAGGTTCAACGAGTGAGTGGCGAGTACTGGCATTCAAGTTGCACCACTAGTGCATACATGTGTAATGATCTCTGAAGTTCAGATTCTTTTTTCTATGTGAGTTATTTTTCTTGGTTCAATATTAAAGCAAATCAAACGTTGTGTCATATTTGAGCGAGTGTGTGAGTAACATGTTTCAATGATTATTTTTTTTATTTTTTCTTCTAAATTAAGTATAGTGGGCCTTTAAATTATGTATTGTAGCAACTTATTTCCAGATGATCGACTGGATGATAAAGATGAGTGAAACAGGGGATTATGAAATGAGGAAAACTTTGTGTGGTAAGTAGAAAGCTCAAATCATCCGAATTACTCGCTTTTGAAAAATCTTAGAATCGGCCTTTCAATAATGAAGATAAGTAAATTATATTTCTGTCATATTGATAACATAGTCTCTGTTTTCAATATTTCGTTTAGAAATTGCAACTGCTTTCAAGATGGAAACCATCCAGAAAGGGAAGAAATAATTGAGATCTCGATGTAGGTACAGGCATGACATCTGCTAGAAGACTCTAAGAACATGTTCTATTTTGTTAAATTTCTGAGATAAGATTGATACTTGGATAAAGTCTCATTATGTATGCAATTCTTTGTTATAACTCATACTATTTAATCCACATGCAAACTGGACATGCAAACCACTACATCATTGCAAAGACTCTATTAGTTGGATAGGAAAAATAAAGCTATGTTTATTTCAAATAATCAATAAAACCAATTATTCCATTGTCAATTCCACTTAATCCTCAACAAGTGTTTATTTCACATCGTGTTCATTTACATACCTGAACCACAGTATTCTTAGAATTAGCCAAGCAGAAAGAATACTATAATAATAGGGAAGAATTAATAAGAAGAGAATGTAAGAACCTGATACTGATTTATTTTCTGGTGAATTCTACATGATTCTCTCATCAATGACTGAACATTCGGATCAGTTTAGAGAAAAAATCAACTTTTTCATTTTAGTTGTCTTTATTTCTAACAATACAAAATAGAGCGCTTAAAGCACCAAATATGGCATTAAAGGCCACCATTCACGAATATCATAGAAAAAATATTTTGAACAGCTGAATTTCAAATATTTTACATAACTTATGAATGAAATAGTCAATACATTTAAAACCTTTTATGATATACACGTAGCTTGAATACATGTCATTATGTATGTCATTTTGTACATGTTTGGTTGGGATAAAATAAAAATATTTAAGTGGTGAGCATTGGGTATTCTTGATTCATTTTTATTAAAGGGTGACACTTTTGTGTTTTTCTTTTGTAACTTAAAAAGCACATATTTCTGTGTTAAATGGATGTTAGGGACACATTGTTAACATTCTATTTATTTACTCTGGCCCTATGTCCCCTAATATGGCATATGTTTGATTTGGTGATATTTTGAAATCTTGTATCTGCAGCTTCAGGCTTGATAGAGCAGACCATATCTTTCTATATACACCATGACTTGCATCGCCTTTAACATCACCTCCAGGGGTGACTATGTCAAGTAACTCTAGAACAGCATCAAGATATGGTAGCACAACATTATAGAGGTTTACATTGCTGTAGAAACCATCACACACTCTGGTGATATTGTCACATTTGAGGCCTACAGCCAAGCATTGATCAGTAGTTTTAGATCCAATGACTCTGATCAACTTTTGCCGTTCCTTAAATCTAATTGATGTTGATTGAGTATCTGCACAAACAGGATCTTTAAAAAGGAATGCTTCAACGTCAATTATTTGAGGTTTGAATGATTCTGTATGAGCCCAGTTTCCACTAGTGAGATCATTTAAAAGTATTGGACCTTCTGGAATATTCTCAGCTATTACAGTGAGATTTGCTAGGATATACAGATGTCTTAATTGCCAACTCACTGCTTTATTTATTACACTTCTGAATGAGGAGCTAGTTGAATAATGTTCATTCACTAAATTATGAAGTGGCATTTTTGCAGTTAGAATCCCTGATTGGTTTGAAATTATTTGAAACTCATTTAGTATTCTCACATGTTCACCGTGCCATTTTAATTTATGATCTGTGTCTAGATATGTGTTTGGATTGTCATATGGTTTAGCAAGTTCTACTACAACAGTGGCAGATATATCTATTAAGGATACCTCATTGTTAATAATCTGCTCCAATGTGTATCCCCCTTCAATGCAATATCCCATCATGGGGACGACATATTCGGTGTGCTTCATTAAGAGATCCACAACAAGTATTTCAAATACAGCTCTCATTGAAATTAGTGACTTGATATAGTCACTCGACTGATTACTACCAGTGCATGGGAATGTATTGTTCTCAAATTTTCGTTGGTATTTAATAGCTACATCTTTTCCATTAAAAACACCTCTGTATGCCTCCTTTGTACAGCCTTTACCCAGATAGTTCAAGTGCTTAACCTTGTGTATATTTTTACATGTTATTTCATAATTCCCTTGAGGAGTAGGAAGACTAAAGCCCTGCTGTGCTCTGTATGTTTCAACCATGTATCTATAATACCTTTGTTTATGACGCTTTACGGCTGACAAATTTTGTCCTTGTGAGGCATGTGGTTGTTGTGATTTCCGGAGTCCGTTTGATTCTTGTGATCTTGCGGATCCTATAGGTCTTGTTGATGTATGTACATGTAGTATATGTAATCCCTTCGACTCTTGCAGTCCTGTTGAAGTGAAAGGACTTAATGATGTTTGCTGTTCTACTTTTTCAGACAGTTCTATAGCTTTATGTGGTCCTACAGATTCATGTGGTCCAGAAGGTCCTTTTGATTCTTTAAGTCCTACTACTCTAATTGATCTTACTGAGTTATTTCGTCCTTGGGCAACAAGTGTACTTTTATGTTCCAGTGGTCCATGTGGTACTTGAGTTTTATGCAAGCTTACTGTTTTGAAAGTCTTTAAATACAATACTAGGAACCCTCCAACAATGATACACAGGAATATAATCCTACTCTTTTTCAGTTTCATTGTCATGCAGTTGCCGCAGTAAAGCAACTTAAGACTCTTTCATACACTTGTAATTGCATTACCAGTTCTTCAATATTTGAATCACTTCATGATAAATGAGATATGTGAATAATTATTTTCATTCTTGGAAGGTTTTAATTAAAGCGAAATAAATAGATGCATATTGATATTATCTTTTCTTCTTCTATGAACTGATTTATCAATAACCGTCCAAGTGAAATCACAGATATTGTATATTAATTAAATGATTCGCTCAACTTCGTTTTTCTGTAGTTTAAAAAGATACAAGGTGTTAAAGATATTTCCAATATGTCTTAACATGCATATTATTGATATTGCTATACATGTACGGTACTTTTTCATTTTTTGATTTGATACGAGTTGAGTTTTGCTCTCATTATTCCATTTCATGCCTTTTTCTAAAATTTTGAACAGAGTTGATTTCATTTTCAGGAAACTCCCCTGATTTTAAAGGTTCCTGGCAAAAAATAAAATCTTCAATATCTGCCTTATGTAATCAGTTATCTCAATTCCTTTTGATAAATTAAAGGTTGTAAAGGAAACATTGTTATGCTTTTTGATTACATGTACTTCCAACATTATATCTTTGCTGCCACTTTAAACACTTTATTTGCATTTGAAAAACTAAAACAATATTAAGCCATACATATTGTATATCATATCATTGTATTGGAAATTGAATATTCTTTCCAATGGTGTATAATTTTATAGTAAAATCCATTTTTACTCAGAATTTGTAGAAATTACTTATGAGAGTGGCATTTTTATTGGCCCACCTCGTATATGGCAACTAATCTCTAAGCAAAGATTTCTCATTCACATCGATTAGTAACTGAAATAAACATTTGTATATTTACAGGAACTCTGCTAGCATTGCGTGGCACTGGGAAACATAGTGATGAACTTCAACATCAACTCCAGTACAAAAACATAGGAATGTGATAAAGATTAATTCATAGAAAAAGACTTATGAAGCTATATTATGAGAACTTTGACTTTAAAAGAGATATTGTCAGTCAGAGATGGCAACTTTTCTGCTCCTTTGTATTTTTTTTACATACGAAAGTGGAATTCATTTTTTTAATGTATACACCACCTACCAGATTCGGACTCTAACATAAATGGTGTAGATTTGTTATAAATGGTGTAGATTTGTTATAAATGGTGTAGATTTGTTATAAATGTTGTTGATTTTACGACAAAATTAATAAAGGCTACACAAAAATATTGATTTTGTGTTGATTCTAAAGGTGAGAGCCCAAAGGTTGTTGACTGGTTCAAAAAATGGTGTCTATTGGGTACATGTAATCATTTACAAAATTATATTCCAGGATTTAAACTACCTAATATTCATGTTCTGTTCCATTGTTTTTTGTAAGTCGTATCAAGGTATTAACATGCAAAATTTTACCACATGCTATTTGTTACAGACACTGGCTGCCTAATGCCAATCACCAAACATTGGCCACCATCCACAAAAAAGTTGGTGACTATAACAATATGTCACAACGAGAAATGTAAAACTACATTTACTGTACTGTACTGTACATGGTTTATGGTTCTTTTCGTAATTATGCTTTTAGAAAATTCTGTTAGCAAGTAGTTTTTTTTTGTATTATCATCTGCGGTGAAATATATCTGAGATATGACTGATACATGTAGCTACATTTATATTTTTCATTGTGTTGACTCTAGTTAATGTCTTCGCCGGGTTGGCCTAGTGGTTAAGGCATTGGTCTGAAAAGCAGGAAGTCTGGCTTCATGCTGAAAAGTAGAGGTCCTGGGTTCAAACCCAGGTCACAGCACTTCTTGTGATTTGTCTTTGACCTATGACTGCTGACCTATACTGGCGATTACTAGAGTGCTGCTGACTCGATAAAAGGCTGGCGCTGGCTAGAATTGTCTATGGTTCTAGCCAGGATAAAGATACCAGTTCTTCAACTCGACAATGGGAAGAACTGCTCTACCTTAGTGACTAATATGTCATGATATGACATCTAAAATAAGTCGATAAAAGATATATATATATATGTCACCACCAAAAGTGGTGACATATTGTTATGGTCTCAGTTTTTTGCGACGGCGGTTGGCGTCCGGCGGTTGGCGTCCGGCGGTTGGCGTCTGTAACAATTTCTTACAACTTCCTATAACTTAACAAATACTGTTTAGACTGACTTCAATTTTTTTCTAAATCATCTACATGTTCTCAGAAGTTCAAATCTGACTTTAGATTTGACATTTCACCTTCAATGACCTTCTCAAGGTCAAAAAGGTCTTTTTTCAACTTGCTTCAAATCTGACTTTAGATTTGACATTTCACCTTCAATGACCTTCTCAAGGTCAAAAAGGTCTTTTTTCAACTTGCTTCACATTGACTAAATTTTTTTTCAAAATCATCTACATGTTCTCAGAAATTCAAATCTGACTTTAGATTTGACATTGACCTTCAAATCTGACTTTAGATTTGGCATTTGACCTTCAATGACCTTCTCAAGGTCAAAAAGGTCAAAAAGGTCTGTTTTCAACTTGCTTCAAATTGACTAAATTTTTTTTTCAAAATCATCTACGTGTTCTCAGAAATTCAAATCTGACTTAAGATTTGACTTAAGATTTGACATTTGACCTTCAATGACCTTCTCAAGGTCAAAAAAGGTCAAAAAGGTCTTTTTTCAACTTGCTTCAAATTGACTAAAAAATTTTTTCAAAATCATCTGCATGTTCTCAGAAATTCAAATCTGACTTTAGATTTGACATTTGACCTTCAATGACCTTCTCAATGTCAAAAAAGGTCAAAAAGGTATTTTTTCAACTTGCTTCAAATTGACTAATTTCTTTTTTCAAAATCATCTACATGTTCTCAGAAATTCAAATCTGACTTTAGATTTGACATTTGACCTTTAATGACCTTCTCAAGGTCAAAAAAGGTCAAAAAGGTCTGTTTTCAACTTGCTTCAAATTGACTAAAAAAAATTTTCAAAATCATCTACATGTTCTCAGAAATTCAAATCTGACTTTAGATTTGACTTAAGATTTGACATTTGACCTTCAATGACCTTCTCAAAGTCAAAAAAGGTCAAAAAGGTCTTTTTTCAACTTGCTTCAAATTGACTAAATTTTTTTTTCAAAATCATCTACATGTTCTCAGAAATTCAAATCTGACTTTAGATTTGACATTTGACCTTCAATGACCTTCTCAATGTCAAAAAAGGTCAAAAAGGTATTTTTTCATCTTGCTTCAAATTGACTAAATTTTTTTCAAAATCATCTACATGTTCTCAGAAATTCAAATATGACTTTAGATTTCACTTTAGATTTGACATTTGACCTTCAATGACCTTCTCAAGGTAAAAAAAGGTCAAAAAGGTCTTTTTTCAACTTGCTTCAAATTGACTAATTTTTTTTTTCAAAATCATCTACATCTTTTCAGAAGTTCAAATTTGACTTTACATGTTCTCAGAAATTCAAATCTGACTTTAGATTTGACATTTGACCTTTAATGACCTTCTCAAGGTCAAAAAAGGTCAAAAAGGTCTGTTTTCAACTTGCTTCAAATTGACCAAATTTTTTTTTCAAAATCATCTACATCTTTTCAGAAGTTCAAATTTGACTTTACAAGTTCTCAGAAATTCAAATCTGACTTAAGTTTGAACTCATAATATTGTGAGCAACTAGGTGGTGACATTTTGTCATGTTAATGCCTTGTTTTCTCTGCGACTTGCACCATTAATATTTACATAACAGGTATGCTCATGCATAACATGTTATGCCATCTATTGAAGATTAGTAAGCATGTTGTTGAAATTAAGTTAAAGGCAGAATCTGGTCTATAGGGGTTGACAAAATTACAAGCGACATGTATGATTGACCTATCAATCTATTCATTACAATCTCAATTACAATATCTCCCAAAAGATTCACAATATGTTGTAAATTGGTGAAGTTATTAATGATCCAGAGTGCAAAAATGGGTGAAAAATGTTTAAATTCTCCCAAATAATAAGAATAGTAACCATTCTTGTAGAAAAATAATACATTATTGTAAAAATCTTTAATTTTTTCCTGGAATAAAGTATGCACTTATTGTGATTTTTAGAAAATAGACATGACAAGGAATGACATGAGCCAAAAATACTCTAAAAATTGAAACAAATTTTTGTTTAGCCTGCTCGCTATATCTGATTCTCTCTTTAATAACTATTGTCTTAGTTAAATCTATATACTATAAGTACAATATATCTTCTAGCTATAGTCATTCCAAGGACTGGGCATTAACACTATCTTGGCTAATACAGGGTGGCCAAAGAAATTGGAAACCTTTACACCATTTTCCTCATATCTTTGTCATTTTAAGAAATAACACCCTCATATTTTACACATTAGTACATCATTCAATTTTCTACCAGCCTACTTTATTTCATGACCATCAGATTGATAGTCACAATGTGCAGCACTTTTAAGAACATGCCCCAGTGCCCACTATTGCGCAGTAGGGAAACCTGCACATGTCTTCCAAAATGTGCCAACCTGTGGGGATATGGCAGAAATAGAGTGTATAAGAATGACCTCAGGACAATTGCAGACCTCAAAAGTGAGATCTGTATCATTCAGGTCATACCTGCTGAGTTATGCATTTGGTTCATCGACAACTGTGCCTACAGCACGATGATGGCCACAGCTGAAGCATGATGTTCAAAGTGCTGTAAAATTGTCACATGGTAGGGTGGTAGGAAATTGAATGGTCTACAAAAATGTCCAATATCAGGGAGTCATTTCTTAAAATGACAAAGATATGAGGAAAATGCAGGCTTGCAGGGTTTCTGTTTTTTTACCACCCTCTATCTGTATGCATGAGCAAGCATACTTAAACCCGCACATTGCTCTAAAAAGCAATATTTCGACATACATTATTTTTATATTTTCATACAGCCAACAAGATTACTAAAGCACTAGTGTAGTGTTTGACATGATGACGTTGACATGATTAAAAACTGTTTTTCTGCATAATATCAAAGCAAAAACATTTAGTTAAAAAAAAACAAAAATAAAATTCACCAGTGGGATTCTAACTAATGCCGTCTACCACAAGACCAACACCAATTTATGAAACTTAGGGAGTAATTTACGCTACTAATATTGAAAGTTCTAATTCAGTAGTGATGGTGATGTCACATTCTAAATTCAGAAACCTTCCAAAAATAATATTGTCGGCGACAATCGAAGCAATTCAAAGAACAATCCTCATAATGACACATTTATCGTGAGTATTTGTATACAAGATTTGCCCTATTTGTTCACCATTGTATAGCTATACTTTCATTAAAGCTAAAAATCTTACAGTTGGCCCTGTAATGATGTGCAGCTTTAATATTACAGTACATGTTATTAATGCGATGTCAGGATAATACTATTATCCTTAACCTCTTATATAGGGTGTCCGGAAAGTAAAGATACAAATACTCTAGTTTTAAGAGATTTAGGAGTTTTGCAATGAAATTGCTACAGATTGTAGAGGAACATTATGACAATGTGTCTACCAACTCTCGTTGCATATAGTCTAAACTGGTTAGAGTTACGGTTGTCATGGTTACGGAGGTGAGAGGTATGTGGAGCAGTTCCAGAACATCGCTAAAATCTGATTAATTGCTAAATTATAACCATTTGATACAGTCTTCATCATTGTGTTTTCTATCAATGTTTTGTCTTCTTCAATTTTGTATTATTGTTGCTATTATTTTCTCTTGTGTATATTGGTGCCATTGATACATGTCAGAACTATGTTATGTCATCAGTGTAATCAAAAAAATATTATAAAGGTGCTTAAAATAAAAGTTCCCTGGGTTAATAAGGAAAGTCAATATTCCACCTCCACAAGGCACCAATTCACAAAGCAAAGCCAACAAATCTCAAAATGGCACTAAACCATTTTGTACAATAAACCATGTTTACCTGAAAAGGCCCCTTTAGATTTTTACCTTAATGAGAACCTCAAAGCAATATTTGTTAGAAGTTCAGTATATTCAAATGAGACTCAACTGGAAGTGAATGTTATCAGCAATCTGAAGAGGAACAGCAGCGGTTTTGTCTGGTCTTTGAATCTGTGGTCAAGATGCACCATGAACATAAAGATAATGCGGGGAACACATAATACCGGATAATAGTAGTCATGTTAAATGATAAGATAACATTAGAGTACTAATCCTCATGCTGTTGTGGGACATAATTTGATGTTTTATAGGAACAAAAATTAAATGGGTTGAGTGCCAAGATGATATGAGTAGTTTACTATTAGGATATAGTCCTGAGTAAGGACATTAGCGGTTACCGTTAGTGATTTGGTTTTCTGAATAAAAAGTCATTTTCTCCTTCCCTACCCCATTGGAGCGCCATCTAGCGTTTGGGAAGTGAATCGGGAATAAATATTTATAGGGTAGGTCCTAATTTATCTGAAAACATGTCAGAGTTCAGTGGGAATCTCATTTTAAGCTGGCGGCGGAGTGATTTTGACCTTGGTGATTTTACCAGAATTCTCTGAGAAATCTGACGATAGAGGGGGTTAGTGTCTTCAAGTTTATTTATTTCAAAAATTCGGTGGACAACCCATGGTAAGATTGTTATAGCAGGCTAGGCGAGTCTCTCCCGAACACTGTGGTATGTTGCACTAGGCTTGGATACTAATCGTTAATAAGATACAGGGTAAAATTTTATAATGGCCACCTATGGGAAACTCTACTGTGATCTTCAACCAATAACAATTAATTGTGACGGTGCTCCACATACCCCCAACTACCGTTACCATAACAGCCATAACTTTTTCATTTTGAAACTATATGTCATGACAGTTACAGGATATATTGTTGAAATGTCATTTTACAATCTGTAGCAATTTCATCTCACAACAGGTAAATCTATTGAAGTTAGAGCATTTGTATCTTTACTTTCCGGACACCCTGTACATGCTATGCAGTTACCACTTGATTATTCAAATAAAAATATTTCAATTTTCTTTATAAAAATATTTATTTCTTGTATTATTTTACAAAGCTGGAGATACACACCTATAATGCTACAATGAACTGTATATACGTAGCTTCATATGAACAATAATTGCACTTATCCTGAGTGCCGTTCTCTTGTTGACAGAATTTACAGAATATTCCTTGTAAATATACAAGTACAGTAGAACCTGTGTAAGTGGAACACCCTCCGTTCTGCCAAAAATTGTTCCACTTAGGAGATGTTCCACTTAGCAGGTTCTACTGTACATGTATAATGCTTTGACTAGAGCAAATGAATTCCATTTTATTTGGACAATTTCTTTGAGTCTTGACCATTGGTGATACAGGTCCCTTTCAACAAATTATAATGTCAACTCTTAAATATCTCCTGGGGATTTAAAGGTTGAAGTCAAGATCAATTAATATGCTATGATGTTCAACTATAAGTCATATTTGGGTATATGTAAGGAATAATTTAACAATGTATTTATTATTATAGTTAAATTGTATGGGATTGGCCAATTAAAGAATGAGAATCACATCATGGGAATAATAACATGGACTTATTCTTAGTTTTTAAAATATTCAAGAGAATAAAAAGCAGAAATCATATTTTGTGATTCTAATTTTGAAGAGTACTACAATAGTAAGACCAATGCTCTGTCAATCATCACCAGTGATCCCCACACATCCATCTACCAGGCCATTTATTCTGTCGTCACAACTTTTGCACCTCTTCTTTAAAATATACTTTATAAATGTGTGAACCGACAGAATGTTATTGTTAGGCTCAAATTTCAGCCTACTGATGTAGTATTTCAGATCTATCAAAAGTTTTAACCAGGGGTTCATTTTTGATACAATTGTAACTTTAGTTTGAGAAAACCATTGTCTACTTTTTGACAAACAATAACGGCTTGCATTCAAATCATAAGTTACGACAGTTCCAAAAATGAACACCAGGGTCCAAATGCTCCATCTATCCACTGAAATGTCAGTTAAATCATGATTCATAATCGATAAACCCCAGGTTTACCACAGATAAAATTAAAACTTTCATTCATAAGTATATCCCTTGTGGACTATGGTTTAAATTTAAATGGATAAATCTCCATTAGCATTGGGTTTGCTTAATTTTTTAATGGCTTTTGGTAACTTAATATATTCATGAACCATTAAAAAGTGAATAAACCCCGACTCTATTTTGGATTTATCTATTCAAAAAATGCACAATTGCATTTTGATAAACTTTAAAATTACATTTAAAAATACTATTATAGTCTAAGTATAGCCCAGAACTAAAACTAAAATGGTGGAATTACACTTTCAATTCACCTAACATTGTATTCTTACTTTTGTTAAATGCCAATAAGATTTCTGATATCAATAATACCCACACACTGGTGTGTATGGTAGCTCCTTTGAGGTAACACTTACAGAGCTTGGGGGCCTGAGATTTGTTTTTGGTACAATCATAACTTACGATACCAGGAAAACCATTGTCTATTTTACAACGAACAATGACTTGCGACCAAATCGTAAGTTACGACAGTTCCAAAAATGGACCCCGTATCTTATCGCTAGTAGACCCATTATTGGAATGGACATTGTATACTATGAACAAGAATCACACTCCTGCTGCTATCTGTTGATGCACTTTATCCATAAGCCTCTTGTCTAAGTGTTTCTGTCTCATAAATACAGATCCATATGATACTGCACCCAGCAATATCATTAACAATTCAAATGTCCAAAAATCACGTTCCTTTTTTCTGGTATTGGAGCAACTGGAAAATAAATACAAATATTCTTTAAATGGTGCGAAAAACGTTAACTTCACTAACAGCTCATATCAGATTCCTCAACACAATATGACAAATATAAGGCTGAGAATTAATAAAATCTTTACATAAGAACTGATGACAAAATCCTCATTGAAAAAAATCTTCTATTGAAGCAATCTTCCTTTGAAGAAACAATTCACCCATCTCCCTTGAAAAAAAAGCATCCCTTCAGGAATCAGGAGAATGCAACCGGGAGGAGTTGACCAGAGAAGATTGGATCATGAGGAAATCTGAAATAGCATAAATAGTGGAGTGTGGGTGAATGTTACCTTCTGGATACTTCCTTTTTAGAGACTGTACAGTGAATCTTCTCCCGGAAGCCTGTTGATAAACACACTGATGCATTGGACATCTGAAATTAACATAAATAAAGATAAGATTCGCTTTTTATATGCACAGTGCTCAGCCATCAGTGCTTGGTGGGCAACATCTGTAAATGGAATTCATGGACTAATTGCAATCGTACTACATAATGCATTAATTAAATCATTACAATCATTTGTAAAAACAAGATCCTCTTTACTCCTGCTGATGTAAATCTTGAGCAAAAATATTTTTTTATAAAAAATATGGGAATACAACAAGCAATATGACAACAGGATGGTGCATCTGTTTAAAATTGTGTATCACCCTCCTGAAAATCTGTTTGAACACTGCCAATAGTGTGTGATATTTTGAGCAAAAATAGGTAAAACTGAGATTTAGAACCAAGTTGAGAGAAAAAATCCTGGGGAGATCAATGATACAGATTGATAATGGGTATCAATTTGAAAAGTGAATACAATTTACACTCACTTTGGAAATATTGACATGATACAATAATATGAATTTACTTACAATTTCAAACTTTGAGCAAATTGTACATTCCTCGATGATTGTGAACGGTTCATGCTCTGCACAATTGTAATCTTTGTTGTTAGATCTGTTACCTGTAAGATAAATATCATATACTTGTGGTCATGGTATTGTTTATTGGAGGTTTTAGATATTTGAAACTCATTGAAAGAGGATATCCCAACAAGGATAGCTTGTATCTATCTACCCAAAAGATCTCACATAGACTTTACTTCATAGACAAAAGCCTACATTTTCATTGGCAAATCATAATAAAAACATGTCAATAAAAACATGTCAATAAATTTCTATTATAATACAGGTGCATCAATTAAAGGGTTAAGGATTCTTAAATAATTTAATGTTAACTTAAACACTAACTTGTTTCATCAGGAGGATCTGTCATATTTTTCATATCCGTTGACGTGGAAACACTGGATTCAATTATAAGCACTAATATTGAGATCCTGGAAGTGAAAAAATTCTGATTTTAATGCACATGTACAGACTTAGGGTTTCACTAGAATTTCTCACAACAGGCTAAATAAATGAAAACAACAGGCAAAATTAATGGAAATCATTGGGTCCATGTGCAGTATGGCAAGTGATTTTAGACAGTCATTTTATCTTTCACCATGAGTACTTTCTGGGCATAAATAGTAAATACAGTAGTTTTCATTAAAACAATACATGTATGTTTTCTTTCAAGTTAAGTCCCCATGATAGTAAAATAGCAATCCAACTCTCTGAAAAATTATGGTTTAGGACCCAACCTTGGCACTTTTTTTTAAAATGTTAGGCTTATTTTCTAAAAAGAGGATCTTGTTTTTCTCAATTTAAATGTCTCAAAGGTTTCTTCTACACTATACTAAAAATTTCTGAAAAGGGAATGGGTATTGAAATGCGTTAAAATTAAAGACCACATATCCCATGTTATTTTCCCATAGGGAAAACTCATACTATCCATTGTTTTCAGCATAATTTTGGTCATCGAAAATTGGTATCTTCAAAACTAGACTTTCAAAACCATTATGCTTTTGAAGAGCTTTTAGACCCCTTGTTGAATTATCTTTTCATGCAATAAAAATCAGAAAAAGAGGATCCTCTTTTAAGTAAATAGGTTCAACATTTTGAAAGAATTGTTGCCATGGGGTCCCCATTCACAATTTTTCGAATTGCTCAATTGATATTTTTATTGTCATGGGTATTTCACCTGAAAGAAAAGATATTGTTTTAATAAAAACCAATGTATTTATGCCCAGAAAGTACTCGTGGTAAAAGATATGACTGTCTAAAATTTATCACTTGCCATACTGCACATGGACCTTTAACATAGAAAAGTTGAATAGTCCCTAAAAAAAACAGGCGATTTTGTGAAAACAACCAGTAAAATCGCCTGTTGCCTGCTGCTAATGAAACCCCTGCTAATTATTTCACTAGAGAATTCAACTAGATTTACTTAATTGGTATTTGATTGGTTCCTGAATATAGCCCAAGATAACATCTAGTCTAAAACTAATAAGCGTTAGTATTACTTACACGGTTACTTACATGTATATATTTTTTTTTTTCCACATTAAATCTTGCATAGTAACTTAAAATGTGATGCAAATAAACAAACAAAATGATGGCTTTAGATCTGAGAAATATTCATTTTATGAATACATGTTTATCAATACATTGTCTGACAGACCTTGTCTCTTAGAAACCAACTACAAGTATGTACCACTTCCAATTTCACATTTCTGTTTACAGGCCTGTAGCCAGGCAGGTTCAAGGGTTCGAGAGAACTCCCTTGTCCAAAATTTCCATGCAGTTTTCACCATTTAGAGCACTTTTAAGTGATTTTGGGCCCAAATTTTCAAGTTTGAGCCTCCTCTCAGAATCATTTAAAAAGTGACCACCCCCCCCCCTTGGCAAAAGCTGGCTACAGGCCTGACCGATATATAACCAAAGAAACCTTATTTATATAACCCTGCCCTGACGAACCTCCATTACATTCATAGTTCGCATAAAAAATGATTTCCAACTGATGTTCCCCTGTCTCTGGCTAAATAATGACTGTAGTCCCATCTATAGGTATTGAACCAATAAGTGGCGTAGCGATCAGTCTATGATGCACCCTCCGAAAACAGCCATGCATTTGAAGGATGAGTTTGATGAGACATATCTCTATCATTTTAACATGAATTTAATATGACAAAAATAAGTAATTTTATTATATAATTGAAATATTTAATATGTTACTGGATTTAAAAAATGTGAAAATTCATTCATACTTAAAAATAAACTGATCATGGCACCACCTATCTGTACGACAGTTATAGTGGAGCAGATGACAGGACACCATCAGTTCAGATGATTGACAGTGCTCTCCAGATGATTTCTTGTATGGATTGTTTTTTTTAGTGCAACATTTTAGAATTTTGTAATTTTTTGTACAACAATTTAGGTTTTTGCAATGTTTTGCATTTTGAATTATAGAGAAGTAAATATGAATTACAAACAGGAGCGCAGTGATATCAATGTGGGGAGAGCACTGGATCATGTTGTGAGAAGTTCAATATTCCAGTAGACCTTCAATTAATGTGTTTTTCCTACATCAATATTCTGCAAGAGGCTTATATGCTCATTTGAAGCACATCTATGATTAAACAGTAAGTCATCCATCAACCCAGCATTATTATTTAAATGCACTGAATCAAAGCTCTTTACTTACATGGACAAACCGCTATGGTTGGTTGCATATATAAAGGTTTACATATAATATTCTACATGTCATTGTATGCAATGTAGGAAGATAAAAGTCATATTTTGTTATGAAAATCTTAAATGTCTAAGGATTTTGGTACGAATTCAATATAGGCCCAATATATGTGTTTGTCTATATAAGATTGGCCTTTCACATTTCTCTGAATAAATAAGAACAAAGCAAAAGACTGGATTTGTGTTTATGTAACATATCATACTCTATCATATTGTAAGTTAATGACATTATTTTTATAGTTATAACCAATAAAAGGAAGGGATAAATTTGTATACGAAATATAGGTGAAAACAAACTGGGTTAAAAATAAGTAATATGGGTTATAACTTACACAATTAACACTATGATGGATATCAGCATCCTTTTCTTTGTACAAAATTCAATCATGATGATACCGGTTTCTATCTGAGGAGAAAGTCTGCAGGAATTTAAAATGTCTAATAGTGCCTAAATTATGATAGGAATTTGTATACGCTTCAATTACTTGTCTCGAATTTTGTCGTAAGTCTGTTATCTGTGTTTGACTAGACAGTGTCAGTTTTTTGTCGTACTTTGCCTAGGCTGCTGTTGATGATTTGGCAGTCTGTGACTCAGTTTCACTTCCGTCCATTTTTGAAACCATAATCACATAAAATGGTACTATAGTCGTCAAGCATAAATAGATAAAATTTTATAAAATAGTTAAATCATTTGAATCGTTGAAGAAATCAATTAAAATAGTAAAATTTGCTAAACTATTTTCGGAAAATTATATCCGGATGTTGACAAATTATACTTGCGCATGCTCAGAGGGAACTCTGGGACGAGGCTACGCCGCCATATTGACCTTGACAGAAGTCCCGTTTTAAATTCTTCACAAATATTTTTACAATGTTTCGTTCGATTGCTCAAAGGTTAGGCGCTACTGCTACAACAGTCGTTAGGTCAAATATACAAAGAACTACCCCAGGTAATAATTTTTATATAATTTGTTGAGTATTTCTCATAATTTACCTGATCCCGTCAAAGAATTCGAAAACGTGAATAAAAAAAATTTTCGATAATTTTTTAGTCTGACCTACTCATAGTAGACAGGTTACCTGAAAAGGAAGATAGATATCATTATCTCTTATCTAAACAAGGACTGTCACTGAGGCAAGTCTACCCTGGCTGAAATCAGCTCTGAAATAACAATTACTGCATGTCAAGCCGTCATTCAATGCTGATTTTGTAGAAAACAGATCTGTCCATCCTTCTACAGTGGGGATCATAAAGAATTGCAAAAGCTATGAAAATTACATGCTGTCGCAAATGTAATAAATTCTTACCTCAGTGTATTCAGTGCTCTATTTTCTCCGTCTTAGTAAGTCCAAATATAGTGGAATTTGTGTCCTTAATGACAAATAAGAACTTCAAAAGTTGAAGTGGATATTCACATGTTATGCCGACTCTTCAAATATGGAGGTGATTTTGTCGCCCGATTGCACCGGAACGGAGGATTGGCTCCCAGAATGCAACATGACACGTGCCAGCTTTCAAAATGCTGTTCCGCCATTTTGAAACCTGTCATGAGTAAATATGGTTAACTGATGTTGCATTCTGGGAGTCAACCGTCCTTGGATAACAAACATGGCGATTCATGAAAACATTCATTCGATTTGGTAGGGATTTATCCATTATTTGCAGGTATGAAGCTTTGGATTCATTTATTGTGCTACTTTAGTGAACGGGAATTATTTTTCTACCGCTTGGGAGAGTTTGAGACACGAAACTTGGAAATTAGCTCATTGTGACAACTTGTGAACGTTGAGTTTTATTTTTGTCCCCCACTGTACATGTGAGTTTTTCCCATAAAGATGCTTGATTAAGTAGAAATTCATCAAATTATACCCCTAGAATATCAAAGTTCAACTGTACATCAATCGTGTGAGGAAAAAAAACAAATCCATTCTTCACCTTCTGTTCACAAACCCTTCTTCTTCTTCTTGGAAAAGTTGTCCCTCATTTGACTAACAGCAAATGTGTATGTTTATGCAGCAATATATGTTAGTTTAGAAAATGATTAATTACAATCTTACCTGTACTTCACAGAAACATCCTAAGTATGAAAATATTTCACTAAAAATACACACTTCCATTTTGTCACATGTTCATAATAATTTAAATATTGACCATGTGATGTTGACAGGGAGTGTAAACGCACATAGCGTACAGGAAAGATGTTATGATATTTATTAAGAAATTAGGTATGGTAATCATTATTAATTAAGCATTAAGTATTGAGCCCCCAACCCACTTCACAAAGTTCATGAAGTACCAAGGAAAGACCAAATATTAAATAAATTAGAAAAATTTGAATTTCCCAAAAAATCAAGTGGGCGATAATAGAGTCTCTGAAACATTAAATTTTTCCTTCATTAACTTATTACATACATTATGTTTAGATAATATTAGTTTGATATGGTGTGGGAAGCACACAATGATAGATAATTATCGGGAGTATGCATTGAAAATTACAAAATATGTCACTTTTGCCATGTTCCAGAGGCTCTATTATCGCCCACTTGATTTTTTGGAAATTCAAATTTTTCTAATTTATTTAATATTTGGTCTTTCCTTGGTACTTCATGAACTTTGTGAAGTGGGTTGGGGGCTTAATACTTAATGCTTAATTAAAAATGATTACCATACCTAATTTCTTAATAAATATCATAACATATTTCCTGTACGCTAGGTGCGTTTACACTCCCTGTCAACATCACATGGTCAATATGTAAATTATTATGAACATGTGACAAAATGGAAGCATGTATTTTTAGTGAAATATTTTCATACTTAGGATGTTTCTGTGAAGTACAGGTAAGATTGTAATTAATCATTTTCTAAACTAACATATATTGCTGCATAAACATACACATTTGCTGTTAGTCAAATGAGGGACAACTTTTCCAAGAAGAAGAAGAAGGGTTTGTGAACAGAAGGTGAAGAATGGATTTGTTTTTTTTTCTCACGCGATTGATGTACAGTTGAACTTTGATATTCTAGGGGTATAATTTGATGAATTTCTACTTAATCAAGCATCTTTATGGGAAAAACTCACATGTAGAAGGATGGACAGATCTGTTTTCTACAAAATCAGCATTGAATGACGGCTTGACATGCAGTAATTGTTATTATTCCATAATAACATGTTTTCCCTGGGAAAATAACAGGGAATAAAAGTGTTATTTGAAAAATCCCGTATCAGATCCCGTATCAGCCAAAATCCCGTATCAGATGATCAGATCCCGTATTGGATCCCGTATCAGCAAAAATCCCGTATCAGATCCCGTATCAGATATATTCCCGGTAATTTCTCTTGAGTTTTACGCTTTTCGTCTAGCACATCTCTACAGGAAGTAAAAAAATCGTTTGGAAAATTGAAATTATTGAAATTATTATCATCTAGTTTACGTCTATTACTGTGACAAATATGTCTAATATTATGAAATAAATAGGTTATTGATGGTCGTGATGGATATGGATTTATTCCTTGAGAAAATATGATATTGGCCTCAGAAAATATCATATTGACACTCGGGCTATCGCCCTCGGTCAATATGATATTTTCCTTGGCCAATATCATATTTTCCCTCGGAATAAAATCCATATTCCATCCCTCCCATCAAATAACCTCTATTTTCAGAGCTGATTTCAGCCAGGGTAGACTTGCCTCAGTGACAGTCCTTGTTTAGATAAGAGATAATGATATCTATCTTCCTTTTCAGGTAACCTGTCTCCTATGGACCTACTGCGCGAATAGACTTCAAAATGTCTCTAGTCCTACTAGTGACATCTCGCATACCATTGAATAGATTGTCACAGAATTCGGCACTCATAAATGTTAAAATTATGATGTTATTTGGAGATCTACCCTTTATTTGACCAGCCCACTTCTTTCCTGTCTCATTTATACAGTTGAAATTGTAATTCTTGAGTTCTTAATTATCGTAAATCCTTCGTTCTATAAGTATAATGTCCAAGCAATTTCAACTTCGTTGAACCTGTTCCTCTGGTCGTTATGCAAATCTATATGAACACAGAGAAACGAAATTATTATAATAAGATTTCGCTAAAGCTACTTAACGTGTAGCGAGATATCATATTCTTTCGTTCTCAGAAAGAAGTTTTGCCGCGAACATTTTTAGAAAAAAGGTATCTTTGTCTGGGGGTAAAGCGGTTGAAAACGTGACACCAGAAACTGAAATAATGATTTCGATTAGTTAGTTTGACATGCGATACCGCGCATGCGCATAAAGAGGATTTTAATTTTCAAAATTAGTTCCAAATTTTTGCCACAAATCTCCTAATTACTGATGAAATACCAAATTACTTCACTAAAAACGTAGCAGAGATTTCGGAGCATTCAAAGATAGGGTAGGTGCATAGTTTATCGCAGTTCGCTGCTGCGTCATTATAAATATAGTTATGCGTAATGGCCATGATATCATGGCCATTGGGAAAGGCTATGCGCGAAGGGCTATATTGTCTACGCCATTTCGTTTCTATATTGGGTAACATCGACGTATGTGCTAACATCGTCACCTTGTTGTTTATTTGCTCTAATTTTTGAGCTAATGTTTTTTATTGTATTGTACTTATACCGATGCACATTGTACCGAAAATCTGTATACCTACACCATATTTTTGATGTAAAAAAGACTTGTAATTAGAGGTGTCACAGATATCCGATTTTGATCCCTTCCGCGGAATTAGGCTCTCTGTTCGAAACAATTATTCAACTTTTCGGTTCGCTTCGATCAAGAAAATTGTACCTTGACACAGCTTTTAGCACTCAAATCGCTGCAAATCAGCATTTTTCTTTGCATCGATATATGTCCATTTTCACCCCTTCTCATTGAAGAGTTTTCAACAGGTCTTTCCTATGAGATAGACCTAGTCATCAACTTATTTTATACGTACTAAATATGCTGAATGTTTATCTTTCTCGAGTAGTATGATCTGCGACTTTGCACTGATCATGGCGGTGGCTTAACTCAAAATGTCAAATGAGCTGAAACACAAAAAACCAATGTCTTGAAGACACTTCGAAGGGCGGGAAAATCCACGTTTGGAAATATTGCGGTAATCCTGTGATAAGTTCAGCCTGACCAGAGTGCCTTCCAAGATGTGAGGTCCTAATAATAGATGCTCAATGTGAATTGATCGTTATTTTTGTTTTTCTTCCCAGTTCGAATGGGGGATCTACTAGGATATGTAGATCTAATTTTTTATTTCCTGTACAAGCTAGATATCCATTCATTGTCCATAGACTCGCAAAATTAGTTTTGTTGCAAATGATTAGATCTTTGCCTTCAATAAATGGAGCAAGTTAGAGTCTAATACACACAGTCACTTTGTTCCAGAACCGAAATTGTTGTGTTCTGAAGCCAAATATTCCGAATCGAACCGTTCCGACCTTTTTTTGTTCTGTGACACCTCTAATGTGATAAAATCACAAAAAGTGAAATAAAGTAGTTTTGTTGTAGATGACAAGATCGAGGCCGACAATAAATAGGGCAAGTAAGAGTATAACCCACAGTCACTTTGTTCCAGAACCGTTCCGAAATTGTTCTGTTCTGAAGCCAAATGTCTGAACCGAACTGTTCCGATTTTTTGTTGTTCTGTGACACGTCTATTCTCTCCCTTCGAGAATGGATCTTTGAACCTAGACTAGACGAAACGGAAATGTTAAAATTGTGGCAACTTTTTTTAAGTGGCTTCCATGGATAGTTCTAAATTATATGTCCTGTTGTCATTAGGCGTATTCCTATAAAATAGTGAGTTGTTTTCTGAAAAGACAAACAAACAAACGAACGAACAATTGGCTCTGGGGATTAAGTAGAAACGATGTAAGGTTGTTTTATTAGTCTCAAAATAGATGTTCTCCAGTTTGTAAAGATGAATAACGATTATCATGTATCAAAACTTAAAAACTGTCTCATCATATTTTACTCCAAATAAACTTTAAATGTGTGTTCACTATTTTGTCTTTCAATTACTTCTAGCTTGCATCGTCTCTTAAAGGTTATAAGCAGATATATATGCGTTACAACTCACGCAGGAAAACTTTTCGGTACAATGCGCGTCGGATTGGCATTTGGTACAAGGCCTTTCTGAATAATCCGTGTCGGTATAATAGGTTTCGGTATAATGCATGGACACCATAAAGTTTTATCAGAATGGAACTATTTAAAGTTGATAGAAATGCTCAAAATTGCATCAAATAACGTCAGACATTCCCGCATGGGCGTACCAGCAGGCATTGTATATATTTGTATTCGTTAAGTGTTTGTGTTATAGTTGTCTGCACAGTTAGACATGGGCATGGCAAGAAGGAAACTGACGAAGAGGTAGACGCAAGATACGAGGCTCTCTTCAATAACCCAGAACTTGATGGCTGGATGTTCAGAAAAGCTTGTAATGATTTGCAGGTATGAACAGGAGCATTGCTGCATTATGACCTGTATAGATAGTGTTATACTATCTTAGAATGGTATCATATTTACTTCAATACATTGCTTTGAATTTTACTTTGAAATGACATATAGTTGTTAACATTCCTTCAATTTCACTCAAAAAAATGAAAATTATTTTTTAGACCTGAATATGAACTTTGAAGATTTGCTTATGGTTCAGCTGGAAAGTAACATTTTGGTAAAAATTGCTTTTACCTGCACATGTTATTTTTGGCTCACACAGTGAGCCTATGGGATTGACCAGGCGTCCGTCCGTCCGTCCGTTGGTCCGTCCGTCCATCCGTCCGCCCGTCCGTCAACATTGGCCGCACAAATTAAAACTGCTATTCGGATTGAGTCATATCCACATTCATTTTATGCATATCCATAATGCCTATTTGACCTATCATCGCCATTTCCCAAGTTTGCCCGGTTTCCGAGAAATTGCGGATTTTGACGTCAAAAAGTCAAATTTTCTGTAAATACTAGACACTTTGTTGAAGTAGAACTTTCAAATAACTTTTAGTAGTTGGTGTATATGCACCTTATGTCCTCTGAAGATTCCAAAGCTCTTGGAATTACGGTTTTTGGTGTTTACTCTATAAAATTTGAAAAAAAGTAGGACTTCGTCATTTTCAGGAAACTTTCTCATGTATAAAGTCAATGGCAGGTTTTGTGATTGACAAGATTCTTAAAGTTTGCCTTATACTTGATCATTTCCTGCAATAAATTACATCATTAATAGATTTAAGCATTCCCTACATATTTCTCAATATATGTCAGCATCAAATTTTTACCGTTTTTGAGATATTTGAGTCGTCAAAAAACAGTAAAAATAAGTTATTTTTCAACTTGCTTCAATTTGACCAAATTCTTTTTTGAAAATCATCTACAAGTTGCCAGGAGTTCAAATCTGACATTAGTTTTAGGATTTGACCTTTACTTGACCTTCAGTGACCTTCGAAAGGTCAAAAAAGTTGATTTTTCAAATTGATTTTTGGATGTAAATTTTGGTCAGCTTAATCACAAAAGACCTTACTTAGCTCCGAATAAGTAAAATTTTCAAGGTCAATGGTCATCAAACTAGGTCACACAACTATGCTATCTAAGTTTCTCAAAGTTTGAGACTACAAATCCAAATCAATATTTTTGTTTGAAAGTCAGGATATAAATTCCTCTGAAGGCTCACTGTGTGAGCACAGGACCGTGGGTCCTTCATCTGGTACAAAATTACTGGCCTTCATACTTTATAGTGTACCAGAAAATAACATGTGCAGGTATAGCAATTTTTACCAAAATGTTATTTTCCAGCTGTACCTTAAATAATTTTTGTGATTTTTTTATACCAATCTACAAAATACCTGATGAGCAACCAGTAAGTTGTTTATTCCATTCTCCATATATCTATTCTCTAGGGCATGGATATGGTACCTGAGCCTAGAATTATAGTATCTGCATTGAAAGCCGCCAGACGTTTAAATGATTATTCCCTTACCACAAGATATCTTGAGGCTGTCAAAGTGAGTACATGTAGTTGTATTGTATTTCTGTTTTCAAGTCAAATTCTGCTGTTTTTTAACTGAAAATTCTGCAGTCATTCTGCTTCTGCCAATGTACTACCAATATACCAATGTATTTGACACATACAATATTTTTTGTTTTTGTTTACATTAAAAGCACTATTTCCGACTTTGCATTATGTATTACTTCTGACAAATCAGTTACTGTATAACACATTAAATCTGCGCATTAAATTTTTGCGTTTTTCATTTACATCATTAATTTGCGTCATTTTAATTTTGCGTTTTGTGCCCATCGGGAATTATGCATGTATCAATTTAAATGAGATTCCCCCGGTGATTGTTTGACCACATATTTGACTCGGCCAATAAACAGATAAAGAATTAATTCTATGAATAGCGCTTTGTTTATAATAAGGTTAATCGCCGCGAGTAAGCTTACGTGACGTCATTGACTGATTTGAGACCTGACACGCTAAGCTCAAACTGCCAAACAAACTAATTACCCTGAATACCGACGCTTACCTTTGTTTTTTTTGTGTTTTACTGATCCAATATATCCCATAAGTTTCTTCAATACAAGTATGCAATCAAATGGAAGGTGAATGTTGGTGTATTTTAAAGTTATAATTTTATTCAGTCTAGAAACGGTCAAGAAATGGCGACGACTCCAGGGGAAAAGCTACAACGTCGCCAATAATTTTCTGCTCAAAAAACTTAACTGGGACTTGTTATATAAAAATATGTTAGAATCGATTAATCGATAATTGATCAATTAATATTTTTCGATAATCGATTAAGAAATGTACCACGGGTGCACACCACTAGTTCCCATGGATACTTGGGAATCTTGCATGACTGATACTTGGATTCTAATTGACTTCAGAATAGTACGCCGATCAAATTACAAATCTATGGAGGAAATCACTGATGATTTATCGTAAGTTTGATCTGGACGTTTGACTTGTTTTTACATGTTTTAAACAACAATAACAACAACAATAGTTTTTTTATGGTATGATGTTTTATTTTACAATATGAAGCAATAAACACGATGATATATTTGTTTTATTTCCTGGTTTGCAAACATCAATACATTCAAGGTTGACCGTTTACAAAAATAACCCTATGGTAAACTTTGGAAATGGCGCCATCACATTTAACAATTTTCATTTTATGGCTTAGTAGCCTACATATTTATTTCGCTACACGATGAATTTGCGAATACATACCCTCGCGAATTTACGCAAATTCATCATGCACGCGAATACATTGTGTTATACAGTACCAAGGAACAATATTTGTCTTATAATATCACCATTGTTTAAAATGATATGCGATATTTATGTCACCACCACAAATGGTGACATATTGTTATAGTGTGCAACTTTTTTGTGTACAGTGGCTGGTGTTTGGTTTTCATTGGTTGGTGTTTGGCAGTCAGCATCTGTAACAAATGGCAGGTGGTGACATTTTGCCTGTTATTATTTTGTAGGGAGATAGTATATTGTACATCTGTTTGTATTATAGGCAAAGTGTGGCAACCGTCTTGATGTTATCTGGCCCTACATTCTGCAAGAGATCAGACCTACCCTCGATGAGCTTGGCATCTCAACACCAGAGGAGCTAGGGTTCGACAAACCTGAGCTAGCTGTAGAAGATGTACAAGATATCCATTAACTAATTAATAAAATCTTAGTAAGTGTTTGAGACATTGTTATTTTGAGCAGTAGAATTTGTTTTTTTTAAGGTAAAAGCTGTCACAGAGAAGATTATATCTATGTGACATTTTCTTTCTACTATATCTGCCATGCTATCTGACCCAAATGAGCCACCTGGTTGTGAAATGGGAACTACCTAGTCGCATCTTAGTAATTGGTGGTAGGATTTATTGAAATATAAAAGTCATAATGTTTGAAGGTGGTGTTTCACTTTTGACATCATTGCTATTTACTGAGTGAATACTCTTTGGGGTGCAATATTGTTCATATTTTTCCCTATTTGTAAATGAAATTATCCTGTATTTCCAGGTCAATTGAAGCTGTATATCTAGGAAAAAAACAATATATAAACAGTTAAGATTTGGTGACAAATCAGTTTTTAACTGAACATAAACAACTATGAAGGATGTGTTAAAAATATTAATTCTATTTATTGAAGACTGGACAAATAATTGCCAAATTGGTTATATTACAATAGTGCGCAAGATAACGACTTTTCACCACAGCTCTGTAGGGCACCAACAATTCACATTGATAACAAGACATCACTTTGGTTTGATTTTTAAATAAATGTGGCAGTTTTGTGTGTATGTACTATTCTGTTCTTTCATAATATATACATACCAGTGTTTCCGAGGATTTCTTTCAACTTTCGAATTTTCTTTTATATGAATTGCAAAGTTGCATTAATCTTTGGGAGATCACTGTTATATGCTCAAGATAATGAGTCCATACCCAATTGTAGCCCAGATTAAATACTATGAAAATTCAAGACATTGAGTTAAGCTGTAATAAATCAAATGCTCATTTTATATTTCTTATAAAGTCATGCTGTTCCCATGAACCATTGAAATTAAGCTGAACAGGGAGTAAGGAACAATCGTGGTTTTAGTTAACGTTATGAAAGATTACTGAAAACATTAATGGATCTGTTCACTGTAGGAGGAATGCAAAATATACAGGGTATGCCAAAGCAAATCTTTATTGTGTCATCCAGCATGGGTTTAACACCATAGTTTGGACAATTAAACCTTGTTCAATGTTCTTTCATCCTACTAAGTTCCATTGGTATTCCCAAAGTCACAATTTAATGGTCATTTTACATGCTAAATGACTGAGTTATTAACATTGTTTGGGTTACTTGTTTTGGCTCACCCTGTAGTTCTGAATCAATTTTAATATAACACAGTCGCAACCCAAAGGAATAGCATAACTTAAATACCTGTATAGAGCCGTACAAATCATTTAGACATGCCTACCCAATTCTTTGGATGTATTGACTGAGAAATTATCAAAAAAGCAAAGTTTTAGGTTTGAGGTCTGGGATGGAATTTTTTATGTGCAGAAAAACACATTACTATTTTGAAGGATCTCTCATCAGATTGGTTTTAAGTTTTGACAGTTGATTGATGACTGAGACTGTTGATACAAACTAACTTACGATCACATTCATTCTAATTCAAATAAATGAAAAATTCCATATTAATAGAATACTGAATAGTTTATTTAATTCTCACAAATACATGTACATTTGAAAACAATAATTTATCAAAGGCTTGTGAGTGATAATATACCTATTCCCGATTTGATAAAAACTGCAGACATACAACTGTATTAACTTAAATATGGGATCATAATATGTTAGAGGGGTTAGGCTATATTTCTGGCCTCATGTTATTCATAATATGTTAGAGGGGTTAGGCTATATTTCTTGCCTCATGTTACTCAACAGTCATTGCAGATATCTCTATTTCAGCCTTTCTCTCTAAAATAAATCTAAATCTGACTTTCTTTTAAAATTGCAATACAATACAGTGAAACCTGATAAGTGGAACACCTCTAGTAGAACGCTTCAGAGTCCCAATACCAACTGACCTCTTTAAGTGGAACACTTTTAGACATAAATTGTACCGTAGGGGTTCCACATAGATGTGTTTTGCTGTATAAAATATTCTAAATATAGCATTTCAAATAGTATGGCTCCTTGTCTACTTTTAACGAGTTTCACTTTGTCTTTCATTTAAGCAGTTAAGAAACTACTAACTACATCTATTTACCAATTTTATTTATTTTGTTTGGGTATTCTATAACAGGCGCATGATGAGGGGATACGTAATGTAGACCATACAAATCCATTTGCACAGAAAAATGCAATCTCAGTCCGAGTGTACACCTGCACGCAAATATAAGAATCTTTTATCCGTCCACAGGATTTCTTGGATACACAGCTGGCCCCAGCATTTCTAAAACAAAAGAAAGTTCAATACATGTATACTATAATAGCTGAAATCATTAAAGAAGGGTATTTTTAAACATTTTGGAATTTTTGACAGAAAAAATCAGAGGTCAAGAACTCAGTTTTCTGAAAAAACGGTCTTGTGTATTGATAATAATCAGAATATACTGTCTTTGGACTAATTTTTGTTGGTATGTTCTTGTAATCAAGGCTTGTTGGAATATCAAATTTGAATAAACATAATTTAGACATCTTCCTTTTATAATTTATTGGCTCACACAGTGAGCCTATGAGATTGACCAGGCATCCGTCCGTTGGTCCGTCTGTCCATCCGTCCGTCCTATCATCGCCATTTCCCAAGTTCGCCCGGTTTCCGAGAAATTGCGGATTTTGATGTCAAAAAGTCAAATTTTCTGTAAAAACTAGACGCTTTGTTGAAGTAGAACTTTCAAATAACTTTTAGTAGTTGCTGTATATGCAACATACATGCAGGTTTTGTGATTGACAAGTTTCTTAAAGTTTGCCTTATACTTGATCATTTCTTGCAATAAATTACATCATTACTAGATTAAAGTATTCCCTACATATTGCTCAATATATGTCAGCATCAATTTTTACCATTTTTGAGATATTTTTGGGGAAAATCATCTACAAGTTGCCAGGAGTTCAAATCTGACATTAGTTTTAGGATTTGACCTTTACTTGACCTTCACTGACCTTCGAAAGGTCAAAAAGTTGATTTTTCAAATTGATTTTTGGATGTAAATTTTGGTCAGCTTAAACACAAAAGACCTTACTGAGCTCTGAATAAGTAAACTTTTCAAGGTCAAAGGTCATCAAACTAGGTCACACAACCGTGCTATCTAAGTTTCTCAAAGTTCGAGACTACAAATCCAAATCAATATTTTTGTTTGAAAGTCAGGATTTACATTCCACTGAGGGTTCCAAACTGTGTGAGCACAGGACCGTGGGTCCTTCATTTTTTAGGAAGTTCTAGTTAAACATGTATGACAAACATTTTGAGCAAAAGTGATTTTAACTTTTCATGTGGTCTTTAACCAAAAAGTACAGTTATTTTGAAAATTCTATCATTTATGTTACATAGGTGATACATAGATTATGTTAATCACCCTGTATGTAACATCTTATGTTGCCCACCCTGTATGTTACATCTCATGTACAGGTACATAACATAACTCAGCCAGTACATAACATGTTATGTTACAAACCCCTTGCCCACCCTGTATGTAACATCTTAGGTTGCCCACCCTGTGTGTAAGATCTCATGTTTCCTACCCTGTATGTAATATTTGATCTTGCCCATCCTGTTTGTAACCCCTCATATTGGCCTCCCTTCATGTAACCTCTCATATTGCCCTCCCTTCATGTAACCTCTCATATTGCCCTCCCTTCATGTAATCCCTCATATTGGCCTCCCTTCATGTAACCTCTCATATTGCCCTCCCTTCATGTAACCTCTCATATTGCCCTCCCTTCATGTAACCTCTCATATTGCCCTCCCTTTATGTAACATCTCATGTTTCCCATCTTATATGTTACAGCTTGTAAATGTTAGCACTTGAAGAAGTCTCACCTGCAAGTGATTGTAGGGATTACCATGAGCTGCGTACACGATGGATGTGGCCTATCTCTTTTCAGTACTGTGTATGTTCCACCTTCTCCAGGGCACGTGGCATCGTCTGGTTCCACAAAACTAAAAAAAATATTATTGTTTATCAGTACATCAGAGAACTTTTAAGCGCATTTTAACATGGGATGAGTACTACTCAACTAGTTATTATAAGACACTGAATTGGTGGTATTAAATACCGTGTGTAAAATTACCATTGAAAAGTATTGTTAAATTCTCTGAATATATCGCTCCCCCCCCAAAAAAAAAATAGAACGATCGGATAACTCCATGCTTTCTTAGTCTTGTACATCCGGCTAAGTCTACCTTAACCTAGTTTATGAGTCGCATTTTGAAGGATAATCGTACAAAAACTTGACACACAGTGGTCTATTTCAGGTGAAGTATCTGGAGGATTACAATATACTCGTTCTGTGACGGTCTGATACTAACATTTGAAAATGAATAAATAGTACCTTGGGTACTGGGCTCACATGGTGTTGCTCAAAAGTGAATGATGGCTTTAATGTCAGAAAATAAAAAAACTGATATAATTTTTTGCCGATTTTTTTTAAACAAAATTATTTCATACAACTACTCTTTACAAAGACATGGCTTTTTACAATGCAGGACACCTGGAATTATTTGTAAAGCTAGGAAATGGGCCAAAGGTGAATATCCTGAGACAAAAATGTTGGCCGTTTTGAAAATAGGCGAGCTTTTCAAGCAGGACTCACAGGTTTTTTTGTTTGTTTTTTGATGTTGAACAAAAATATTTTAAACGAGAATCCTATCTACAGAGGATTTAAAAAGAGCCAAGTGTTGACAGACAGAGGTTTTAAAACTTGCCACTATCTTGGACTGACTGAGAGACAGATGGTCAAATCAATGTTAACTAAAATGGCTGAAAATAAAAAAACGGATATGATTTTTTGCCGATTTTCTGTAACAAAATTATTTCATACAACTGAACTCTTTACAGTGACATGGCTTTTTAGAATGCAGGACACCTGAAATTATTTGTAAAGCTAGGAAATGGGCCAAAGGTGAATTTCGCGAAACAAAAATGGCGGCCATTTTGAAAATAGGCGAGCTTTTGAACCAAGTGGATTTCGCAAGACAGATGGATGGCTGAAAATAAAAAAAACGGATATATTTTTTGCCGATTTTTTGTAACAAAATTAGTTCATATACCTCCTCTTTACATTGACATGGATTTTTACAATGCAGGACACCTGAAATTATTTGTAAAGCTAGGAAATGGGCCAAAAGTGAATTTCGCGAAACAAAAATGGCGGCTATTTTGAAAATAGGCGAGCTTTTGAACCAGGAGTCATATAATATAATAATATATAATAATAGGGGAGTTTTCTGTATTGATCTTCATCAGAAATTATTTAAAACAGGATTTCCTATCGACAGAGGTTTTAAAACGTGCCACTATTGTTGACGGACGGACGGACGCACGGACAGACAGACGGACAAGTGAGTGATTGCAAAAGCTCACCATGTGAGCTAAAAATACCACGTGGCAGAGGCGAATCAAATCTTAAAGTCATAAAAGATACGAATAATTGGGGCCGTTTTTGTAATTATTAAAATTTAAGCCCCATCTCTGTATAATCTGGCTCTGTATGATCTGGCCATTTCTGGAGAAAGAGTCGAAGGCATGCTAGGCGAACCCTGGAAACACGGATTCGTTAGACCAGGGTTCACTGTTTCTTTCTGTTAAACCCTGTGTGAAAGTACATTCATGATTCATACTACAGTGAGCAGGAGGTTTAACAGTGAACCCGGGTGCTCTTTGGCCTTATTTAGATCTTTGTTTCTCAGACCAGGGTTCAGCAGGGTTTAAGGGCATTCCAAACGAAATAAGTGTTTAATGAGGCTAAGAAATAGAAAAATGTGCTTAATTAGAATGATATACCTGGTATTTTGTACTTAGTAAATGTTAAACACATGAAAATCAGTTATTTTTATCAGTGGCCTAAAATACCAAAAGTCAAAAGACCCCTTCTACTCTAACTTGTCACTTCATAGTTCAGCCATCTTTGTTTTCAACTAGTTCGAAATGAAGAAAATGCGTACTTTGAGTTGGATTTACTCCTTGATAACTGCTTTTCATAGCAAAACCATGATATATTTTGAAGAACATCTACCCAGAGACGAGAATTGGTAAGTTTCCACTCTAAAATCGAAGTATTTCTCTACGAAATGATCGATCGAATTTTGAAATATTTCAAAAAACGGATTTTTTTTGATCTACTGGTACTTTGAAAACTCATCGGCGATTTCTGACGAACTGAGAGGGTATAGACAGCTTCATTGTAGCAGGAAACATTCTTTCATTTTTTCAAAAAATATATAAATTAAAATATAAATTTTGCGCATGCGTCAGATAACATGTCTCCTAAATTTCTCTGAAAATTTTCGAATTAAATCTGTTCTATTGAGTATCCTAGTGTAGTGTAGCTGTGATTCCGTGAAGAAGAAGCCACAACAATATCTCACCTACCTGATGCAAAGGATTTCTCAAGACGAGCGCAACGCATCTTGCAGAAAATCGCACTCAAACCAGACTACCCCTTTGTCTTCACCCGGCAAGGAAAGTTTTTTACGACATTAACCTTCCCCAGCCAGTCCACCTCTCAGTATCCAAAATCAAATAAAGTCAAAAATGAGAACACGAGGATTATCTACTGATCAAGTAGTGACTACTGGAGGTGATACAGAGGCAAATAAAAACCACCATGAACGACATGACAGTAAGTCAAAAAAGGGTACTAAGTCTCGCGAGAGGTCAAACGAGAAGTCATCAAAAATTGAAAAACTGAAAAAAATTCTTTCACCGAAATCGACCTCGGAGAAGCACCAGAGCGCGAATGATGTGAAACCAGCAGCTGGTAAGCATAAACCTTCTATTCAACATAAATGTGACAGATGTGAAGTCCCTAATTCTAATCTCCTAGGCTGTGAATTTTGTGATCTCTGGTTTTGCAACTCTTGTGAAAATCTCGATGAAAATGATTTAGCCCTACTTAATGCATCAACTAATGGAACCCACTGGTACTGCCATGAATGTGAACCACAAGTTAGGTTTATCCTTGAGCAAGCTAAATCGGGAATTGTCAATGTTGCAAAGTCAGTTGCCCACTCCCTGGAATCCATCAAAAAGAATCAAAGTCAGACAAATAGGAACGTGGAGTCAGTTTCAACTAAAGTTAAGAACCTCCAAGATCTGTATAACAATGTAATCCTAAAAATTGACACACTCAACGATTCAGTAAATGAGATCAACCTAGAAAAGGGAGCCGTGGAAAAATCACTAAAAGAAGTAGCCCAAATTAGTAAATCTTTCTCCACAGTTGTGAAAAAGTCAGAGAATAAAATCTATCCTAATGTAGTGGAATCAGTAAAAAACGGTTTCAAAAGTGTCAGTGACCAAGAAAGGCGAAGGAAAAATATTGTCCTCCACAATCTGGAAGAGTTCACCTCACCCGAATTTGGAACTGCTCAATCACAGGACCTTGAAGAAGTCAAACAAATATTTGAAGATGGTCTGGAACTCCCCAATATCCAGATTGTCAAAACAATGAGACTAGGCAGAAAGCTCAACAAACCAAGACTCCTTCTTGTTGTGATGAAAGATGACACTTACACCGGCCAAATACTGTCCCGCGCACGAAAGCTCAGATATGAAGGTCGATGGAACAACGTGTACGTACACCCCGACTTATCACCAGAAGATCGTGAAATCTCCAGGAAACTGAGAGAGGAACTGAAAAACAGGAGAGAAGCAGGCGAGGAAAATTTAATCATCAGAAGAGGGAAAATAGTGTCTATACCTCAGGATGAGCGAAGCCAATACCAACGAGACACTGTTACCCAAAACCCACGAGGCAGGGGTGGATCAGCACCTAGAGGTAGAGGGGGATCATCAAGGAGAACCTACAGATCTTCACCTCCTAGGCATCAAGATCGCCAAGGCACACGACTCGAATACCGTGATGACTCTATACCACACTCAAAGTCAACCATATCCCTCACCTCAGTAAAAGCAGACGATAACCCAACACCTCAACCAAATGAAGTTCAAGTCATCCCCAAAACTGCAAAGCCCCAATCAGTACAATACCATGATACTGGAGCGAAACCACCTGATGTGAGGCCCAAAGATATAAAGAAGACAACCACCATACCAACAGTTGCAAAGCCTCAACCAGTACAAGATCATGAAACTGGAGCCAAACCACTTGATGTGAAGTCAAAAGATACTAAGAAGTCAACCACAGCACCAACTAAAAATGACCAGTCAACACCAATTGAAAACCCTTTTCAAACGCTGTGTGACCTTGGTGAAGATGACTCACCACTACAGGACAATGAGGACCTAGATCCATCTGACACATGCAGTGTCATATCTAGCTGCTCAGACAACACAGGTTTTTATGAGAGCTCAACAGAAATTGAAGACACAGCACCCAGTGACAACTTATCCAAACCTAAGAGTACACCAATTACCTCAGTATGGACCAGTCCTTCTCCACCTTTATCCCAAAACTGTGGAAAAGCCCCAAATGACCTTGATGGCCTCTCCCAGGCCATAGGTAAGCAGTGACTAGGCAACCACCCCCCTGTAAAATTTTTGTACAGTAATGCAGATCAGTTATCTAACAAAATCAAAGAGCTTGAATTAACTGCAGAATCTGAAACTCCCGACGTCATAATTGTAACCGAAGCCCTATGCAAGAATAGAAAAGATCCAATGACACTAAGTGAACTCCAGATATTAAATGACACCTATGAATGTTACAGAAATTTTGATGATACAGCTGAATCACAGAAAAACAAAAGGGGTATAGTTATATATACTAACAATTCGATAGAAGTACAGTCTTACGAATCAACAACCAGTAACTTCAGTGAATATCTAGCCTACACACTGACCTTCAAGGACAAAACCAAGTTATTACTATGTACCATCTACAGAAGCCCTAGCAACCGCGGTACCACAGACCAACAATCAGAACTGATAAAACTTACAAAGGAACTTGCCTCATCAGACCATACCCAACTTTGCATTATAGGAGACTTCAACCTGCCCGAGATCAACTGGGAAGACTGGACATCATCTGCATGTGATGATCACATCAGTACAAACTATGTTAATTGCCTCCAAAACCTATTTCTACACCAACATGTTAGTGAGCCCACACGGAAACGTCATGGACAACGGGACACCCTTGTCGACCTTATCATCACAAAAGAAGAAAACGCCATTAGTGATATAAACTATGATGCACCACTGGGACTCAGCGACCATTTAACTCTTAAGTTTAGCCTAACCATGACTGACCAGAGGCCCGAACCCCCCACGACCAGCTCCCCAACAGCAAGGAACTTCAATAAAGGGGACTATGATACAATCAGGGAAAACTTAAGACATATCAACTGGTCAGAAAGATTTAATGGGAAAACCACTGAAGAAGCCTGGAACTTACTTCACAAAATTATCATGGATAACATTGAAGCCAATGTACCACACAAAGTCCAAAAGAAAAAAAGGAAAAAGTGGATGACACTTAGAGGACTAAGACAACTACGCAAAAAAGCTAAAGCCTGGAGGAAATACCAAGAATCTAGGACATACCAAGATTACTTAAAAGCAAAGAGAACCAGCAACGAAACTCGCAAGCTATGCAGACAACTATGTAAAGAGTTTGAAAAAGACCTTGCCAAGCAAATTAAAGTCAACCCCAAAGCTTTCTGGGCATATGTAAATTCTAAACTCAAGACACATCCTAAAATCAGTACACTGGACAATCCCGATGGAGGTACTGCAGATACCAATACAGAGAAGGCAGACATCCTGAATGACTATTTTACCAGTATGTTCACCATAGAGGATGATACCAACATCCCACATATAATCCCCAAAACACCATCCACACTGGAAACTATAGAATTCACAGAAGATCAAGTCCTAAAGAAGCTTAGAAAGTTAAAATCATGTAAATCCCCAGGACCAGATAATATCCCAGCTCGACTTCTCTTAGAATGTTCACATGAACTAGCTCTCCCCCTCAGTCTACTCTTTACCAAGTCCCTAAACTCTGGAAAACTACCTACAATTTGGAAAGATGGAGAAATTACACCCATACACAAGAAAGGAAAGAGGTCTGCACCAAGTAACTACCGTCCAATCTCATTAACTTGCATTGTGTGTAAAATAATGGAGTCAATAATAAGAGACAACATGGTGAATCATATGTTAATACATGACCTCATTACTGATGCACAACATGGGTTCCTGCCTGGCCGATCCTGTACAACTCAACTGTTAACGGTTCTTGAGGACTGGACCAGTATACTAGATTCCAGTAATCCATTAGACGCCATCTATTTTGATTTTTCGCGGGCCTTTGATAGTGTACCCCACAAAAGACTACTTGACAAACTAAGCTGTTACGGCTTCAGAGGAGATCTCTTAAAGTGGCTCACAGCATTTTTAACAGATAGAAGACAACGAGTCAAAGTTAATGACAGCCGTTCTACCTGGAGCCAAGTCACTAGTGGAATACCTCAGGGAACCTGCCTCGGGCCACTGGCATTCATCATTTACATCAATGACCTACCTGAGCATGTTGAATCTACGGTAAAAATATTTGCAGATGATACAAAGCTTTACAGGGCTATCCCGAGAGAACAAGATATCCAGCAGCTTCAAGCAGATGTAGATGCACTGGTTACCTGGTCAAACAAATGGCTACTCAGGTTCAACACAAGTAAATGCAAGGTTCTCCACTTCGGAAAAAATAACAGTCAACACCAATATACTATGGACCAGATACCCCTAGAGAAAGTATCCCAAGAACGGGACTTAGGCATCACCATTGACAACGAACTGAAATTCCACAACCATGTTTCAAACTGTACAAATAAAGCAAATAAGATCCTGGGAGCCATCAAGAGAACATTCACAAACAAAGATGCAGAGATCTTCCTCCCCCTATACAAAACACTTGTCCGTCCCCATCTTGAATATTGCACCGTGGCTTGGAATCCCAGGTACCAGACAGACATTGACAAAATTGAAAAGATACAAAGAAGGGCCACTAAAATGATCACAGGCATGTCCGATCTTTCATATCCAGACAGACTGAAGCAACTGAACCTTTTCTCCATGGCCTACAGGAGGAAAAGAGGAGATTTGATCCAAGTCTACAAGCTCATGAACAATATAGACAACATTGATTACTCCCTATTCTTTACTCTAAACCACAGTACAACAAGAGGTCATAGCCAGAAATTTTACAAGGACAGATCAAATCTTGCACTAAGACAAGGTTTTTTTAGCCAACGGATTGTCAACGAATGGAATAATCTCCCTGAAAAAGCAGTTACAGCCCAGACACTAGATGACTTCAAGGCAAAGATTGATGCCCACTATTACCCAGACATGAAGTAGAGTACAAGCGAGTAGGATGACCAGTTTACACTCACTAGGTTTTATTTTGGTTCAATGTCAGTTTTTATGAATCACAAGTCCCTAACAAATTACCAGTACAGTTATAAGTCTTTGGGAAATAAAATACCAAAGCAGTTCTTTGAAATTATATGTCTTGAAGGGAGGAACCCACAGGCACACGCCTTAAACTCCTAAAACGATGATGATGATGATGATGATGTGGGTTTCGAGTCGTAGTTTTGATGTTTATTTTTCTCAGACTTTTGAAATGTAGAACTAAGAGCCCTCAAATAATAAGAATAACCTGGGGGTATGTTTCAGAATATGTCTAGCCTCTTCGTGAGACTATCAAGTGGAAAGCTGTGTCTGAGCAAGAAAGCTGCAAAAGCTGCCCAAGTCAATAAGGCGAGGAAGCCTGTTGGGAGGCCCATGGCCCTAGCTGAGGTGCTGGCACAAGCAAAGAAAACTGGACCTGGTGCGAAGGAAGAGTGGGATTGGCTCCCTCACTTCATGTTACAGTTTGCTGCCTTCAGAGGCCAGACCTTCAAGTGGCTTGTAAAGAATTCTATGGGTATGCTGCATACATTGTAGAATCTGTCGACAGAGAGTGTGCAACTCCTGCATCCCTGAGCCAGAACAAGGCAACCCTGGTCAAGTACCTTATGGCATTTCTGGAGGGCAAAGAGGCCATAGAGATGAAGAAGTTAAAGGGTTCCAAGAAAAGACCCCAGAAGCTGATTAAGTATATAGATCCATTTTCTCATGTACGTACATGTAAAACATTTCAGGGAAATCGCAGTAAGAATTTTCTTAATAGCCTGAGCAATATTCTTATATGTGCGTACATGCTAAAAATATTTTGGAGCTGTTAAGAGCTCTAGTCTTATTTCTAGCATTATTCTGAATGGCCCCAGTATTATTTCAAGTTTTTACACATGCAAAATTTTTTTTCATCCACAATATGTAGGATCTCTAACTTTATTTCTAGCATGTACGTACGTATAACAAAATTTAGGAATCAAACATTCAAACACTGAAAGATATTCACTGTTACAGTGAATATATTAGTGTTCAAATGTTTGATTGAGGCATAAAAATAATTGTTACAGTATGTTTCTTAGTATGTACAAACATGTTATAAAATTATTTTGAAACCTGACGAAGCTAATGTGAACTCTATAGTATTACATAAACACAGGGGTTTCACTAGAATTTCTCACAACAGGCTAAATAAAAGAAAACAGGGAAAATTTATGGAAATCATAAATTTAACATGGAAAAGTTGAAAAATCCCTGAAAACAACAGGCGATTTTGTGAAAACAACAGGTGAAAATTGCCTCTTGCCTGTCAACATATCTTAAAAATCAAATAATATCTTGAGTCCGATATAATGATTTTATTAATGAATGCATTTAATGATCCTAGGGGCTTCTCCAGAGTTTTCCACTCAGGTCAGCCTAACCCTTTGTTGCACACAAGTGATCAAACTGGCAAATGCATTGTATGTTATACTCATCATAATACATATTTTTCACATTAATCTTTTGAAATGGACCTATTTTATTTACAGTAGAGTGGAGAAAGGGCAGCAAGAGGATCTTTTCACAGATGATGTGACAGATACAGAGCTGCTGCAAGCAACAGGAGATGTGGTCCTTCAATCGTTTCCCAAATCCCAAAGTCCCCCAAGGTTGGATAATTATTTTAAGCATTCAATACCTTTAACCCTTTCCAGACGTGAATATAAGAGGAAAATGTTTGCCCTGGTGACGGATAAGTAAGAGCAGTTTTTAGGGGAAAACTGAAAATTACCTATGCCCAGGGACCTAAACCTTGAATTTTATCACTGAAATACATTTTTTAGTAAGGACTATCGTATTAGAACCACTTGTCAAAATTTGGTGTAAAAATATTGAATAGAACTGGAGATATTATCATTTCATCGATGTATATAAATAAAAATTATGGTGCCAAAAGGAGCCTATCGTCCTGAAAGGTATTAAATAATAGGGCTCCATATGGAGCCCATCGTCGTGAAAGGGTTAAAGGTACAGATGGACGCAATACTATCGAGCACAACTTCTGGACCTAGATCTGAGAACCTGTTCCTCTGTACATGGAGGTTGGGACATTAGTGAAAGGTAGGGTAACACTTCCCATCTACAGATGTCCCCGGGGCTCAACATCGCTTGGGTCTTTTCACAATCATACCAGGTGAGTTTCTTATTTGGAATATTCTGAAGAAATTAAAGGCCCCATTTAAAATTCAAATATTTGAAAATTACAAAGTGAGCAACCTATCTAAATAGTTTTTAAGTCATTAAAAGTAATATTTAAATGATTAAAACTATATATCCAAACTTGACATGGGGCCTTTATCTATTTGATAAATAATTTTGTAGTGTCTGACAATGCAGACTGTCTCAGAGAATTTTTTAAATATTAGCATATGTGAATACTGCTTTGATGGGTCTTATAATATATTTAGCAGAGAAATTAAATTTTATGTTTCAATGACGCGCGTTTAATTTTATAAAAAATGCCAAACTTTGTGACAAAGAATTTCATCACCTATTGCCCCGAACCGGTCCGTCTTCTCGCTGCAAGCAGATTGCCCCGAACCGGTCCGTCTTCTCGCTGCAAGCAGGATGAAATTTTTTATAAAATCAAACGCGCGTGATTGAAACTCACAAGATGTAAATAGCATGTCATTTACATCATACCTTGATGGGGAAAAATAGATCTTATATGTTAGAAGTACTAAATAAAAGTTATCGTGAAAATGAGACAGTCGTTCTCGAGAGAAAGGAGCATAAATGCGCATTTAGAGAGTTTTGGTCTGTTTAAAAATCTGTAAAAAATTGGGGTACTTCAAAGCATCGGGAGGCATCATATATTTCAAATTAGACACGAGGAAGTCAATATTGAGCAAGTTATGGCTATTTTAAATTCAAATAAAACCGTTAACCCGTACCGGTCCAGCTTTTGACCCGTACCGGTCAATTTTCGTTAGCTGCGTATACCAAGGGTGTGTTTTATACATCGTACATTTTTGCATTCTTAGTTAAAGTTAAATGCCATCCTTAAACTCATCACTTGTTCTTTTTCAGGGCATTCTTGACCCAAGGTGTTGTAGCCAGATCACCAGACCACAACAGATATATGGAGGCTGTGATGAGACCCCTCTTGGAAATTCACCCTGGATCCACCCAGGTGGCTGGTGTGAAGGAGATGAGGTTGAACCTCATTGTAAAATCCTACAATGAGATTAGAAGAAAGGTAGTGAAAGATGCAGATGTTATGAGCAGAACACAGATTCAGCTGTTTCACATCAACAATGCCACATTGACTTTATGGAAGTACATCATTCATTTAAACCAATTACAGTCTTTCGCATTGAAAAACATTAATTTTAAAGAAAAAATAATGAATTATTGTTCATTGAACATGTTGAAAAATGATACCGCAACTCTGTAGCCACAATCTAGAGTAAATTGTGATATTGTAGCAAATTAGTTGTTTTTTTTATCAACCGATATATTAAAATATTCATTCAGTCTAATGTTACATTACACTATTTTTCAGGATTGATGATAAGAAAAGGAAGGAGAGTGTTGCTGTACTTAAAGGCAGAATCAGATCTATAGGGATGAAAAAATTACTAGCAACATGTACAGTTGACCTACCAATCTATTCCTTACAATTCCAAATACGATATTCCCAGAAGATTCACGATATGTTATAAATTGGTGAAGTTAAAATGGATTCAAAATGCAAAAATGAGTGAAAAATGTTTAAATTCTCCCAAATAATAGATTATTTTAAATATCTTTAGTTTTCCTGAAATAAAGTGTACACTTTGTGGATTTTTAGAAAATAGACATGAAAGGAATGACATAGGACAGATTCAAAATGCAAAAACGATTGAAAAATGTTTAAAATTCTCCCAAATAATAGATTATTTTAAATATCTTTAGTTTTCCTGAAATAAAGTGTACACTTTGTGGATTTTTAGAAAATAGACATGAAAGGAATGACATAGGACAGAACAGGGATACCCTAGAGTGTTTCCCTTTTTATCGCACTTTGAAAAAGTGCTATATTGTCGTCGTCTTGTGCTGTTGGGCGGGCGGGCGGGCGGCACATAAACCAAATCTTGTCATCAAATTTCCAGGATAACTGCTTACCTGTTCAACTTGAAATTTTTACAGATGCAAGACCAGACTAGTACCAAGATCTGATTAGGTTAAGGGCATGCTGGGTAAACTACGTGGCGGCCATTTTGAATTTTTCAACAAATCTTGTCATCAAAATTCCAGGAAAACCACTTATCCGTTCAACTTGAAATTTTTACAGATGCAAGAGCAGGCTATTGCCAAGATCTGATTAGGTTTTGGGTATGCTGGCTGAATTAAATGGTGGCCATTTTGAATTTTTCAATTTGGCGGCCATTTTTAATTTTTCAACTTGCTCCAAATTGACCAATTTTTTTTTCTCAGAAGTTCAAATCTGACCTTAGATTTCAGATTTGACCTTTCATTCACCTTCAGTGACCTTGAAAAGGTCAAAAAAGTTGATTTTCTAAATTGATATTTTGGATTTAAATTTAGGTCAGCTTGATTACAAAACACCTACTGAGGTCTGAAAAAGTGAAATTTTCAAGGTCGAAGGTGAAGGTCATTAAACTAGGTAACATATTTGACCTTTCATTCACCTTCAGTGACCTTGAAAAGGTCAAAAAAGTTGATTTTCTAAATTGATATTTTGGATTTAAATTTAGGAATTTTTCAAGGTCGAAGGTCATCAAATTAGGTCACAAACAATGTTATCTAAATTTTCCCAAAGTTCAAGACTACAAATAAATTCTTGTCATCAAAATTGCAGGAAAACCGCTAACCTTGTCCACTTGAAATGTTTACAGATGCAAGAGCAGACTAGTGCCAAGGTCTGATTAGGTTTTGGCCATGCTGGGTAAATTGCATGGTGGCCAGTTTGCTCTTCAAAGTGCGATATTTATCACTGTGTGTCTTGTTAACGTTTTTTCAGATCAAGATGGAGTTTTGCCCAGTTGATCTCCTTGTGGAGGAAAGCAAGCACAAAAATTTTCTCCTTACCAGGAGACCAACTAGGCAAAACTCCATCTTGATTTGAAAAATTAGTTGAAACTGGTGAAACACTCTAGGATAGGATACCCCTGTCAAGTGCAAGTGCTTCATCAGCAGATCCCTTCCCGTAGGACAAGAAGGTGGCAGCACTGCCCTCAGCCAACGTGGATGATCCCCACATGTTCGATCTACCCAAGAACACAGCTGGTGAAGGAATGTCACGAGTGAACAGGAGGATTCTTCCTGATACTCTTGCCTTTCAACCTCAACCAACTTCCAACTTGATTTCATTCACCTCCAGTGCAAGTGCTCCTCCAGCTCCTGCTCCAAGGTATGTTATGATTGCTCCTACTCCAGGGACTAGCTGTGTCCTGGTTAATCTGGCCTTTGTTCCTAAAGTCGCGATACCCAGGAGTACAAAATCCTATAGGAAAAGAGTGGAGAAGAACAAGATGGATGGCAAAGCCACTAAGCGATAGAGTGTCCAAGTTTAGTGAAGAGTGAAGACCGACAAACTTGTAATGCTACCTAGCCTAGCTAGAAGGTCCCAAGTCCTTGTAAAAGCAGAGGGCAAGTTTGTCAAAAATGAACATAAATGTGTTTATACAATATTGTTCAAAGTTGTGTGGGCTTCACCAAGGAAGTAATATTCTTTGGTTTGGGTTCAACTCCCAAATGACTTGATATTGTATTTACTTGTTAATGTTCTCTTCATCTCTTCAATTCATTCCCATTAACATGATTAAACATGATTCAATTTTAAATGTACAACTCCTCATTTGCATTACTAGATCCAATAAAAAGATCTCTTGAAGGGATTTGATCATGATATGGCATGACATGATATAGTGATTTTAGATAGAGATTGATTGTGACAATTGTGCTTGATTGTGCCAACAGATATACTTCATTTTGCTAAAATTAATCCATTTCACAAACCTGGCAATGTATTTACTAATTGCACTAAAAAAACACTAGGACCTGCCCCCCAGATTTTTTTAACTTTTTGGACCCAAATTTTTTGGGAAGGCCTTAAGAAATGGGTATTTTGGGCATAATTTGGCCTTTATAGGGCATTTTTGGCCAATTTATCAAAAATGGGCCTTAACTTTGTTTTAAAAATTGGACCCAATTTTTGGTTTTAAGGGTGCAAGCTAAGAAATTTTTTTACAGACTAAAATCCCCCCTTGCCTTCAGGGCCACTGCCTTCAGGGGCAGATCCAGAAACCAACAAAGGGGGAGGGGGGGGGTGCAAATTTCAAGGCTGACAAAACAGTAAAAAAGGCCCAGTAATGCCCAAAAAGGCCCACTCGTTTTGGGCTTTTTGGGGCTTAATTTTTTCTGGGCCCACCCAAGGAGGGGGGGGGCTGTCTCCCCCCCCCCCCCCCCCCAGATCCGCCAGTGAGCTTGTTCATCATACTAGTTACTTCATTCATAACCCTATGCGCAAAACATCTCTTTAAAAGTCAGTTGCATTTAAGTCAACATATCCATAGTTAAGAGTTAATTACGAGGAACCCTTCTAATAAAAGCAATGAAAATTCTGGTTTGAAAACTCTCGAAAATAACACGAACGAGTCAAATAATGCACCGTTCGTTTTTTTGCAAAGGCGGGTTTGGATGACGGCAAACCCGGGTTTTGAGGGCGCGACTTATGGCAACGAGTGCTTCTGCATTTCTGGGCCAAACCCGAGGGGCGGGTCCCCCCAGATCCACCAGTGCGTCGTATACATACGTATGTATAAGGAGACTGCTATTCATTTCAGTATCCCACCATTGCTGCATTTGTACTTACAAGTCATAACTTTTCATCTTTGGGAGATAAAGGTCTGCCTCACTGGCACTCAAACCAGACCCTGATATGTAACATAGTAGCAACGCCGTGCATACCTGCAATATGGATACAGTTAAACCAGTGTCCTTCGGTCATTATATACCTTGATAGATCAAGATGTGCATTATGGGATCGGAGTTCGGTGTCTGTAACTAATGGCAGGTGGTGATGCTTTGCATGTTAATGCCTTGTTTCACATACTATAGCTATATGTACATGTTGCCAATATTCAGAATATTCCGCATATTCAGACATTTTAATGGCTTCCTAATTTCATAAATGGTCTACATCTTTCACTTTTGTAGAAAAAGAGCATGCATATTCTTAGATTAATAGTTGAGCACTCGTAAATATTCTATATATTTACCTGAATAAAATAAATCGGTGACCTACATCTTTGTACTTTTAAAAAGTAAGTCATTGGAGTTTCTAGTACATCTGATAATAATATGAAGTCATTTAAATTTCTGACCCAGACGTTTCCCCAACATACACAAGAACCGCCATTTTATCAACAGCATTTCCGAAATAAGCGCCTTCATCTCTGGTGATGTAGGTACGTTTTGTACGTAATCAGGTAACGGTCGTTATCTAGTCGATTTTAACTCCCACGAGTCAATTAATGTCCGAAACGTCCGAGGCAGAATTTAATTATTACCTTCAGATGTTAATCAATCTTAAAAAATCCTTACCCAACAGCCAAGCATGGTGTATTCGTAGCTTCAAGGCTCCATTAACGAGCACTGACCTGCGTCGACGGATAATGAACGCGATTTATTAGAAAAGATCATCGCAAGCTCTAGGAGTGAGGAAGTCTCCAATGCATATATCATCTTCACAATTTTCATAACAGCAACGATGAACATTATTTATTTTATTTAACCAACAAGTGATGTGCGGTGTGAACATGGGGAGACCTCAGTCTGTAAGTTCGTATGTCTGGTCCGATTCGACGAGTTTGTTCACGTTTGGTTGGTCTGAAGATGTAATGTACAGGATGGTCCACAAAATATCCATGTACATGTATTTCATTTCGATATAACTTGAAAATGCATGGATTTCGACATATCATTCAGTCAGAACACCATTTTCACCCAGAATTCATCCGACCTATTGAGTTTTTCTTTATGTTGAACCAATCCCAGTAATCTTCCTTGTTGGTCTCAATCAACTCCAAATGTTTCAATTTTTACTAGAAATATGAATTACAATTAAATGTTATCATCATACAAATATCTCACTGACCCACTGCACTGTATAATATGTCAATCTCGTACTATTATCTGTATGTATCTGTGTTAAAATGATCCTGACATGACAATCTAATTAGACCCCTAGTGTCTTCTTAACCGTTTTTATTCAGACACCGCTGAAAATTAAGTTTTGCAATTTCTAAAACAATTACATGTACAGAATTGATTTCTGCATCTTCAGCTAAAATAATTTCAAAATATATACATTGTTGAAAAAGTTGTTACCAAATTAAAATATTGACGTTTTTTGGCCCACCCTGTAGTACATTTTCTTTAAAAGATTAATCTGTATATAGAAATAGACAATCTTTTTTTATTATTAAATCGTAGTTCTGAAGCTTTTATTGTATGCAAAATGAAGGTAAATATCGATTTTCAGAGTCATGCCTCTGGGGAAACAACTTCATTTCTAACGAGATTTTTATTTCTTCTCGAATGGTGGAGGATTTTAGGTTTTTCGGTATAATTGCGATTCTTTGTGCAGAACGTCTTTCAGATCATTTTGAGATCAATAGCCAATAGTGATTCAAGGAAACGTATCTATTCTATTATTCTGGTATTCTATATCAGTAGTATTATGGTTGGGAACGAGTGTGACTGATAATTCCAATTCACCCGAACCCAAGGAAACTAAGAATTGCAAACCGTACCGAAAACGACTAAAAGCTTGAAATTGAACAAATTACTTATTAAACACAATCTCTTGCATTATTTCTGAGCGGGATCGATCATTCTTACCTGTCATAGGTATAGCTATACATGTATATGAGTTAGTTATTTTCAAAAGGTGGAGTGAACTATAGTACCTAGTTTAGTCAATAGAGGGAATAGTTATCTGTCCCCGGGAAAGTTTCCCCGGGAATTGTTACTCCAACTGAGTAATTCAGTCAGTAAATTGGCTTACACTACGATATAATTTCAATCCCAGCATTCTTTTGTATTATGTATGCGTTCTATGTGCAACATTGGACAGTTTATACCAACACGTTTCACTCGTCGGGAGACGTGTACGTTGATAAGTTGCACTTTCAATATTGCAATTATTTGGCCTTTTTAAATTTACAACTTTGACCACATTGGCGGATCCAGATGAAAATCTACGGCCCATGTTTTGAACATTTGACCTAAAAAGGCCAAATTATGGCCAAAATGCCCATTTTCGAGGCCCTATGTAATTTTTGAGAAAAACAATTTTTGGGGCCCTACAATTTTTTTCTAAGCCCAGGAAGGGGGGGGATTGGTCTGGATCCGCCAGTGGACCATGTATGATTTCAAAAATAGGCTTATAGCTAAATACGATGAACCCCATTAGAACTCCACTATGCCGTTATTTTCATGATTTACGATTTAAGTGCGCTATGTGCATTCGTTTCTCAGAAAATATCGTCAATTACGATTCGCGGATTGACGATTTTTGTTCTCTACGATGTTGTCCACGATTTTCCAAATTCTGTTTCTCGAAGCACTTCGTCAATAAAATCGGACAGCAATATAACAAAAACAGTTTTATTCGCGTCATCTTTGAAAATTACTTTTACTAAAGAGATCATAGAGAGAAGGTGAAATTTGCCTTGATGTTGTATTGTTATTGTGTTGTCCTGTATTGTATAACATGCCACGACAGCCTGGCATCGCAAATCAGTAAACAAAAGTTGAAATAAACATTCTTACAAAATGTGTTCTACAAGTGAAGGTAAAGTTGCACTTTCGACCAGGAAGGCCCCTTTCTTGGTCGCAGACGCATTTAGCGTTAAAATAAATATGAAGACAATATTTTCCAAATACGGTTCTTTTAATTCAGAACATAGATTATGTTAGGCAGATTTTTTTACAAAAGAGTGTCTTCAGGAAACCTAGGACAACTCCGTCTAACACCGCTGGCCCTTATTCATCAGCTAAGTCGTGATCAACACAGCCTTCTCTCTCGAGCGTTAGATAAAGAATCACCCTATGATCGCATAGAATGAACGGAGGAGGGGATGCCGGAATTTCTGCAAAATTCAACAAATCTGGAAGATTTATTTTTTCAAGAAAAGTTAAAGTTGAAAAGTTAAGAAGTTGAAAGTTGAATTGCAAAATGAATAAGTGCACGGTATGGTAAAATGTGTTAGGTATTCTAGGATTTTTGTTTGAACTGATACGCCTCTAAGATATGAGATCTATTAAAGGGCATATCGTTATCAACGTGTAAAAGTGAAGTTTTTGCTATAAATCACGCAACAATGGTCTACACGACCTGTAATTAATACTTGTAAGGGGCGTTATTATCGCAAAACTTAAATGTCATTTGTGAATACGGTGGTATGATCTTCCATTGTGTGTTTCGTATGGAGAGCACACCCCCATCTTGCTTCACCAAGCTTCGGACCTATCCTCATAGAACGTAGAGATTGCGCGTGGGAACCGACGATACACGCCCCCCCCCGTCCTTAACATTTCGAACGAATGAAACATTTAGAAACTAAAAAAACGAAGTCTAACGTATAGAACTTTAAAAAGGAAATCACGAAATATTTTCCTTAGACATACAGTTTGGACAATATGAAATAGATAGCAACATAATACAGCGCATCATTGAAAAAGTATACCGTCCTCTTTCTTGTTCATACGAGATTTGAATCAGGCATTTGGAGACCGATATGCATTGAACTGACATGATAGATAGATAATATTACGGACGCTTTCATGATTTTAATTTACCTACACATACAGCAAACATTTGTTTAAAATAAGCTTTAAGAAGAAGAATGGACAAGCCTTCTAATGGTGTGCTGATAATATGGTCAAATATTTTATAGAATAACAAAAAATCTACTAAGTGTTGTCAATCTGCGGAAAGGTTTGTTTTAGTTCTGGTAAAATGTAGATAACAGTATTTGTAATAATTAGCTTAATTTCTTAGAGAAGGCCTATGAAGTTTTGGATTAATGGATGGACCCCATGAATTTGTTTATTAGAAAAATAAAGTTACATTTTAATAATCTGCCAAGATTTATTAAAAGTTCCAAAATAGCAGAGATATGTTAATAATTAAGGCCATCGAAGGGCATGCGTTGATCAAAACTGGTCTTTCTGAGTTCATTTTTAGGAACGATAAAACTTTCTACCAAATACACAACACAATCAGACACTACCAACCACCTCATCCGACTAGGCACAACCTGCTACTCAACCAGCAACAACAGAACACAAATCATTATAGAATTAACATAACGCAATGGGGCACAATCTGACACGAAACCAATGCCAGACAAAAAAAACTTATAGAGATAACGATTGTCAAACTGATAAAACACAATTAGGCACAACCAATAAAATACAACCAATTCTCATCGATCAAACTTGAGGTAACACCAGTCACATACATGGACACAGCCAATTGCAAATATCTTACCGGACTGGGCACAACCTGCCAAGCGATCAATATAATACAATCGCAACACAACCCATTAGAAAACTTACGTTTTACGAACCACAACCTCAACCTATCATTTAACTAAATTATTTAGGCACTACCTGACACAAACCTACCATAACACAACCAGGCTCAACCAAATACTCAATTTATTATACTCGATTAAATCAAACAAAACACAATAAGGCACAACCAATGAAACACAACGAAACGGTGATATCAGTATATCCAACTAATCTTCTCTAATTAGAGATAACAACACAACACAATCGTGGACAACCTGATACATACCCCCATACATACATACCTTAACCTGCGTTAAAATAATTATAATATTGATGGAAAGGTAACTTGACTTTATTTCCAATACCCTGAAATTTTCCCAATTTTTTCCTCGAATACAAAAGGTTGAAAATCGATGATAAACCTACCATTTTCCATTGGTTAACATGGGAATGTCGTTTTTCAAAAATTCATCAAGTTTATCATCAATTTTCGACCTATTGACACTGAGGAAATTGAGAAATTTTGGAGATATTGGAAATAAAGTCAAATTACGTTTCAAGCAATAGTTTAAGTATTTTCATCGCATGTTAAGTAAATAAAAATTCAAAAGTAAAGAGACTTTAAGACGTAGTTCAATGGGGAGCTAAGGTTGCCAAACTTATGGAGGGGAGTGTAAGTTACTAGAGAGGTTAAGCTACACGTATTTGACAAAACTTGAACGTGAACTTCAATGCGCACGCAGATACATGACGTCAGATTTGTTTATTTCCTGTGGGCCAGCGTGAATTTTACAGGTTTTTACATGAGATTATCATATTCGTGCAATTTACAGACGCGTATTCAACAAAACATGAACGTGTACTTCTATGCGCGCGCAGGAAAATGACGTCAGATTAGTCTACTTTCTACAGGTAAGCGTGAAAGTTACAGGTTTTTACGTGTAGATGAGTGATTACACGTCGCTCATTACGTGATTGATTTTAGCTATGTTTTAGGATGGCCCGGGGGCCCATATTTGATACAAACACTATTGCTTGTTATATCGGTAAACCCCAAATCTTTATTGGAAATAAAGAATACATTT